CAGGAGAGGCAATAAATCTCCGCTGGGAAGGAAACGGGGGAAGAGTTTTCCACTTAATTAATTGATGATCAAAGAAGGCTTTCGCAATAGTTAATGGAAGAAAGTTTTCGAAGGTTATATTTTAATCACTAAATGTTTCGAAGGAAGCTTCGTTTTTTTGCCTGTCTGCAAGGAAGATGAATTGACACGGGATTTCTTATTATTTATTTTTTTCTTTTAAATAATTTGCGTGAGTGTATCTGCTTGATCTTGTATTTTTGTTTGTTTTTTGTAGTTGTTGTTTGTGGTCGTGCTTTGAAATTCAATTAGTGCCGTTGCGTGCGAAGGCTTATCGGGGCAAAGGGTATTTTCAATCCCGTTGTCAATTTCGGTGCATGTAGGTCAAGCCCTTCAGGATTCAATCGGCGGTCTCATCACTGCCGCCAGATCTTTGAGACGTGATACAATCTGTATTCGGATATGAATACGTTCTATCTCATTTGCGTGAGAGAAACATGGAAATGCTGCTGTTTTGCTGAATACCACACTCACTAGTATACAACAAACTGTCACTGTTGGACTGTCATTGACTGTCACTGTAGAAGTGACGTCACTGTCAAATTGACATAATCACTCAATACTAGTGACATCAATTAAAATCTAATGAAATCATGTTCATCAATAAAACTTGGTCTTCGCAGTTCATTATTGAAAATTCCATTTTTATTGTAGATATTTTAAAATATCTGTTATGTTAACAAAACTTATACTTTTAATAAAAAATACAAATATTAATGACTCTTAGTCACTATCACCTGTATCTGGAAGTTTATCTATAGAGTCAAATCCATAGTCATTTATACCGTCACATTCCTAATCTATTCAATATTTTTCGCACCTTCGTTTTATATTTCTCGTGCTAAACTGACTATAAATTGTGCGTATTATATTCGAGATTTTGCGGTATTTTAATAATAAACGTGATGTAAACTGAACAATCGGCGAACGCCCATTGCTGCTGACCTTTGTCTGCACGGCGAAAACGAAAAGATGAAACAAGCGGAGAAGTTTTACCTGCAAAGTAAGATATAATAAACGTCAGTGTTTCTGTTTTGTGTGTTTTGTGTTACACGACTTGACCTACCGCATAAATAAATACAAGTATTCATCAAAATTTCGCTGCCGTGTTTTACATTATTATTAATTTTTTTATTTTTTCAATGAAAACATACTCGTGGAAAACAAATAATTGCGGAATTAAAAGTATTTTTAGCATTTTACGCCAATTAAAGCTTTAAAAGGATTAACGTCGAGTTGCGTCATAATAAATCATCAAGAACATGCATCAATTTCAATTATTTGCATGCAATTTTTTAAACCAGAAAACTTTAGAGTATAATTAATTATTATTTTTAATATATACAGCAACACCTCGCATAGAATGGTTTCGATTAGTTCGAATTCACTATAATCCGGATTGAAAATTTCAAAACAAACTAGATTTTAAATTGAGCAAAATCAAAATAAATTCTAGAAAATTCAAGTCTCTTTTTGTAAGGATTTATTTTTGCACGTATTTTCACGTATTAGGCCGGTTTCAAACAGTCCGGTATATTACCGGTATATATTTTTTGGGATGTAATGTTGCAAATCTATATTACCTTTAATTTTGACTAAAACTATGAATTTCTTTACATATATTTAGTAATCATTGAAACGTTGTAAAAAGTAAACAAAAATAAGACTGTACCTGAAAGACTGTCACTTCTAACCTCTCATTGCTATACTATCACTGTTAAACTGTCATTATTAAATTGTTACTATTAGACTGTCATTGTTAGATTGTCACTTTTAGACTGTCATTGTTAAAATGTCACTATTAGGCTGTCATTGTTAGATTGTCACTATTAGACTGTCATTGTTAGATTGTCACTATCAGAATGTCATTGTTACATTGTCACTATTAGGCTGTCATTGTTAGATTGTCACTATTAGACTGTCATTGTTAGGGGTCTATATCGCAAGCCCGACAACCGAAAGACCGTCTATTGAAATCCCGTTTGAAATCCCGACTGTATCGAAATCCCGACGTTCAAAATCCCGACTGTATTAAAGTCCCGACGCTTGAAATCCCGACTATGTCAAAATCCCGACTACCATAATCCCGACAATCAAAATCTCGACAATATCGAAATCCCGACTACCATAAAATTGTTATTGTAGAAATTTATAATAATAAAAAACACTGTTGGGATTTCGATATAGTCGGGATTATGATAGAAGGGATTTTGACTTAGTCGGGATTTCGAACGTCGGGATTTCGATACAGTCGGGATTTCGAACGTAGGGATTTCAATAGACTGGATTTCGGTTGTTGGGCTTGCGATTGCCACCGCATTGTTATATTGTCACTATTAGACTGTCATTGTTAGATTGTCACTATTACACCATCATTGTTAAATTGTCACTATTAGACTATCATTGTTAGATTGTCACTATTAGACTGTCATTGTTAGATTGTCACTATTACACCGTCATTGTTAAATTGTCACTATTAGACTGCCATTGTTAGATTGTCACTATTAGACTGTCATTGTTAGATTGTCACTATTAGACTGTCATTGTTAGATTGTCACTATTAGACTGTCATTTTTAGACTGTCACTATTGGACTGTCACTTTCAATTAAGTAATAAATCTGCTAACGAGTTGAGTATATAGCTCTTGGACTGGATTTGTTTCCAATTTATATTTTATGATTTTATTTATTAATAACGTTTATTGAAACACTCATAGAAAGTAAATAAAATAAAATGAAAATTTGTAATTCTCGATATAAAATGATTTAATTTCATCATTTTATTCGTAAACTGATGGTGATCGTTAAGATCTTGGCATATTATTATTTTTTCAATGGAATTATGCATCTGACATTTAAAGATTAATACGAACTATTCATAAAGTTACATAATGCGTGGAAAGAACATGGAATAGTTACGGTGGCACGTGCGCAATTTAACTACTTAATGGATTAAAATTTTACCACGCCAACTGATTCATTTTTAATTGCAAGTAAGCAGCCACTAATAAGCACCGCGGGTAATGTCGATCAATTAACAATCAAAATTACACATCCTTATTAACATTGCAATGATATTATGAAGATAGAAATGAGAAAATCTAGTAGCTACTATTATTTTATACTTAATATACTAATCTGGATATACGGAATACAGCTGTGGGTAGACAGCAGCATATCTAATATTGCGACCATACAAAGATTCAAGTCTAAGAAAGATCATTGGTGTTCCATGGTATATTACGAACAGGAGAATTCATGAGAACCTTCAAATGGAAACAATTATGAAAAACAGTAGCTGATACCAAAATAGACTAGACAGACATCCAAACGTAGTAGCTGTCAATCTTCTGAAAAATAGCCTAATAACACAGCGACTGAAGCGATACAAGGCACTGGATCAACAAATAACCAATAAGTAAAGAATAATCGCCAATGGGCGATCTCCAATTAAATCTTGTCAATTGCCCGATCATTTACATTATAGAACAGTAGTGAATAAAAAAGAAAACAAAATAGACTAATAAATTTCATAAAGAAATATCAAATACTTTATGATAACTAAACTATAACGTGAATATTGTCAGAAGTAAAGAAGTACTAGAAACTGCTCTAAATTAGACTCAAAAAACTATTTTTTATTTCTAAAAAAATGGATTGGATTTAACAGAATAAACAAAAAGTATAAAAAGTATAAAAAGCTAATTGAAAATGTTTCACTTGAATCAATAACATCAATGAATATTGTTTCTGTTATTATTCGTTTCGTTTAATTAAATAGAAGCAATTAACGACACTAAACATAAATTGTGAAGAAATCGTTATTTATTAACTCTGAGTCATGTGCTTCATAAATGTTACGAGATGGAGGTCATCAAAGAAAAAAAAAATAGTAAATAAATAAAAGAAAACCACATTACAATTTTGAAGAACGTCGATAATATTTTCACCAAGTAAATAATTATAAAATTTCGATCATTTTCTTCAATTAAATAAGAAATATTTGTTTTGTAATTATAAACAAATTTAATATTATTTGTAATATGTAACGTCTGTATTCTTCATTAAATATCTTTTATCTAGTACATAAATAAAAAAATCGATCATAATTAGACAATACCGAAAATGATTAACAGGAGACAAACGTACCAACAGAGAGACTAACCGTAAAGATATCCACTATAAACCTAAGTTTATATATTAAGTTAAACTATACTAATTTAGATCAGTATTTCTCAACCTTTTATTCACACAACATTTCTTATTTGTGATTGTACTGCGGATACAACCTTTTTTTACGCTTTGTCAGCTGTCACTTTTGACAGAAAGGTGACATCTGTCATTTTTCGACTTATTAAATATTTAACGTGAACCATAGTTTGAGATACACCGGTTAAGATATTTGGTTATTTAGGACGTTGTAATTAGGCATTTATATAATGAATTAACGTATATTTTAATCCCAAGAACCAAAAGAAAGTTGTTACAAAAATAGTATGTATGTTCTTTGCAAAATTATAGACTTTTATATTCTATGATAAATATTTCTGTTGAAAATGAAATATTTCTTTGATTTGATATATTTCGGTTTTTCATTAAAAGTTTTCTTGACTCGAGTAATTTCGTGTTTAATGAGCTAAAATTCCTCGAGGTCTTCCGACGTTGGTGCAAAGATACAAAACGTGATTATTATTAATATATGTTCATGATGATGATGTCGACGTTCGTCGACATGTTCCCGTGGCCTCCAAGAAGTACTAAACCACTACAATATGATAGACGCAGACAGGATATCTCTCTGGTACGCGAACGGTCATGGGTATATACCCATTCCGTAGCAGCCGCGTCCTTGGGCTCCTCGAGCTGCTCCGTTTTGTTTTCCTCCACTGCACCTTGCTACTACTACTACTACCTACTACCACCTTTGGTCCCGCCACCACGAGGACTATATCTTGCGGTGGACCACGCCATGATCTTCAGTATGGACCGGGTTGCGGTTTAGGTTTGGTACTCCGAATATACCATCAACTATGAGCATATCAATTTAATACCAGAAATTTAACCAGAAAGTTAACAGAAATTATCAGTTTGAAAAAAGTGCTTACTGTGTGTACGTTCGGCGATATAATTTTTGTAATTTTTATAATAATTTTTGTTTGGATAATCATCTTTTTGGATATTTTTTAACTTTCCAGTTTAGAAATACCAAACGGAAGGCAAGTAATCATTTTTTTACCTTATTCTATATTATTGAAGTTTTTTTTTAATTTTCAATTTCTAAAGTCAATTATTTCCATATTATGGAAACATTTTAAAATTATTTAAATAATTACACCAAATATAATCAATTTTATACAAATTCAAAACGAAATAAAAAAAATACAAATAATTTAAAATTTACTACCCTAAACTGTCAATTCTTTGATTATATACCAAGACGAAGAAAAGTAATTATATTCCAATAATTTCCATATTTTTGACATTTTTTTTAAATTATTTAAAACATTATAGCAAATATAATTAATATTATACAAAGTCAATATCCGGAATTTACATTCACCGGATATTATTGAGAAAATTTTAATTCATTTGATTACATTCATTGATTTTGTGAAAACCTGACGAAAGGAAAGAAATTTTACAATTAATTTAAATTTTCATCTCCAAAACATTAATTCATAATTTACATTAAATTATAATTTAAAAAAAACTCAATATTGATTATTTTTCTTAATTATTAACAATAATTTAAAAATAAATTACATTATTTTTTTATATAATCAATTAAGAAGTAAATTTAAAAATATTTCTTTTCATCAATAAAATCATACCTATTTTTTAAACAATCATTAAATAATAATCGCTGTAAAACTACACGACCATCTGTTAAATTGCAAATTGTTAATATAATAGAAAAATAATCGAATTGGCCTATTAGTTTGTTAAATCACATCAGTATATTTGTATTTACAATCTGCCGTAATATAAGTATATAGAAATAAATCAAGTACAAATACAAGAACACCTTGCATAGTGCGGTTACGCACTATTTGAATCAAAGATCAAAACAAAGAGACATGTCTCTTATTTTTGCAGAAACTAAATTTTTGATTGCGTTCAAAATATTGCTGTAACTGAAATAATTTCTATTTGCTAAATTCACAATTGATTAATTCAAAAGTTTAAGTTGCATTTGGACGGATAAACAGATTCAAATCGTATACGTTGAATAATAATAATGCAGTTCTCGTTTCACCAATAAGATTGTCGACTATAAATTGAATTTGCGAATGCATGAATATTCAGTAATGATGCAAGAGGTGAGCATACACGTACATGTGTGTGTGTGTGTTCGGAAAGATTTATTTGAGCGTGTGATGCGAAATGTAAATGGATTCATCTCGGCGTGTATTCAGCAAATTTCGTGGAAATACCCTCAGGGTGAAAATTTCCGGATTGAAATTTTACCGTTTATTTATTATTATATTTTTCTTCTTTTATGCAGAAACGTGTTTAAATTTTCGTTCCAACGTTATTGTCGCTCCAAGCTTCTTCTATGATCATTATTGTTATTTTTATATGTTTAATTGTCGCTCCAAAGATTAGTGATCCAAGGATGCTTCGCTTCTTGCGCAATCGGCAATAATCGTTTTTAATTGTCGATACTCTTTTTACATAACATTACATAAAGTTGTCGTGTTCTATTTAATATATTTTTTTTTCATTTACTATGTAATTTTAAACTTCTTTAATTTATTCGTTTTGGAAATACTAGTAATGATATTGATTACAATAAATTGAAATTTGTTGTCATTGAGAATTTGTCATTCATAAATTACAATTAATTTTACAAACCTTGACTTTGTTCGGATTTAATGAATCGTTGACCGAAACATTGAAAGTGATTTTCATTATTAAAGAAAGGTCATTTACTTTTACATTAGGAGATATTAAATTATTTGATACTTTACAAAATCATAGTGTTATAACCTAGTCCATAAGGGCTGCAGAATTTACTAATTTGTTACACTGTAATAACTCGCATAGCCCGGTTTGAAAATTTCAAAACAATTAAATTTAATTGAGTATTTAGTATACATTTTTTGTATACCTAAAGTTAAGTTTCTTTATTTGTATGCGGTTTTAAAAGTCTCGATTAGTTCGGTTTCAAACAGTCTAAGGGGATACAATATTTTTCCATATTTTGTATAATTGTTCAGATAATTTCTATTTAAAATAATAATCTATTGAGAATTAATTAAGCAAACTTTATGGTAAAATACATTAAATTATATTAATAAGTGTCTGTCATTGATGATTCGAAGGTCAACTAAGCATTACAGCAAAATCGTTTCCCCAACAAAAAAAAAACAAAAAACTAAGTTCAAGTTCAAGAATGTCTGAGCAAATAATAAAGAGCTGACCTTTTTTTTCTTTTTAAATCTTAGTGTTATTATTCTCATCCATATTTACATCATCCTCAATCAAATGTTAATCGAATGCAATTCGACGCAGATTCTCTTGATAATGAATTTATAACAATGCGTGTGTTCGTATATAATTTACTTGTGTGCAGCTAATTACAGTTTAATTATTGTTCTCATTAGGCATCAGCACGTATAATTTCCTTTCATTTATTTAAATATGCGCGAAACAATAAATCAACAATTAACATTGAAAATTAATAACACATTTCCATACTTTCCGGACAACATTCTAGTGAATATCAATTTAAAAAAAAATAGACAAGTTGACGGTTTTCCATTTTTCAATAAATAATTATTCATTATGTCCTCGAAATAAAATACATCATAATCCGGTTTCGACCAGTACGTATTGATCTTTTTCTTTTGTTCCCGTATACAATAAAGTCTCTTTTTGTGCGGTATATTATTAAGCGGCTTTAAAGTCCTCGATTAGTCCGGTTTCAAACAGTGCGGAAACGTTTGCTGTAATTAATTTGTATTTGTAATCTAACATTCTTTGCAGACGTTAGCAGCTGACGGAAGTTGCTGATGTCATAAAAATTACACTGCCCACTTGTTTCTTCTCATTTCTTTAACCACGTTAATGCAAAATAAATCCCGTGATCGAAAACAATATAAGAAATACACAAAAATTTAATTAACATAACGCAACCGATCTAGAGAGAGAGTGAGAAAAACACTTGAATAACTTACGAAACAAAAAAAATGTCTTCGGTATATATAAATAAAAGTAATTCGATCCAAATACTTCTCTTGTTTCTGAAGAAGTTGCTAATTAATTTGCTAATGTAGTTGGATAACCGCTTCTACTGTTTTCTTTTTTGTTCTTCTTCTGTTAATCAAAGTCTCGGGTTCCCTATTTTTTATTTGAACGTCTCTCAACTTTCCAGGTAGTAGAATTCCGTGCAAGAAATGCATCACCAAAAATAACATTCTTTGGTCATTCATCTCGTGGTATTCACGGTTCGCAACTCTAAATATTACCTTCGTCTGCCCCCATGATCTTGCTTAGAATGGAAGGTCACTCGTCGCTATTTTATATTCTTCGAGAGAAAGTATAATTATCATATGAGCAGGCAGCATTATTAAAGGGGAACTGCGTTGCGAAAATATTTTTATTTTTTTTTTGTAAAATTATATTCATTATATTAATGATAATTATTATTAATATTCATGTACATTTATGGTGATTTTGCATGTTCGGCACGATCGCAAATATGATCTAAGAACAATGGCAACATCGCTTTTTGCGTCTCTCAAACTGTAATTGTTCATATTTCGTGGAAATAATTTACTCTGAACAATTGGTTAATAATTATTTTTCAATTATTCGTGATATCATATCATTGTTAAGAGATTGTAATAAATTTATAGGTATAAATAGATATGACATTATGACTATTACTAAATAAATATATCATTTACATACGAATTATTTAAACTAATTGTGCCTTTTTTAATGATATAAAACTGAAATTTGTATCTTTATGATCTAGGCCAGTGATGGGCAAACTACGACGGCCTGTCTAGATGTTCTATCCGGCATTCATATACCATCTTTTTTTTGCGAAAAAAAATTACTTCTAAAAAAGTTTGCTCATGACAGATTTAGGTTATACAATAGACCAGCGTTTCTCAATCATGGGTCTCATTATGTTTTTAATGGGTCGCAAAGTGACACACTTAAATGACAGATGTCACCTTGTGTCAAAACGAGGAATTAGTACTTTTCTTTTTTTGATTCTATACGTTAACAATATAAATAATTGTAACGCAGCACAACTAGAAACACATATGTTGGATCACGCAGCAAAAAGTTTAAACTAAACAAAATATAAGATTTAAATGTGTGTCAGATGTATTAACTACAATTAGTTATTAGTACCTAATAATTATTGTATTCCTAATTTACAATTACAGTAACAAAATTCTGACTTGAAATCAAAAAAAGTGACTTTATTAATATCATTAAATACTTATCATATTTTGGGTTTGTGAATTATAATAGTAACTTTAAAATATATAATTTTGTTACATCATACTTGATAAATCATGAAAGGTTTTACTGCAAGTTATTCTTTATTGAAAGTAAATTGGATGAAAATGAAAATTGTGCATGCGCCGGGAGATGTTTACCGCTGAAGCGGAGCAAAAGTAATTTCGCGTTCTAAAAGAAGCCACTTGATGCATTGCTTTTAAATTACAAAAGACAACATGTTATATATTTTACAACAAAGCGTTCTAATTACGTTTTCCCTTGCAATATTTATTTTAATTTATATATTAAATTACGTAATATCGAGAATACATAAAAGTAATTTAATAATAATAATATATTAATAATTAATATTACGAACGATTTTTTTAACGAAATAATTATGCTTATACAAAATGTATAACTACTTTTGTTTTATTTTGTATTATATTGTTTTCAATATCCAATTTGTCATAATTGTCAATAAATGTCATACAATAATGCTTGTTTTTGTCATGTGATTCGATGCTTCAAAATGTGAATCTATCAATTCTATTGCTAACAAATGTCATATAGTAATTTCAATTTTTGTCAAGTGATCCAAAATGTAACAAAATTTAACAAAAGTACCGTCAACAAACGTCATATCATAATGTTTCTATTTTGTCTTCTTATTCAAAGCTTGACGTTTTGATCACAATCTATCAATTTCACAACCAACTAACGTCAAATAATAATGCTTTTTATTTGTCATATGTTACAGAGCTTCAAAATGGTTGCACCTGCGTTTCTGGAGAAGCTGTCCTTCTTGTATCAGCCGTACGTATTGTTTGTGGTATCAATTGGCTACGTTTTGGGTGAATTAGGACATTATTTGATTGGCGTGACTTCAAAGAGGATTGCCATCGATTTGCATTACGGAGATATCACTTGCCAATTGAACACTACAGAGTACCACCTAAATCAACTACCCGTCCAATGTGGAAGTGCCAATAATTCTGACACGTAAGTAAAATCTAAATTCTAGTTTTCATTTAAAAAAAAAACTTTCTATTTAGTCTATTCATTAATAAATATATTATACTAGTACAGAAATAACTCGCACAATAATCTAAAACGGACTAATCAAGGACTTTAAACCACATTTTATTTCAAACCTATCTGACCAAAACCGCACTATTGTAATTTAAACTATATCTTTTCATGATTCATACAAAAATTGAATATGAAGTAGTTACATTGATAAAAACCTTAAATCAATAATCAATAAATCAATATAATTTATTGAATCTGGAATGGACACGATTCAGAATTGAATTAAAAACGACAATAATATTTTGAATGTTATTGAAATCAATATTCAAAAATAAAACATGTTTAGCAACCAATTATTACCAATAACATACAAAAATGAATTATTACTAATAACACACGGATATAATAAATAAGTATTTAGTTTAAAAGATTAATGAATAATACTCACCAATAATTTAAGTTATTTACATTTTTTAAAACGCAACAAACAAGCCGCTTAATAGATGACACCGATTTTGACGTTTAAAGTAAACAACTTTTTCTTTTTTTATTATTACAAAGCAGCCTACTTATTTGTGTTGACATTTAATTGATGTTAAATGAAATTGCGCTTGTTTCTATTTGCCGGATACATTTGTAACTGCATTTCCTTGATCCAAATACTATTTTTTTTTTTTTTGTTTGTTTGTTTGTTGTTACGGCGAGCACAATTTATCACATAATATGTGGTCCGAGAAGGACGCGGATTACAAAAGAACCAGATTCCCGGCGGCCCGTGGTATTTAAACTGCATTGTTACAATTCGCTTTTACTCGCAATGCAATGGTTTCGTTTGCGCACAATAGAAATATATTAATAAATTTGTAATAATAATATTAATATTTTTTCGTTGATTTTGAAAGATTTGTAAATGAATGTGATTTAGATGTTTGTCGTACAACATCAATGGGACGGGATACTGCGAGTGGAACTACAACGGGCTCGGATTGGATTACCAGATCTTAGCCGGCCCAAGTTTCATTGCAGTTTTCACGGTTGTCGGTGTCATCATGGGATTCCTCGCCGACAAGTACAACAGGGTGAAGATGTTGACGATCTGCACCGTAGTTTTTTCCATCGCGATGATCGTCACCGGATCGGTACAGGAGTACTGGCATTTGGTTATATTGAGGATGATCATGGCTGCTGGGTAATGAATAAAGAAATTTTAATTAAATTAAATTTAATATTCATTAATTTTTTGTAGCGAATCCGGCTGCAATCCTTTGGCGACCGGTATCCTTTCGGACATCTTCCCTGAAGAGAAGCGTGCTTTGGTTATGTCCATTTTCAATTGGGGAATCTACGGCGGCTACGGAATCGCCTTTCCTGTGGGAAGATACATTCCGACTTTGAACATCTGGGATATGGTTAGATCTAGTGTTTGGTTTATGTGCGGGTTCTATAACATTTTGTTTTTGTGTAGGGATGGAGAATCACTTATTATGGAGCCGGGGTTATCGCTTTGGTTATCGCGATTTTGACGGGATTAACATTGAAAGAACCGGCGAGGCAATCCATCGGTGAGGAGACCACAGGTAACGGCAAGAAGGCTTCTATTTGGTCCGTGATCTTGGAGCCTAGGATCATCATGTTATGTTTGGCTGCTTCCATAAGACATTGCGGTAAGTCTATTAAATCTTTAGATGAAATGTATTAACAGTATGTATTTGCAGGTGGTATGTGCTTTGCGTACAACTGCGATCTGTATTACCAGCAGTACTTCCCGGATTACGATCTTGGATGGTGGTTGTTCGCCGTGACCATCGGTATCGGAAGTATCGGTGTCGTGGCTGGTGGTATCGTGTCTGATAAGTTTGTAGCAAAGATGGGAGTCAGATCCAGGGTGATCGTGTTAGCCGTGAGTCAACTGATCTCCACTCCCGGTGCTTTCGGCAGCGTCTACTTTTCTCCCGTGTGGGCCATGATAACCTTGGGAATTTCCTACTTCTTCGGTAATTAACCAATAGATTAGATTTTGTCTCAAGGCACACTTGAATTGTAATTGTAATATTTTCCATAGCTGAAATGTGGTTCGGAATTCTCTTCGCCATCTTAGTAGAAATCGTGCCTCTGCAAGTTAGATCGACAACAGTAGGTATCTTCCTCTTCGTCATGAACAACATCGGAGGAAATCTTCCCATCCTCGTTGAACCCGTGTCCAAGGCTATCGGTTACAGGGAGAGCATCTACATCTTTTACGCAGGTTTCTACGGAATCAGTGAGCTCACCAATAACTTCTACCACCAACAAAAATCTAACAATAATCTTGCAGGTTCCATCATGTTCCTGCTGACGGTCTTCTTGATGGACGGACCCAAGCAGGCGGACAATCCGAAAGACTTCGGTCACGACAATAACATCTGCACTACTGTCGATGAAACCGCTCTTCCGACCATAACCAACGGCGTGCACATACCGAGGATAGGCACAGAGAATAGCAAACTTTGATTATCCACATTTATATGTTCTAATTTATTTATTATTTTTTTCGCATTATTTTGAGAAACGATTCAGTAAAGTGAAAATCTTTCGGACTGCCCCAAAGATTTAATTTGATTAAACGGTACGCTCGATCTTTATAAGATTTAAATTTTTCCTCTGTTATTTACTTTTCGGTTTACTCTTTCTCTCTGTCTCTCTCTGTGTACTGTCTTTGTATATAATATTTGAATTAAGTTTTTGTTACTTATGTAATTATGTAACGCATTCCCAATCGAATGTAATATTGTATTGAATAAAATAAAATATGTACAATAATTATTATTTTATTTTATGCAAAGGATAAAATATCATTTTTTAACTCATTTCCAATATATAACATCCTGCAATAGTTTCTCAACTTGTAGATTGTGTTAAATTTTGAATGTGTCGCGAAATGACAGCTGTCATCTTTCGTGAAAACGTCAATTTTAGGTTTTGAAACAAATGAAGAGAGGCAAATTATTAAATTGTGAACAAATTACAAAAAAAAATAAACGCTACAATATTTTTCATTTTCTGTAGATAAACTGAGCAAAAGGATAATAAATTAAGCAAATCTCAACATATATTTATTATATACAATTCTTTATGTTTTTTTTTAGAACAGCGTTTTTCAGCCTATTACGTATTTGTCTGTAGTTATACAACAATCTAAGTTTTTAAATAGTTCCTATAAGATGACAGCTGCTTTAGAATATCTAAGTAACCCTACTATAAATAAAAACACTTGAATATAGTTTCACTATAATTTATATATATTTCGTTAAAAAAAATATATAATTCGTTTACAATAGAAAAGCAATGTACATAATAATAATAATATAAATAAATTTAAATTAATTATTCAAATCATGTCAGTAAATATGATCGAGACTATATAAATAAATGTTAGTAAATGCACTCTATCAATTAAAATTCAGGATCTTTTGTAATTGAAAGTTTTAGCTAAACAGACTAAATATATAGGCAAACATATATACACAATATAAATTTTGTATGAAACATTTGAATTTTCTAAATTTTGAAGTTAATCTCATCAATTTATCAATTTTGGCACGTTTCGCATCTCATTTTTGACGAGACGTCAGAAATTTTCTAGTATGCGCTATGTTTGTATTCTGATTTTCATCAATAAATTAATGCGAGAGAAGTTTAATCAATAAACGTTTGGAGCCTGCCCAGTGGCGAGGATGGAGCTTTGCGATGTCGAAAAGACCACCATTACAGTCAACGTTGATAAACCGAAGAGCAAGGAAAACTCCGAGATTACGGTCAAGGAGTTTCTGGACTTCCTGAAGACGGCGTACCAGGTAAACGACAACTTGGAAGGCATACTCATTCAGGAAGGAATGACCGACGTGGTCGATTGGTTGAAATTGAAGAACAGCAAGTTCGCAAACACCAAACCGAAGAAAGACGTAACTGCTGAACATCAGCAAGACGCGAATCCTGGTAAGATGAATATTAAATTAAGATTAATTTAATTAATTCGAGGATTTTAGAGATGGCCAAAAGTAATACGCATCTGGAAGAGCCACTTGAGATGAAATTGAATGAAATCTTACAGGAAGGTTTGCTGGATTCAGTTTTACCATACATTGTCCCATCAGGTAGTTCCAGTAGTATTTCAAAGAGGCAACCAGTTAAAGGTAAACTTCTTTGATATAAATAGATTAATAGAATACAAGCTGAGGTTGTTTTTAGAGAAATCAAGTTTTAACGTACAACAGTCCAGCAGCGAGAGCGCGTTAAGTCGAAGGAAGTCGAGCTCCGCTGCATTAGTAAATAAAATAACAAAGACATTGTAATTATTCTACGTAAAGGAATGAAACTAAATGTTAAGATGATGTTATTTTAGATCAGAGGTGGAGATACACGTGTACGATGAATTGAAGGGTACGAAGAAAGATTTCATCTGTAATCAGAAATTGCTCGTGGAGCAGATGGGTTATTTCGCTGACGTTACCAAAGATCAGAAGCTCGACGACATGGACATTTCGGTGCATTGCGATATAGCAATCTTCGACTGGCTGATGACGTGGATGACAAAATCAAAGACGACGGACGGAGATAAACCCCAGTTGGAAGCCAGCGCAGCCATTCCCATCTTGGTATCTGCGTCGTTTCTGCAAATGGAATCGCTGCTCGAAGAATGCTTGTTCTACTGCCATCGAAATATGAATGAGATACTGAAAACGGGCACGAACCTATCGTGCCTGAACGACTCGATATTGACTAGACTGGCCGCTATGTACACTAATATAGAGGTGGAGAATATCAAGGATCGCAAAGACAAAATACAATCGCGTCTCTTCTGTAAATTGATTCAATCACTTTGCGAGGTTGAGACGGAGTCTGTGCGTGGTCACTACTGTTCGTTGGCTTATATTTACAAATGCAAACATTGCCAGCAACTGGTTTCTCCGCCTTACTCACCGGAGATCCCATGCATCCCTAGTTACATGCGCTTGGAGTACGACGGTTCCATAACCAGTAGACACGAACGCGATCCCCAATGGAATATAAATGATTTTATTGTAAGCCTTTATAAAAGTTTAAAAACTTGGCGGAAAGTATATTGGCGGTTGTGGGGCTGCGCCCATTTCCTCTACTGTCTCTCTTGTAAGAAGTATTTTCCGGTAAGACAAGAGGGCTGGTGCAGATATCACCCCGACCATCCGCAGTTCTTCACCATGGACACGCAAAAACCCCCTTTGCCAGTTGGAAGGTATCCTTGTTGTGGCGAAAGAACCTACAGGTTTCAGTTGTTGGATGACAGGACCGGCTGTCACTGCAGGGATCACACGATTTGCACCAAGGATATTAAGGATGCATCCATTGCAGGATTGTTGGACAATTATCGTGCTCTAATATGCGAGGAAGCTCCTCGTTTGGTCTTTCCTGATAGGCTGACAAGATTGGTGGCAAGAGATACCAACGAACCGGACGATGGGAAATTGGACAGCAAGGAGGTGCTTTGGTGGGACGGTCTCGAAATCGTACCGCCCCGTCAGAAGCTGGGCCTTCTCGGATCCATTTGCGAGAACCACGGCGAAAGTGACGACGACGAATACTCGACCCATTCGGAAACGGATGACAGCGACAGCACTTTCACCTCCTCGTCGAGCCGCCACAGCGAATCGTCGTATGCCTCGACCAAAAAGAAGAAGGTGGTAGTTTGAAGTTTGCAGAATGTAAAATCAACTGCGCGTGATTTTTGCTCTAGGTAACTAAAAAGCGGAATAAAAAGAAAATGAACGGGAAACTGTGGCAGATGAGTTTATCGGCGCGCTCCAATCAGGATTTGCAGAGAAGCAACGAGGAAACCGCTTTCAAGAAGATGACCAATCTGCTCAACGAGCGCACAATCTCATCGGATTCCCCGATCAAGCATTGCAACAAGTTATACACCAGACAATACAATCACGCCGGTATTTACTTAGTGACCTACCCATACTAGAATAAGGAGTTAACGAAAAACAAAACTTTCCTTGTAGGTGGAATCTGGGTGCGGTTGGAGGCGGACTGGCGCGAGAAGAATGCCGTTTCCAACAGCAAGAACAAGAACATCTACACTGGAAAGGTCAAAATGAAAAGCAGCAAAGTACTTTGAAACATTGTCTTACCATAAAATTTCGCGTGCCGTATGTATTGTTTCTAGAGCACAATCGCACTCCAGCTTTGTAGACTCAAATGCACCTTCATTTAATATAATATCTATAAATAACCAAACTTCAAATAGAATAATTTCTACTTTAAGTTTCATGATAAATCATTTATGTAATCATTAACAATATAATAATTTAGAATTATATTCCAATATTTAATTATTAGATGGTGTATTAAAAAAAACATATTTAGGAAATTGCTTTATTCTATACGAAAATACACGATACGAATATTTTCGCATACACTGTTAACTACTTTCGCAGCTTTGTGACAATTAGATGAAATAAAATAAATTGATATCTAATATATTTATATATTTGTGGATTATTTCTACAACTTATTATAAGAACAATTTACATCCGTATATTTTCCTCGCAATTACTCGAAGCTCAAGAAATAAAATAATAATAATAAATGAAGAAATAATTAAAAGAAAATAAAAACAAACAAACAAACAATAGTAAAAGTTTCCTAATTTAAAATTAAAATACAATAAATTAGCTGTCTGAATATTTATATAATTTATATTTTTTTTCTGTAACACTTTTAAATGCACTCGCCGTATGAAATCCGTGATCTTAGTACAAAAAATCGTAACATTTAAGAGGGAATGGTTTAAAAAATATAGCCAGTAAAATATCATCAGTTATTGAGCTCGGGCATCACGTAACTAATGTCGTCCCAAGGATGACGGTACAATCCCTGCTTCAATCTCTTTTGATCCATGTAGTGTCCAATGAAACCGACGGAGCGTCCCAAAACGAAAAGCGAATTAATGGCACCAATGCTAATATACTCTTGGGCTTCCTCTCTGGAAATATTTCAAAAATAATTAAATTGCAAAACGCTATTCAATAATAAAATTTTCTCACCTTGTAAAGCTGCCGCAGTTATTCAACATGTCAACGAAAGCGCAAGCAATGACACCGTCAACGTTAAGGATGAGATTGGGTTTCTTGCTTGTCGTAATTTTTTCCACCTCCAGGGCGTAATGCAGAAGAGGCGTAGCAGGGAAGAACTCCATAACGAACTCTTTCACAATCTTTACACGTTGATCTGGATTGTTGATGGATTTGACGCGATGACCGATGCCCATGATCAATTGACCTTTGTTGCGCATTTGGTTGACGAATTCGGCAGGATGCAGACCGGAATCGTAGGCCTCGCTGAATTGCCGAGCGGCTCCATCCAATGCGCCTCCGAAGCGATCACCGATGGTAAGAAGACCAGACACGACACTGGATACCAAATCTTTACCGGCACGAGCGCATACTATGGTGTTGTGGGCACCGGATACGGCAGGTCCGTGGTCGGCCGTAACCATCAGACACATCTCAAAGAACTTGCATACATACGAAGGTAAGCAACGTTGGAACCAGAGCAAGGAGATGACTCCTCCGAGTCCTACGTTCTTGTTGAGCACATCTGAGATAGGCATGCCGGCGTACAGAAGCTCCTGGCCGCGCTCGTCGCAGATGGACGTCATGAAACTAGCCGGTTTCCTGATCAATCCCAACTCCCTGGCCCAGCTATAATCCATGGGCACGGTTGGCGGCGGCACTTCCGGAGCAGGAACTATTATCCCCTTGTTCACCAAACTTTGATAGACATTCTGAATGATATCACCCAAAGAGTCGAACGACTCTGGCACGTAAGCGCCCGACTGCTTCAGGGCTTCGTTCTTCGCTGTCGCTGTCTCCTTATTGGTATTGGCGCAAGAGCCGGCATGACCAAATTGAACTTCGGACGTAAACATTCCGGCGCAAGTACCAATGCACCAGGCCACCAGCGGTTTCGTAATTGTTTTATTCTTGATGGCCTCGCAAACCTCGTATTCTTCGACACCACCCACCTCTCCCAACAATATAATCATCTTGATCTTTTCGTCATTTTGATAACGCATAATGTGATCCATGAACGTGGTTCCCGGATACCTGTCTCCACCAATGGCCACTCCTTCGTAAACACCATCCGTCGCCTTGGATACAATATTGTTCAATTCGTTGGACATACCTCCAGAGCGTGACACGTAAGCCACACTTCCAGGCCTGTAGAGCTTAGAGTGCAAGATGTTGTCCATCATACCTACAATTATATTATAGTAAACAAATACATATTTTATTTGTTTAACATACCGCCAGTGTTCCCAATTTTGAAGCAGCCTGGCTTCACACCGCCCACAGTCGCTGGACCAATAATGTTCACGTTCTTCTCGTTGGCCAACTTGATCATTTTCCTAGTAAAATTTTCGGGAATACCTTCAGCTATGATCGCGATCGTCCTAATTTGTGGATATTCCAGAGTTTCTACCGTGCTTTGATAAGCTGATCGCAACGAAGCGAAGTTCACTAAAACATCGGCATCCGGGTGCTTGGTCATGGCGTCGTTCATTTTCTTATAAACTGCAAGCGATAAAGAACATTATACCAAACTGCAACCAAAATTGAAACAATTAAAAAGTACCAGGAATCAAAATCTCTTTGTGGCCCCAATAGAATTTCTGCTTGTGGTCACCCGTGAATGGGTAAATTACTGCTACTACGCTGGGATCGGCCCTGCGGCAGACGAAATCGAAATCGAGCATACTCTGGACGGCCCTGTTCTGCATACCCCAGACGATGGCCTTTGTCTTAATGGAAAACATTGGTTTCTCATCCTTCTCGACGCCATCAACCTACGAACAAAAACGTAAATACAGAAAACAAGAAGATTACGTCAAAGAACAACACAACAAAACATGTACGACATTCGACAAGAACAAAGTATACCTTGAAAATGAAATTCTAGATAAATAGATTTTTTTTTAAATGTAACTAGTATTTTTACCTTGGACACAACATCTGGCAGGGATATTTCTATGGGGTTTGGTCTCTGGTCCTTAAACAATTCATTTGCTCGTGTTTACAATAAAAAAAAAATAATAGCAAGTATTTTAATTCTAATGGCCACTTGTTAGAGGGAGTGTGGTAGGGAAGTTTGTAAATGTGTATATTGTTAGTGAAAGTTAATTGTTAAGAGATTGCTGACCGAATGAGTTACCCATCATAAGGTAATTGCGCAAGCTATTGTTAATTATTAGCAATTTATGTTAAGTTAAAATAATAAAGTAGTATAATAATAGACGGAGCGTCAATTTAAAATTTCTGAGTCTCTTTCATAGTTGATATAACTATAAATTCTCACAGAAAAATTGTTAAAGAACCAAATCACCTAATATTGCACACACAATTTAGACAAACACAACAACACCATTACCATGACTTTCTTTTATAAGGAGACAAAATGGAACTTTGTGTAATGAAATGATTGATTTAAAAAAAAATAAAAAAAGCATACTCCTTGCTGCATTAAACAAGATTCCTGGCAATCTCCGGCCATATTGGCGCTTGAAGTAGATTCTCCATTGGGCAACAGAAAATTGGCCGTGGTAGTTTCACTGCTCACGCAATTCTCTGATGGAATAGACCTCTTCCCCAAAGCCATACCACAAATGGCGGTCATGTGCGTTTCCGGTCCAAAAACGTATAAAGGAATACCTACGAAACACGTTATTGAATGGAAATGGAAATTGTAGGTAAACAATCAGATTACCTAACGTCTGTCCAACTTCGCGCATACGTCTCAAACCCTCTTGATAATTGGGGCCAGCGCGTCTCACGAAGATGGAGATCTTGTGGTCGATCAGACGCTGCTGGAACTCTCTGAGGGCGGTTATAATTCCGCGGAAGGTTGCAGCCACATTCGTGAAATTGGCAATACCACCTCCAGTAATCAGTACTTTTCCGTCGGGACGTTTCTCCTGAGTCATCAATGATAAAATCGTTTTGGCGTACTCGTAGGTCTGCTGTTCGGATGGCGCACCTGAAATTCATATATTATTTAAAAATAGTCTTATATTCGGCGGAAATACAGCCCTTTGTAATCATAATAACATTTGTTGTAACACATAATATACATACTCAAAATAAAATCGTAAACATTAAATTGATATTGCAAAGTCATATAATAACAGTTGTACCTACCGGAATATTCTCCATAATTAGCCAATTCTCCAGATGCTCCTAGATCGCAAATGGTATCGCTGTAAATGACGGAAGCGCCACCACCTGCGACCATAGTCCAAACACGTCCTGATTTGTTTAAAATAGTCAACTTAAGACTAGCTCCAGATTTCGAGTCCAAATCAGCGATGTATGCTTCCTCTGCAATAGGGAAATAGATGACATTCCAAAAAATGGTAGTGTTATGTGATTTATGTACATACCTGGGTATGCATCTCGTCCAAATGGTGGTGGGTAATCGATCTCACCCCAATGGGGTTTGCAGAGAAAATCGGCGGTCGCGTCCAGTTTGGCGGCCAGATCAAGCACGTAAATTTTGTCAGCGGTAACGACCAGAGGATTGATTTCCAAGTAAGTAAAGTACATGTCCACGTACATTTTGTAAAGCGTTACGACGAACTTCGCGATCATTGCTTTTTTAGCTTCGTCACTGACACAACCGAGCAGTTTCTCGGTGACTTGCTCCTCTGTGCATTCCGTGCCAACAAGAACATCGAACTTAAGGGCTTTCGCATCAACATCGCCAATGTCTACACCACCCTCGTGATGAAAAAGAATGGTATCCGCGTGCCGATGCGAGTAGATGCAGACGTAAACCTCTTCCTCGGCCGTATGCGCAACGAACGGTTCGATGATGAAGTTACGCAATTTGCCTGTAGCAGCACCGATTTTCTGGTCCTTGTTCATACGTTCCGCAATCCATTGCTCCACCTCGCCAATGTCTTTGTTCACAGCGATCAACCCTAAATTATGGACAACGTTAGAATAACACCGGCACCGACAGATCAGCTATAATCATACCTAATTTGCCTCTGCGTTTGATCAGTTGATCCGGTTTCACGACCAACTTGCTCGTCTCCAACCAGGGATTCTCGGCAATCAGGTGAGAAAATTTCGTTTCCGGATTCACAGAGGCAAAACGACACTGAGCGGCGGCCGTGCCATTTCCAAGCAGCCTATTGATGAGGTCCTTTCCGGTAGCCTCGCGGATTGCCTTCGCCGACATCCTTTAATCGTTACTTGGCTGAAATAAAAGAGATTCACTGTTCACTTTAGTCCGAAACACCGCATCGCAAACGACAGACAAAAGTGGTTGCACCGAACGCGCATATATTGTGTAAAAAAGAACCGTTCAATTCAAATATGCCATGCGATGTCATCAACAGGTCAAACTATTTGCCTATTCCACATTGTCACAATAATTGTGTAACAAAGCTGTCTCATTAATATTGTCAATATATGTCACATTTAGCTAACAAGGTAAACGTAAAAGGGAACCCACGACTTTCCAGTCGCAACTGGAGGAATGCATAGCCATGACCCATTGTCCAATCAATTAGAAAGTGAACTTTAATTACCCCAGCAAGCATTGTTTTCCTGATGCAAAACATCACAAAAAAAGATGGAGAATAAAATAATTGCTAAGAACAAATCATTTTGCAAAATGAAAATGTATTAATAGAAACTAATCAGACCAATTAAAAATTAACTATACCAATTACACGTTAATTACACTCATCTCAAACTTTACATATTTATTACGCTAATTTTCCAACAAGATAGTTCCATTATCTTACAATTAAATATCTTCAGCATTAAAAAAACTACAATACAAACAGTATTAAATTACGAGACATATTAAATTTAAAAATCAAATATTTTAAGTAATATTGCATTCTATACAAACATTTAAAAAAAATGATAATATCAAATCTTTGTATAATTTATAATATTTTATCAATATTGATATTCAGATTAAGATTATATCTACAAATTGATTATTCAATAAATATTACAATTTCCTGAAATATAACTGCAGTTGAGATTTCTATAAAATATTGGCTAACAGAATTTCGTAAAAACAAAGTAAATAATAACGGAATACAAACAACTTCTTGAATTTAAGGTTTATTGCATCCGGTAGAAAGCGGAACAATTATGATGATTCAAAAGACGAAACTGTCGTAGGTTTTCGTATGTACACACACATAATTTCAGAAGCAGTAAAGAAAATATTATCAACAAAGTGTATCTGAACTGGAATCGAGATTGCGTGCAACAAAAAAAATCTACCTGGTTTGCTTGAACGAACAGAGAAAGCATCCGAAGAGAACTCTCGCGTTTGCTACCTGCCAATCACACCTTGATCGTATGATCCTTTCTTTCTCTCTGTCTCTCCTTCCCCCGACAAACATCTTAATTACACCAAGTACAGAGTCTAAGTCAATTAATAAGTTAAAAATAAATATTCCAAAAGACAAGCAAAGCATTACATTGAAGAAGACAATTAGAAATCGGTGCACATAAACGAAATTTCTTCTCGCTTTTCTTTTTCGATTCTTTCAGACAAAATATATATATATCTACAACGGTTACTTTCTACTCTCTGCACTTCAACTTTCGCGGTCCCACATCGCCATTGACTTTGAAAATCCAGCCTTGGATTTCATTACAAAATAGTATTGAGATAAGGAATTATAAAAATAAAAAAAATATATTACTATGTATGTTATGTTTGACCTTTGAAAAAAAAAAGTGCTTTTGTTATTAAAATTTCCATTGAATACCATGGGCATAGTCAAATATCTTTCTTCTCCGTACCTTTTGAAAAGAAACAGCTGCTTTGTTAGATTTCCATGAAGGATTCACGGAATTTAAAAATTTCCTGTTCTAATAATAGGATTTATAGTTACACAAGCAACTTAAAAATATTCAAGATCGAACAGACCCGATTCGCATCCTGCTCATAAACGTACTTGATTTAGTACAAATATTACATAAACTGCAGTTTTATCGTAATCTATTCCAATATTAGAAAAGTAGATAATTTACTACTGGGTTAATGTTTAACCTTTTTCTTGTCAGGTGCAATGTGATCAACGTCACGTAAACAAAACAATTAAGGAAATTAACAATCACCGAGAAAATCAAGATAATTGCTTTGAAGAAAACGCAAATTAAGTCATAATTGGGTAACGCAAATTGCAAGTTCTGTTTATTATAACTGTTTCTTCTCGTGATTTTTAAATCAATCCTAAAATTCACTGTTTTGTGCAGGTGATTTAGGCGTAATTCCTAAAATCCAGGTAAATCCTATTGTGAATTACCCGAACATTTAGTGGAAATACATCAATCTTATAAAAAAAACGTATTTGAAATTGTTACATTTAATAGACCTCAAAAACAAAGTAGGCAATAATTGTAATTAAAAACAAAAACAATATCGTATTAGAAACAAAAACGTAAGTGTGTATTACAAATTATAATATTGTGCACTTTACAGATATGCGTCCTATCAGTTATTTATTAATAGATAATACGCTATTACGTAGATGAAACGTGAATGGTTGTTTAGTCTCAAATATGAGTTGCTCAAGAAAAAACATCAACAAAACAATGTTGCATAATTATAGAAATTATTGAACGGCTTCTGTCATTCAATAAGTCAATTGTTCATTTACTGTCATGATTGAATCGTAATAATAATTTTAGTCAAAATTCATAACTAACTAAAAAAATTTATTGATTTTACAGGAATGCAGTATTTTTTTAATGTCACAAACGTCAAGTAGCAACTTAATATTCACTTTAAAATTTACTCCTTTCTAGTTTGAAAAAAAACAACGGAAATTAATTTACTATAGTGCATTTCGGTGTTTAATTATATGAAGAAAAAAAAATACAATTATCTTAATAAGTAGCGATTAACATTTATTACTCATAACCTACTTTAAGTTTTTTTTTATTGCAGTTTATAACTTGATCAGCAAATAAATGAGATCGGTAATGTAGCGCATTTCTATGGGAACAATGTCATAAAATAATATATGGACTGCATAAATAAACAACTCGTGCAAAACATATTTTCTTTGTGATTGTACTTAAAAGTAAATAGGAAAGATTGATTCAATACTGAAACTTATGTTGTTTGTATTACATTTACGACGGTTGCGATTCTTGTCTTGTTGTAAGATAATTAGTAACAATTGCCTGCACAATGGGACGAGGTGCAATGCACTTGACGTCAGTGGGACAAGAGTACTTACCTAGTTTTAGGCGAGTTAAAAAAAATAAAACTCCAAAACGAAACGAACACAAGCTTCTCTATATCCTTTTGAGAATCTGTACCAGTCCACTCGATTATATCCACTGCAAACATATATTATATGTGTCGTGTGTGTATGTCGATGTATGTGCGTATGTATGTTTGCGTGTGTATACACCACAGGACCAGAGAAAGATTTACTGGCTGTCACCTGCGGACACCTTATTGCTAACGTGACAATTGCCCGATGTCGGATACGCTTCTGTCAGCAATTCTTGACGTGTTCGGGGTTTATGAAATCCAGAGCAGAATTATCCCCTCACCGTTGCCTGAGCTGGTGTCGCGTGGTACAAAATGGTATAGAAATAGACCGGCTTTCCAACCCAGTGGCGTCGGACCTGTCAAACACTGCTAAGACTCTGCGAATTGAGTTGCCTAACTGGTAAAAGTTATCTCATTTATAGTTTTATTTACAAAAACACATTTAAATTTTTCATGTGCTTACGCAATTAAACGATTATATCATCTTAAAGATGAGTAATTAACACTGCTTTGTTGAGTTGAATGCGTCAAAAAGAAAGTTTTAATAATATCAACATATGTTATATTATTTTTATTAATCATTGTTATCGTTTATAGGTAAGGATAGGTGTTGCTAGGAGCTTAGCAAAAGGTAAAAACTGAGTACATGTAACATGCAATGTAATTGAACAAATCGCTTTAATTTTTAGCTGATCGTAATGGAATTATTTTGATTGTTGGCGGATTCTTCAAATTTCAATTAGTTGGCTGTTTATGTGAAATGGCAAAGTCGTGAATTAGAAGCGGTGTAAAGGTTGTTTACATGTACAAACAAATAAGACAGGATAAACAGAAGCCAGCCTTGGAAAAGGTAGTTCTTGTGTGTTGTGAGCGCGTCTTCTGCGAGAAACCTGCTGCCTGTCACTGGCGCGCGGCGCACTGCGATGTCAGTAGCAAATCTTGTGCAGGAATGAAGCAGGATGGAAGAGTCTCTAGAGAATGGTAAGACCCTTTATCCGTTGCATTCTCCTTATCGAATCTTACAGTTTCGGGTGAACTGTATCGTCTCTGCGTATCCGGTGCATTGACATGCATTGTCACTATAATCATCGATAATTGAGCGGAGTCGCGTGGGCGCACCACAGGCATATACACACACAATGCATGCAAACACAGTCAAGGAGAGCTTTCCTCCGGGGCGAAAGTATGGTACTCATTTGGCCGATAACACAGTTACGCTTCTATTTAGAGGGATTCCGTCTCCGGCATCGAGTTCCTCGGTGCGAAAATTACTTGTTTCCGAGAAAACGCCGATATCCTATTCGATTCCAGCAAATAGTTTTGTTATGTTGTTTGTTTGTTGATGTTTTGCAGATGAGCCCGAGCCAACGGAGTCTGTGTGCGCGGGTTGTATGAACGTCGTCTTCGATGACGAGTTCGTTTCCGCCCTGGGACAGGAATGGCACATGGACTGTTTCCGGTGCACAGCGTGCGATGCCTCCCTGTCCAACTGGTACTTTGAGAAGGATGGCCTCTTGTTCTGTAAGAACGACTACTGGTCCAGATACGGGGAGTCTTGCCAGCAATGCAATGAAGTACGATAATAACATAACTTTATAACGCGATGGAACGCGCAATTTATTCTTTATTGTTGATCAGATCATAACTGGTCCTGTGATGGTAGCTGGAGAACACAAGTTCCATCCAGAATGCTTCTGCTGCGGCCTCTGCGGCATCTTCATCGGGGACGGCGATTCCTATGCCCTGGTTGAACGTTCCAAGCTTTATTGGTAATATCATCGTCTCGCTTCTTCTTCTGGCCACGCATCGAGAATACCTAATTTCCATCTTTCCAGCGGGCAATGCTACAAAAAGCAGATGCAACCTCTTCAGCGCACCACTAAATGTCCTTTTATCACGAAACCGCATTCCATTAGGCTCGTTGAGGTGCCCAGCGGCCAAAAAGGAATCAAGTTGTCCGCCGATCCTATTGGCACCGCTCATCATCTCACCATTTCCCAGTAAGTTTTATCAATACAAAATTAATACAACATCCTAAAGTATGGAACAGAACTAGAATATTAAAAAATTCTTTACACATTTCTTTATTAATTTTATTAATAATAATTATCATTTAACAAATTAAAAACAACTCAAAATGCAACTGCTTCTTTTCTAATCATCATAACTCATTTTCTGTTACGATTTATTGTTTGATAATGAGCTTCCATTGTTTCATATGAATGTACATTTCTGTATTGTATATATTGTACATATACAATCTTCTTTTTTCTTTTCATATTTGGTGATAAATAAACGATTTTTGTTGTATTTATCATAAATAAACATAAAATGATTATTTCGTGAGATTGGAAACGTTTTGTAAAACGTAGTCTTGATGTTAGTTTACAGTTGCTATCGCTACAGTAGTTTTATATTAATTATTTATGATGACGCCGTCTATTAACCAAGTGGAATCAATAAAAGTAACGTAAACAACCCACTAATAATGCAAATAACGTTTCTTTTACACAAAAATCATATTTATAACTATTTATATATGCATTCAATTTTGTTTGTCATTTTAACGTTCACTCTTTTCCACACTTTAGAATGTAAAATCAATATTTTACTATATACCAAGCTTAAGAACTAACGTACATCGTGATGTATTTTTTTTTTCTTTCTTGCCATTTTTTCTTCTTCTTCGCTGGGATAACTTTTAAGACTGATGTGGCGACTCCACGGGAAATTCATCGGTCTGGCGTTAACTTTTCTAACATCGGCTTGCAATTTCTGCTGCTATCTAACACCTTATAAATCTTATAGGTATGTGCTTTCCCAAATTTAATTACCTATCATACTTATTATCTATTAAATATTTATTTATCGACAAGACAAGATTTTTTTCAAATACTTTTGATGCAATAACAATGTTAATATTAGCTACAAATTCAATTAGGTTGGACGTTAATAATGATCTGATGTCGTTGCACATCGGAGATAGGATATTAGAAATAAATGGTACGCCTGTGAACGATACACCATTGGAGAGTGTTGAGAATCTCTTGAGATATTCAGAGACTGTGATTCAGGTATGTGTTTGACGATAGGAAAATAGCTTGCAGCATATTAAATTGCATTTTGGTGTAATTTTAGTTGACAATAGAGCATGACCCAGAAGCGATTTCGCGCAGCAGGAAACCCCAATTCTCCGCGCTCAGCATAAACTCGACCCCACTGACGACCACTTCCAGTGATACAAACATTCCGACCGTGAAGAGTCCGAGTGTCTTCGAGAAAACTGCCTCAACGGATTCCATATTACTCAGCGATGCTCAGAAGAAGATCGAGGAAGTTGTTCCAAGTGTAGTGACGATTAGCAATAATTCTTTAAATAAAATAAACAAGACGGAAAAGGCTGAAAGGTTGTTCAAACGACGGGATGAGGGCTACATGAGTGGAACCCGTTCCAGGCAGTTGAAAAGGAAGAACAATTTAGAGAGCAAACCTTTTTTGGATAAAGAACGAAGCTCCTCGATGAGCCGCCTTTTAGATGAGTAAGTTCCATCGCATTCATGTAGTTTTGCCGTACAGAAATATAAAAGTATTTGTTGAACAGAGTGCCAAATACGAAAAGACTCACGGAGCTGTCGAGAGCTTATTCTTTCTTGGAACCAAGACCGCAACAACGAGTGTTCCGGGCTTCTGACCTCGTGAAGGGCGAGCTTCTTGGACAGGGTTTCTTCGGGCAAGTCTTCAAGGTGACCACCAAGGATACTGCTGAAGTGATGGTGCTCAAGGAGCTCTACAGAGTGGACGAGGAGGCGCAGAAGAATTTTCTCAAGGAAGTGGCGGTGCTCAGGAACTTGCACCACAACAATGTGCTGCGGTTCATAGGTGTTCTTTACAAGGAGAGAAGGCTGCATTTGGTCACAGAGTACATAGCTGGTGGTACTCTCACCGAGCTATTGCACGATTCTACGCAACAGTTGCCTTGGAGACAACGAGTATCCTTCGCTAAAGACATTGCCGCTGGTATGGCCTATTTGCATTCCATGAATATTATACACAGAGATCTGAATTCTCACAACTGCTTGGTTAGAGAGGTATTTCCAACTATCAACATCTTTGGAATGGATATAAACCTGATTTGTTTCAGGATAAGACTGTGATAGTAGCGGATTTCGGATTGGCAAGGATCGTTTCGCAAGCCACCAACAGTGTACGACGTTCGCCGAAAGGTTCATGCGGGACGGGACCCAAGCGACAGGAGCGCAAGAAACGCTACACAGTTGTAGGAAATCCGTATTGGATGGCGCCGGAGATGATGAAGGGCAACAAATACGATGAGAAAGTGGACATCTTCAGCTTTGGAATTGTTTTATGCGAGGTATTTCAGTGGAATTTCTATACTTTCTACAATAATAATTATATGCAATTAATTTCAGATCATCGGCCGCATTCAAGCTGACCCCGATTTCATGCCGAGATCAAACGATTTCGGATTGAACCAGAACGCCTTCAGAGAAAAGTTCTGCAATAATTGTCCGGAAACTTTTTTCAGCATCGCTTGCCTTTGCACAGATCTCAATCCAGATAAAAGGCCACCATTTGAAGTGACCGAAGTGTGGCTGGAATCTCTTTCGATGCATCTTTTGGTGGGGAAACCGTTGCCCTCGGACTTGCAGTTCGACATACAGCATTTCAGCGGATTGAGTCCCAGCTCCAGCGGAAGCACAACTCCTGAAGGCATTCCTTCTGGTCACCGGAGTCCCGCGCTCGAACCGATCACCGAAGGAAAACTGATCACGCACAAAATTTTCGATCCAAATATTGCCAAGAGTCGCAGTTCCGATAACATAAAGCCCCTCGCCGAAACACTGAAGAAATCCAAGCCGAAGATCTGTGTTTCCGTAGGTAAGCTGAGTAAGAGCTGCGAAAACTGTAGCCTGAAGATATCGGAGATTTGCCTTTGCGACGATGAATTCAGCACTAAAAGCTGCGAGGATTTCTACAACGAGAAAAAACGCAAGGAATTTCCAAACTACGAGAACATCGACTTTTTGCGCAATGACAGCGCTTTCGTGGGCAAAGAAAAGAAGCTCAGCATAAAAGATTTAGGCGTTATAAAGAATGAGCCGATCGAGAACAATCTGAAAGATAATCTGAGAGTGCCATCGCGTCGAGTGCCTAAAAATTTTACCAGAAATCGTTTGATCAAGTCGGAAAATGAGAAGAAACTGGTGGAGGATTCGTGCGTTAAAGATAAAATTAGATCTATCGGTAAGCGGAGCACTTTGGAGGTAACGAAACCAGGGAAAGAAACGAAAGTTTCCAATCTCAGCCTACAGAGTATTACCATGAAACGGAACGGAGCCAGGATTTATCCGCGAGAAAATTACCTGAAAATCCCTGACGTCGTGTCCTCGACTTTACCAGAGAGCGAATCCAAAGCTCCTGCTAATCCCTTCAGCATCAGCAGGAATATATTCAAGCAGAACGACGCCAACAAGATTGAGACGACGGCTGCCGGCGAGACGGATAAGAAAGCCGTCGGCGAACAGAAGGAAATCTCGAAACCTTTGAGCGATCGTATAGCTTCGATTTTCAGCAGCGGTGCCATAAAGAAACAGACTGAAAGTTCTAAAGAGTTCGGATTGAAGAAGTCCCCGAAGAATCTGTATATTGCAGGCGAGAAGCGGAGGGCCTTCACACCAATTCCCGAGAGGAAACAGTACTGCATGGACGATCGACCGAAGCAGTCGTTGGTGAGGAACATCGTGGACACGTTCAACAGGAAGGAGGTCGGAAAGTTCGATTTCGACCACAGGAACAAGTACGGTAGGGGCTCGTTGAAGGGAGCTTCCAAGTCGGACAGAACCATTCCAGAAGCGGAAAGCTCTTCGGATACAAGCGAGTTTACCGTTTTGTAAACGCGTATTGTTACATTCCAACACGATTGGAAATTAGTATTATATTGGGCTCTAAAATTGGAAAAAAATTATAATTGAATGAATTATTTTTCATAAGTAAATACAATATTCGTGAACAGAAAAGTGCAGGACGCAAATATTCCAACTATGTTAGTAATGACACAATTAAATGATTATTGTTTTTTTTTTCTCTGTATATTTTTAAGTTAAATAGAATTGTTTGATATATATATAAATGAGTACATTTGAAGTGAAGTCGAGTGTTTCTCAGCTGTTAAAGTTTAACGCCGCTTTGTTGTTTGCAATTTATTGTTGTTTATGGAAGCGACGTGGAGAAGCGCCGATTCGCGTAGTAAAAAAAAAATAATAAGAAATTCCGTAATTAAGTATATTTTTTTAAATAGTTTATTGTTAATATTTACTAATTTACTATTACTATGTGATTCTCTCATTTCGCTGAATTCGTACAAAGATGTTTTTAGCATATATACAAATTTCCCTTTATGTGTTTTTATATATTTACATACGTACAGGAACATATAAAAAAAAATATGATTTACTTAATTACTAATATTTCTGTGATATTTTAGTGTGTAAGGAAGAATATTGTATTTGGCTTTTTTTTTCTCTCATTTTATATATATACAAAAGAAAAACAAACAGGAGTAATTATTAAGTATTAAAAATAAATACATAGGTTATTATTATTATTAACAAAACTTGTGCTTGATAAATCAATCAACGTTATCTATGGATTTCAGAGTATCCTCTACTTTCTGCGCGAGGAAGTTCAGCTGTTCCAGCATAGCCACCTGATTCATCTTCACGTGGAGCAAGGTCATCCTCTGCTTGAGGGAGGCCATGTGCATCTGCATTATATCCGTGTTCATGTCCTCCAGCTGCTTCAAGGTGCTCGCGTAGAACTCGACCTCGGCGCTGCCAGTCTCCTCCGCCTCCAGCCGATCCCGAATGTTTCCTACATCCGCGCTCTCCATTGTCCTGAAACGGTCTGTAATTATTCAGTAGATGTCGCTAAAGAAACAATTATTGATTTTTCGAGCGTGTGCTTCGAGCGTCGTCGAGCACAGGGTTGAAGAAAATAACATACATCCCTCATGTTTTCGTGAACGGGGCCAACAGATTAAATCGTTATTAGTTCGTTTCACTTAGATACATCTTCAGACAAGGTAATCCCATCTCGCAAGTAGCATTCGCAGCATGCTCACTCTCATCCACAAGAACCACAAAGTATTCGCATACAAATAAAGAAAAAAAAATATCAATTTTCACAGACAAATGCACGCGGACTTATGAATATTGATACACACGATAACACCTGCATGCATGCGACTCGATGAACAAAATGTAAATGGGTGTAAATCCAAAATTGTGTTTATTTTTATGCTTTTAGCTCCTACGAAAGATATTTGCGGATGACCAATACTATAAAAGCAACCTTTTCTGAGAACATACATTTAAAAATCAATTGGTACAGTAAACATTTTATGTTATTACTATATCGCATGAACCGTGATAGACCGACTTCTAGCATTGCATGTATAAGCAAATCCAGTCTTCAAATCAATTCTTTTATATGAAACATCAAACTGTTTGTAGCATTAAAATATATTTCTTATTATTATTACTATTGCGTATTTGGATTAGTTTAATATTAATGTCCAGATCTTAATCAGTCATCGGTTGAACTAGACCTCTGCAGTAGAATAAATATTGAGAGAACGTCCAGCATTGTTGGAACTATACCAAGACGCATAACTACAAATGCTTCAAAGACCACTGACACTGTGCCAAGTTCAATTAACATATCCAATATACTTACCATTCCCATACTTACTAAAGTGCTCTATCTTACTGAATGTAAACAATGTTTATTATGTATATACGTTATTGATTCTAACGGAAAGCCCTTATACTATTATTGATAGGCGCCCTTCGCTTACGTATTTTACTTTTAAGCCAACTATAAATAGTCTTCAACGTCGCAGGAGTCCTCGAAATTTGAATCTCTTAATAAAAGATCACCCCAAAACTAACCAAAAGTATTGAACGAATTACATACAAACATCAGTGTAAAACTGTAACTCAATTGTTGGATTTCATAGTATAATTCATAGAAAAACTCAATATTTTCATATAGATTCAATTTACGTTCCAAGTGTTTACTCAATACTTAAGTTATTGTTATTTTTTTTTTAAATAATTTAATTAAAAACAAACAAAGTTTTAATTGATTTAATACTCCCCGCATTGGAATCCGCACGCGTTTCTCAATGGAAACAAAAATCGGAAAAATCATTCAAGGTTCCATCCAGTTCCATCTATGGCGCCTGGCACAGAAATTCTGTTGCATCATACCACCCACTTTCACCTTGAATCCCCTTACCACAAAATAATTATGTTATATTACATTTACATTAACCTAAAGCTTGATTCTATATTTAATTGTTATATTGTATTAATTAAATTACAACATTTTAATTCAAATAAACAACAATATTCTCGAATTACGAAAATATAGAAGGAATTTAAAAGAAAATATTTGAATTTCACCCAATATATGAAATTTCATTGTATTTCCACGCATTTGTGAAAATTAATTCGCGCAATCTGCTATTTTCAATTTTGTGGATACGATCAATATAACATGTGTAGGCTGCGGTCTGTAGGTGGTACGGTACGTAAATGGAATGAAAGAGGCTTTAAAAAAAAATAATGAATTAACATCATAAAATTCTCTTCATATTACAAATGGAATTTTTTAATTTGTATTTATGAAGAAGAAAAACTACTGCGAGTGATTCTAATATTAATAGACATACATTTAATCGTTTTGTTCATTTCACGTACATGAAGAGTATATAAATAATGAGTTTCAATCATTAACACATGCAATTTATAAATTGTAAATAGATTCAATGCCATTACAGTTATTGCTAATAGTGGAAGTAGTAGTAGTATGCGTAGGCTTTAGCTTTTGTTAATACTTCAAATACAGTTAGCGTTCACTTAACGTACAACTCTTGTCCGATGATACGTACATGACAATTAACGACCCCGACAAATAATAGCATTCATATTGTGTAATTATATGATTAAAGCAAATTTGAGACGTTTTTTCCTTACAATAAATTTTAGTTATTACAAATAACAATACTTAACCTTTAACTACTCGCGCCGGTGTTAAATGTAAAACAATATTATAAAATATGCTAGATAAAATATGCAAGATGCTACCACATCTATATTATCTTTCTCCCATCTATGACACTTAACGTAACCTATGCCCATAGTGTTTACTAAATGCTGGTACAAATAAGTTATTTTGTGCACGTTTGTTCTTACTCTGCAGTGTTTATGTAACATAAATTAGAAATTATTCAGAAATTATTATATTATGTATTACAAATAGTTATGAATCTAATAAAAAAAAGCATTAGTTAACATGGAAAAGTTTCTTTTTGTCATAATACATGTGGTGTATAAAATACACCGCGCGAGTAGTACATATAAATTTCATGGCGCGAGTAGTTAAAGGGTAAATAAAATTGTAGATAATTCAATAAACATACATATAAATATATTAAAAAAAGTACAATTTCAAAAGAAACATGAAAACAATGTACGTTCGTGAGAATAGAGTGTACCAAAAAAATCGTAAATGGAAATTCAAAGGCCGTTTAACGTACATTCGTTTAGCTTGCGGATATTTGTGTATGCATTATGTACGTTAACTGAGCGTTGAGACTGTGTTCGCTCTCCGTTCAAAACCCTAAATTTATATGTTGCTGTATCCTAAATATTATTAAAATGTAATCAATAAATTAATAAGCAAATCTACAAAGGAAACGAGTTTAAATTTAGAATTGTGGCAATGTTAATAAATTTCTGAAATATGTAATTATGTATGCACGTAACCGAAAACAAAATGTAATACAAACAGTAGTAAAATTCGTCTATTTACATATTACTTTTGTGATTAATGCAATGAAACTTGGTAGATAATTTAGAGGAAAAATAACCTCGTAATCAAAATAAAACGTAATGCGTTTTATAAAAAAAAATGTATATGTTGAAAGTTAAATGGTCGATGGTCAATTTGGAAGAAAACCTTACAAATTTAATTAGCTTTCTATTAATTTTTATCAGCTGTCTGCAAAAAAAATGTTTAATTTTTAATAAATCAATATAATTGTCAATTATTTATAGTCATTAATAGTCATGATTTAATGATTATTCATATTGCGATCAAAGTGTGTTATGCGTTATCTGAATTATGTCTGTGAAAAAAAACAAATGCAATTTAATAAATTCTGGAATTGATTAAATAATGAATGAATGAATGAAGTCCATATAAAGGGGAGTTTGCAAATAACCATTGTACGTGATGATAAAGATAGGAAATGATGAACGGAATGTCGCATGTAAATTTCGATGATATATGATTTGAATTTTTAAAATTTTACCTGTGGGTCGATCTGCAAGACGACTGCAAGATAATTTTCTACAATTCTGGCAGGGTTTTCGGGCAGAAAGGGAGAGAGAGATAAAGAGAGAGAATAAAAAAAGAGTTTAGAGTTTAGAAAGAACAGGACCAAAAACAATTCGCCGCAATGCCGTAAATCTGGAACCCAGTATGTGTGACGCCACTGTTAGCGTCCTTTTCTGGAAGCAGCTGGATGGAAAGCGCAGCCAATCACAGACCGGCAAATCGCATTTCAAATAACTGTTTTCCCGAAAACGCATTAAAATATTAACGAAAATCCAGTTCTCATCAATAAATCATAATTGGCGATCAAATTCATCATATTCTTGTGATCATTTAAATGTATTTGCATTTTGAACAGCGCGCGTGACGTTGTTGTTGTCAGAAACCTCTGTCGGAAACCTCTGGGCGAGCGACCAATAGGAGTGCGGCTACTCGGTTTGGCGTTTGATTAAAATCCGGTAAGGCAGGAACAGGACAAATAGTTGAACATCGAGCAGTAACAAGTCAAAGTTAGTAGTGAAAAATCGGTTTGTTTTTTTGGAAACTTCAACTATCCGCCCTCCTTTTTGAAGGACCTTTTTTTAAACTGTAAATTACACGTAAGTAAGAAAAATCATTTCCATTTAACCGCATTTATGCAAGAGCACCCCGGAATCTCATTGCAAAACATTCTCGCATAACCAAAAAATGGGAACCTTCTCCTGGACGCACAGGGCCTTCTATTTCAATATATGAAATACAGCAGGACCCTTTTTTTGTTTTTTTTTTATATTTTCGATATTTGCACAGACATTTGCAGACATTCATGTAACAATGCACCAAAAAATTAGTGCACTGCTGCATAATAGTTCACCAAGTACATCATTCATATTCTAATATTGATTAAATAATTCAGTGTTCCGTAAAACACCTACTGTCCTTGTTCCCAAGACCAATCACATACACATTTTGTTTTCCGACATAAAACACTGAGATCTGTAAATCAGTGATATGATTGTCTTTCGAAATTTTTCATTCCCTCAACTGCTTGAACCTTCTTGTGTGCATCGTCAAATATTTTCCACATGTAATTTTCAAGTAAATCAATATTGATTATGCAGATGTCATTTTTTCCTTATTAATCAAAAGCAGTCTGGTATACTAACAGCAAGCAATTATTAAGTTATTACCATATGAAACAAGAATAAACTTGCTGCTTCACCCTCGTTTAGCTTAGAAAAATTAGTTTTGTTTACATTTAAGAAAATTTATTTAAATTTGAAATTGACAGGAAAGACATTTCTTTGATTTTTAAAAGTTTACAAATATTTTCAATGAAATGCAATATTATTGTTGTATGAAAGTATTATATAATGATTATTAATAGAAAATGTTTAAAATTTGATGATACATATTTAGGTGAGAAAACTTTTGTAGACATTATAAAATATCTGCAAGATAATGAGATTGTTTTAGAACTGATAACAGTTTTATGTATGGTATGAGAAATAATCTAACATTAAAATCTTATTTTTATTTTAATAAATGATTTTGTTAAAACATGAATTAAGTATGTATAATGTAATAATTGTGTTCATTACCTTCAATTAAAGTGTTGCACTTTATACTTAGGTTTAATTGATTGTTAAAAGGCAATTATTGTCTTATTATAATAGAAGTTTTAGTTGAATGGAAAGAAAGAAGTACTATTCATTTATTGATCTGATTGTATGTAACTACTGGTAACAGTTGGTTTATATAAAAATGGGGGTATTTTGTTTATGGTCTTGCCGTATGCACGAGATAGTCGCAATTACGTGCTGAAATGTGGGCCTCGTGTGTTATATGCAATGCCGTAAAGGCTTCGTGATTTCGACGTTGTTTAATTAGGAATCAATGCAATGAGCTTCAGAACTATCAGTCTGCATGACAGTTTTTGGATATGTGCGTGTGTGTTTATAACGTATATTGATAAAGCTTCTTTTGATGGGTTTGGTGGGGGTCTTCTGGGCTCATAGCTATGCATAATAATCTTTTGCCCAGTTTGGTTTTGATCATTAGATGGCTGAACTGATTGCTCGGGCGACCGTTCGAATCAAAGACTTTTCCGCTTATCGGAAGATCATATCCAAGTATTGAATTCGTTACTAAAAAAATAGTTAATGAACTAGTTATTGGATGCGACTAATATTTCACCTTTAATTTTGCAGGTCTGCAACAAAAAACACAGCCAAGATGTCTGACCGCAAGGCCGTTATCAAGAATGCCGATATGAGCGAAGACATGCAACAGGATGCTGTCGATTGCGCGACTCAAGCTATCGAGAAGTACAACATAGAGAAGGTAATTAGTTTGAGTTTACCCGAAACGACGGTCCGTCTGTAATGTTTCGTTTATTGTTTCAGGATATAGCTGCATATATCAAGAAGGAATTTGACAAAAAGTACAACCCGACGTGGCATTGCATCGTTGGCAGGAACTTCGGTTCATATGTTACACACGAGACCCGCCACTTTATCTACTTCTATTTGGGACAGGTGGCAATTTTGCTTTTTAAGAGCGGCTAAAGAGATCGGGGGCAAAAATGACTATAAATATATGAAACCTACACATTAAAAATTCACTTAAACAAAAAAATACACACACACTTATTCCGTACATAAACTTTTTTTTTATAATTTAATTTTCGATTTGAAATTTTTTTGAAAAGATATAATTTTTCACTAATACTAAGGCAGATACTTAAAACAAAACAAGAAAACAAATCTTCTCTAATCTGTAATATTTTGCTCGATACTACTACTATTACTACTACTAAAGATAATATTTTTATTTTAAAATATATGAGTTTGATATAAATGCAGATATTTTTTGGGCTTTACAGTTTATTATTATTATTTTTTTTTTCTCTTTCTCTCTCTCTCAGATCATCATTTATTATATAAAGTATCTATAGCTCCGTATATATAGATATACACATATGTGTACACGTAAAAGAAAAACAGGATAATAATCGAAAAGAAATTGACTTCTTTTATTTTGGACATGGCAAATCAAAATTATAATTTTTCAATTCTGGCTGTATATTAATTATTATTGTTTTCGTTTAATAAATATATTCCATAGTTATGTAAAAGATCTGTATACACTCCAAATGAAACTGGGTGGTAAATGTGTAGCGGTGGTCTAGGTCTCTCGAAGCCTCTCTCTTATTTGGAAATTGATGAAGAAGAAAAAAAAATGGAAACTCTCAAATTAAATGTATTAATGTTATCTTCTATATACATATATATATTTTTATGTGACAAACCCTCGAACCGCCTCCCATCTTCATTCACCAGCAATGGACGAAACCCTAATATTATGTATATGTAGTATATACTAAATGCTCTCTTAGAATATTATTCTTTCTGTTCCATAACATATATATATATATTATATATATACACACTTTCATACACTTGGTGTGCAGTCCCGACTTTTACAAATATGAAAGAATAAGTACTTGATGCATGTCTACTGCCTTTCTCTTTATATATATATATATTATAAATTGACGTTAACAAATGTTTGTTTCTTCTCCTTTCAATTAAATTCTTTCAATTATTGTTTTTCTTTTTAAATTATATATTATACTATAAATGTTCTGAAATACTGCCAAAAAAATCGTAGCAATGTGTTTCTTTACATATATATATATATATAAATATATTTTGTGTATATTATTATTATTTAAATAGCGCACTTGAAAGGATTTAATTTGATAGTGACAAATGTGGAAAATATCAATTATCTTTATAACAAACAGCACAATATATATACATAATAGGATATATTTTGTAAAACGTTTCTACATAGTGTTCGATATTTGATATTTTTTTGTTTTAAAGTTTCGTTTTTGTTTCTTTGTTCACCAGTTTGATGTACTCTCTTTTTTTGTTTCTTCGTTTTTTTACTTATTTTTGTCTCTTTTTTTTTCAAATTTTCACGTCCTAAGTTTGTATTTGTTGTTTACGTGGCAGATTATAGGAATTCACCTTGTCTTAATTACATCTTTATATATTCTATACGTGCATTGCGTAATGTATTTAAATGTATTTCTTGATATACCATAAGGTTGTCTTTAATGCGAGTATTTAATTAAAATAAATTGATGTTATTTTCATCCTAACAAGGAATCGTGATTGGGATACAACACTTACACACACTCATTGTTTTTCATTTTTTTTTGGAATGTCGCTGAAGGAAGCCGCAGAGATCCTAAACTATTTTTTTTCCTATATTAATGTTTATAAAATATATAGTTAATCATTTCAGATACATTTTATTTGAATGCATCTTCTCCATCCTCACACAATCCATCCAAATCTTGTGGAATTTCATAAGATTAACTTGTAGTTGAGTAATTTCTCTCTCTCTCCTGGTTTCTGTTTAGTGTATACTAAACAGTTTATTATTAGCTAATCGAAGCTGTACCTTTTGGAGCGAATCAATTCGAAATTTGCCAAGGACAAACATCTATTTCTTACTTCAAAAAAGTTTTGATCGGTATACTTCGTGTTCGTCGTAAATACACGAACGTTTTGCTCTTTGCATATTAACCAATCACGATAGAGCTATTAGTCTCGAGTGTTTTTTTTAAAACTGTATTGATGATTAATATATTTGTTGTTTCCTATCGAAGGAGTTTGTATAATCAATATTGTATTATCGTTAGGCAACCCATATTCCGTGAGTTAATTTAAATCAACTTTGATGTCCTGTTGCTATTGACGACAGGGTAAAGATTGCTAGATTTCAATGAAATTCTACTGCAAGTAGTAGCAAAAAATTCAAGTTTTATAGCAGGATAACTTTTATTGCCTGAAAGGAGAATATTTTAATATCCTTTCCATTACCACTAATGTTCTTTTTATTATAATTAATTCTGTGAGGATTTGAAAATGAGAAAATTGTTTCACTATTGAAGTAACGGGTCTATATCGCAAGCCCGACAACCGAAAGACCGAAATCCCGACTGTATCAGGATCTCGACAACCATAATCCCGACTATATCAAAATCTCGACTACCATAAAAATGTTATTGTAGAAATTTATAATAATAAAAGACACTGTCGGGATTTCGATATAGTCAGGATTTTGAGCCAGCCGGAATTTCGATACACTCGGGATTTCCGTTGTAGGGCTTGCGATTGTCACCGTGAAGTAACATAGCTTACTACAATATCCGCTCTAAGTTAATATTGAAAATATTTCTTGCATTTGATGAAGTTTCATTTATTTGTTTGAAAATTAATGTACTAAAACAAAACATTATGAAAGTATAGTCACGTATCTAAACAGTTGAACGGAGGAATTAATGCGGAAATACGTGTGCAACTCAATCGTATTGGGATCACGGAAGCGCCGGTGATTACGCACCGGAATATTCATGGGGGCGTCGCGACGACCACCGCCTCCGACGTTTTCCTAATCAATCGATGCTGCCGCCAACGAATGCCAACCTAAAACGTACGCTTTTCCTGACAGATGCCGCCGTTATAGATTTTTTTTGTTTATTCGAGTGAGTGCTTTATTTATACATCTAATAAAGGATACCGGTGAAAAAAAAGGTATCGAACTTCCTGAAATTATCCCCGCCCATCCGCTTCCTCGCCGGAAGTGCAAACTCAATCGATTTCCGTTTTTTTTTTTTGCAATAATTTTTTTTTAATAATTTTCTTGCGTTCCCGCAGCGACGACAATGGAAGAGACCGTGGAAAATTTGGAAAAACAGGTACTGTTGAAAAAATTGCATTTCCTTGATAAGTATCATCATTAATTTGATTATTATTTTTTTGGTTATTTGAATAATTCAAAATGGACATGATTTTTGTTTTGCACACTTCAATTGTTTTGAAGTTATATGATTATTAAACCAACACCCTAAATCGATTTATTTCTTAAAAAAAAACAATGAAAAAGACATTAAAATATTATAATACCAACACAATTAATTGATTTTGAAACGACGTATTTCATTTAAATATTCTGGAAAACAATCGTAATTTCTTTGTCAAAGTATATAAAATGTATGTTTACTAAATTTTTGAGTTTTTAATAAAAATACATATGAAGTTCAATAACAACAATTTATAAAACAATTAACTATGTTGCTAGGTAACTAAGTCAATAATAATATGAAAAAGAAGTAGTATTAACTTATAAAGTTATGAAATGAAAAGAGTTTTAAAAGTCTTAAAATATATAATATTTTTAATTGTTAATGATGTAAATATACTTTATCCTTTATTTGATTGATGATGATCGAACGATGAATTTGAATAATTGCGTTATTTTTGTTTTAGATGGAGAAGGCTGGCGAGAAATTGGACAATTTAGCTTTGCAGGTGGGAAACATAGAGTCGGAGATATTCGCAGAAGAGGGCAACCAAATAGAGGTGTTCTCGCTGTTGAAGTCGGTTAACGAGGTGAAGAACAACTACCAGAATCTGCGGAAAGAGTTGTCCGACGTGCAGGATCTGCAAAAGCAGGTGAGCAGCTCGCTGCAGGTGCAAATCCGGATGATGCAGAGCAAATTCAATACCCTGAAAACGCTGATCACGACGAACGCCACGCAGAAGCGGCAAACGACGGAGGTGCCCAACCTGCTGATGGACGTGCAACACCACCACCACCATCATCATCAACAACAACAACATCACCACAAGTACAATGCGAGTTCGAACGTGGAGCTGGAGAGTCAGTACGATGACGGCGACGGGGAAGATGATGATGACGATGACTACTAGATAAGTGCCAGTAAGCTTTACCAATAGTCAACGGCAACTGAAACCTCTAAGGATCGAGCCTTCGTTGTCGAATTCTATTTCTTTTTCATTATTAGTGCGCTTAGATCAAACATAACTTACGACAGTCGTTCTTTTTTGCAAAGCAAAACAAAAAACAAGACAACTGCGATTTTAGCGTTCGTTTCGTTACTTTTTCGTTAGTTACATATTTTTATTTAACGATCAAGTGTGTACGAAGACTTGTTTCATTTGATTTTTGTAAACCGTTTTTGTTTTTGTTTGTATTTTTGCGAAATGCGCGGCGCTCTACGCCATTGTCAACATATATTTTTTCTAATTGAATCGGAGAGGAGAGTTTGTTTCAAATACGAGAAACTAAATTGGGAACCAAAGTGGAATCAATCCAAAGAAAATTAACAATTTTATTTATTTGTTTTTATGTAATGTTACGATATTTAAATGTTTTATGCATGCGGAATGAAGGCTTCCTTTTCCTTTTTTGTTTTTCTTCTCTATGTTCGAATTTGTCACTGTGATTGGTGTTTATTGTTTTTATCATTTCTTCCATTGTTTTCGTCTCGTTTCGTCTATGTTGATTGTTGATCACAATATAAATATATATAAAAATTATAAATATATTTAAAAGAGATGATTAGTGCAAGTACTTGAATGCATATATATATCTTTGTCACGCATTTCTTAGACTCTTAGGCACCTAAGACTAATATTGATATTAATAGAGCAATTGCATGCATGCGACTACTAAATTAACGTGTTAAACACACCTCAATGGTAACGGAAACCTATTAATCAACTACTACGACTTCTATATTAAGTCTTACTACACTCGTATATCAACTTAAAGAATATTTGGACTTGCGAGAGACCGGACGGCGATGATAATAAAGGCACGATCGTGATGACCTCTCCATCGGCTCGTTTTCTGCATGTTCTTAGAATCAAAGTCAATTTGTACACGAGACTAAGCCGATTAGTGCAATATATTTAGCATTTAAGGATGTACAATTTATTTATCTGGTTTATTTATCATTGATGATTATTTTATAATTTTTGTATTCTGAGAGCAGAAAATAAGTGATGGAAAATATCGGGACAGACTATTTTTTTTAAATTCATCAAATATTCCCATTGTTGGACAACATCGACGCATTTCCATTGAATACTCTTCTTTAAGACTGATAATTACTTTAAGGAATTTGAAGACACTAAAGAGGAATTGAGCTTACGCTTCGAGAATAAGTGTGAACTAATTGAAGTCCTGACTTCAAAAATAATGTATCATTGATTTTATTTAATCTTTAGTTGTATAAGCAACTTTTTCTCACGAATATAAACAATTTGAAAATAATGGAATTGATGCTAAATTTCCAAGATTAATTTAACACACTTAAAAACATTGAAATTAAAGTGAAAATGTGTCGAAATGAAAAGACTAATGACATTATTAAGTAATGTTATATCAAAAGAGTGATAGGGTTGAATTATATTTGATATTTTGTATAAAGGAAATGCGTTTGTAGGACAACAATGGGAATTCTTTTGATCGCGAACTGAAGGACAGATGTGTATATTTTTAATAAACGAAATTAAATTGTTGGAATAATATATGAAAAAAGATAGAAAAAAGAATAAGGAGAAGGAGAGTATTAGATATTTGTACCTGAATTTTTTGATGGAAATAATTTTGTGTATATAGATATGTTATGGAAGCGAGTACGTAAAATGTGTTAGACAAAAATGAAATTTCTTCTTCCGGAAGCTGACAACGTCTTCGTTTAGTGCACTTCAACTCGCAAATGGGACTACTTGCTAAAATTGATATCAACGTTATTTCAAGATTTATTTTACAATTATCATATAGAAGAGGGACTTGTGATGATGAGAGAGGGGCGAGAAATTTTTCGACAATATTTTTAAGCTAAGTAAATTTACAAACAAACTAAGGAAGAAAAAAGTACGCGTATTTTAAAATTTTAAAAATCATACAGCTCAGTATTATCAAATGAGTTTAGATTCGTTTTTAATTCCAATTTATACACTATTTTTCACTTATTTATTATTATTATTTTTTATATAGATTGCAACCACGATTGAAATCGAAAAGATATTCACTGTTAGTTAAATTATTACTCACATTGTGCATGTGATTAAAACAATTGAACCACTATTATTTGAGAATGTTCAATATCTTTTAATTTCTTATGTTTTTTTTTTGTTGAACACACGATATTTTGATTTATATTCTCTTTTTTGTTTTGTACGTTTTACGACGGTTTTCATAGTGACACACTTTTGCTCAACTATCTTAAATATGAATATCTATCTGAACTAATAATAATGGAAACAATAACTTTTTAGCACAATATATATGATAATTATACATATTACACTATATATTTATAGATAAATTATATATATATCAAGAATTATATATCAAGGAATTAATAAAGTTACTCATTAAGGGAATGACTAATTTGACAGGATAATGATGGGAAACGTGCGATATTTTTTTTTGTAGCACATATCTTGTATAACTAGGGCACCTTATTGTAATGGATTTGAAATATTTGTAATAATGTTAACATGTTGAATGAAATTAAATAAAAAGTATTTACAAACAACCGTCTAAATCTTTATATTATTCCATAATTATATACATTGACTATTATTCCTTGTTGCCTATTTTTTTACAATTTTGGCGTGACAGTTTCAACTTCTCCGGTGCAAGCGATGACCTCGATTTCGACGGTGGCGCCCAACGGCAATTTTCCTACTTGATAGGTCGACCTGGCTGGGAAATCCTTGGTGAAGACTGCAAAAAACTGAAGATCAGCGAACGAATCTTTCGAACGATTTGGAACTTACATTCTTTGTAGACGTCGTTGACGGCTGGGAAGTCGTTGATGTCGTTCAAGAAGATGGTGCTCTTCACGACGTTGGCGTAGGATGAACCTGCAGCCTCCAAGATGTGTCCCAAGTTCTTCAAACCTTGCTTAGCCTCTTCGGCGGCGCCTCCCTTGACCAGTTTGTTGGTATCTTTGTCCATTCCCAATACACCGGACACGTAGACCATCCTGTCCACGACAACCGCTTGGCTGAAACAAGTTTTGTTATTGTTTCATTGTTTTTCTTTTTGTTAATGAAAATGTCGAGTAAATTATATCTATCGAGTTATTATTATTCAGTGCATTACTTGTAGGGCGCCACCGGTTTCGGGGCTTTGGCGGTGCTGATGATCTTCCTGATTACCTTAGACATCTTCGGGATGGCGAATTGAAACTGATCGAACGAAACGTCCTGCAAGCTGGTAGAAATTCGGAGCGCAATAGAATATTATGTAACAAAGTTCATCCGAGACGCGATTCAATCGAAAGCCTTGAACTCGCGCTATCTCCCCTAAACAAATATTGTGTACTACATTTCCCAAAATGATTAAACGCGATCGACCGCCAAATTGCATAAGATATTTGACAACTAAATTGACCACTACAGCTAATTTATCAAAAAAAAAAACAATACATTTTGTAAATTGTAATATATAAGAATATTCTAGCAAAATACACGATATCTTTAATATAAATAAAACGAAATAACAATTCTACACTTTAGTATAGAACTAAGTTAAAGAAAATCTTTGCAAATTATAAAATTTGAATATTTTTATTAACGTTAGCCTGTTGTAATTGTAGCAAATTCAAGTATTATTAATCCTATCAGGCGAAATATTACATTTATTAATTGATAAACAATTTTCAAACTTTTTATTAATATTTTTGGTCATTAGATGGCGCTTGAAATATATGCTATTCAAAGACAGTGACGGACTTGGCCACTTTGGATCGCAACAATATTTAATTTTTTGCGACGTAAAAGCAACACAAAATAGGATATAATTGTTCGCTATTGTACGTGTTAATTGCTCGTCAAGGATATAAGGTAAAGATATTAAAAAATAAAATTATGAATTGTTTAATCATGTTTGATTGAAACTAGTAAATATATTTTATTATAATTTACATAAACAAGTATAAAATAGACATTTAGTTTTACATTCGTTTTAAATATATGAAGTTTACAACAATCTTAGGTCTTAAATCCAGTACTTAAATTCGTATGATGCGACTATTCTATATGCACGATTAATATCAGTTTTGTACATATGTTACAATAAACATTTAGTGTAGAGTATTTGTTCCTACTATTTCGAACTGTAGTAGTATCTAACGATGGTCTCCTTATCAAAGTTCTCATTGGTGAAGCCGGTTGGATTGGATATGTGCGAGTTGTAGACCTGCGAATGCCTCTTCAAATCCATGCAAGTAACTGGAGCGTACTTGAAGTACATGGCCAGTTCCGAGTCTAGATTGAATATTTGGTTGGTCTCACCGTTGTTTATGTCGTTGATAGCAATTAAGGACTGGAAACCCACGTTGTTGATAAAAACCTCGTCCAATTTCTCGATGATGATGCTCCCTTTGCCACCTCTCACTCTTCGCACGTACTCCTCAAATATCTTCAGATATTTAATGGAAGACTCGAGCGGAACGATACCCGCCTGCAGCATAGACATTACTTTCGGAACGAACTTGTAATTGGTTTCGACGAAAGTCGTCTGTTCTCTCAACTGAGGCCTTTCCAGCAAACGTCTGCACTCGGAGATTAACGAAGTAGTTTCCGAGAACTCGTGAATTATTTCCGTGACCTCCTGATGGTACTTGGCGTGAAACAAAGCGGCCTCCATCCAAGTATCCCATCTGCATTTTACCACTTGCGGCGGCTGCGATAAATGCGGTAACTTTTCTTTGAACGTCTCCAGCCTCAGGGGAGATTCGTAAAATATGTTTTCAAAGTTCGTAATGAAACGAGTCAGGGCCGGCACTTGCTCGCTGATTTCCTCCGCCACCTGATTCAGACCGTTCAGCATGCATGTGACGTGGATGAGATTTTTGTACATTGTCTTCAAATACTGGCCGGCCTTCACCATGTGGCGGCTCGAGTTGGATACCAGCAGTAGAACCTTATCCGCCGGGACCTTCTCGGGTAGGAAGAAGTTACTCAGAGTTGTGCTTATGAAGTTGGAAACTGTTAGGTAGTCCGACTGGCTTAGTTCCTTGATGGTGATCAGGTATTGCTTTCCCTTGCAGTCAGTCTTCAGGATGCCCAAGCTTATGCTCCCTATGTAACGCCCAGCCTTGTCCGCGGTTTCGTCGATGATCACGTAGAAATAGTTAGTTCCAACGGATTCCTTAATCTCGGTCATGACATTACTATAGATATCCTCTAAATACACCTTCCGCATGATGCTCTCTTCAGGTATGCATTTCTTGCAGTACTTTTCGAGGAATTGCTTGAAAGAGGAATTGTCGAGATTCTGCAAGGGGATGTTGCTGGTTAGAAGCGATTTACATAAATCGTACTTGAACGAATCGTTGGTAGCGGAAGTTGTAGGCGACAACGGTGGATCCTCCTTCGCTTTCAATTTTGCTTTGGGTTTTTCATTCTTCTTGTGGTTATTAATGTGCGAGATCACTTGATTCTTTGTTTTGCATGGAATCTGCAACAATATTGAAAATTACATATAATCTCGCAGGCCATTGTACACTACTCACTTTTTTTATGTTATCAACAATAAATAAGCATCAAGCTATAATAATAAAATGTGAAAATTTCAAATAAATTCAGAAGCGCCCTCTGGATACAACCACTAACATATGTATTGATCGTAAACAGTGGCGTGGTAGTTACATAAATAATTTGAAGGAATAGTATCGAGTTATCTCGCTTCACTAGCGGGAATTGTAATAACAAAAGTACAATCAAGTAACAATACACAATTACATTGATAAACCGAATGAATCGTACGAATGCTATTCTACAAAGGCAAATAAAAGTATTAAAAAAAAACAAGCAAATATTTTTTTTTTTTCGATTTCCGCCCTGTATAATAGAGAAATAGCAAAATCCAGATAATGAATGAAACAATGCCGTCAGTTAGATAGAGACTGCCATAAAACTTAAGAAATTAAACCGTGTGTAACCGTTGCCAGGGACTCACCGCCTTCTTGCAGGGAACACAGAATATGATGTCGCCGTCCATTTGGAAGTCGGGAAAATCCTTTATCCACCATGCGAGCGATTTCAGAGAGCACTCCTTCGGCATTTTGTCTAACGTAGATTACAAATTTATAGCAAACCGTGTTTGTTGTTGCTGCGATTTATTATCCAAAACAATCGATGATTGTAAAACAACTGCATTTTGTGTATACCGAGGGCGCTGCTGATCAATAATGTCAAACTTTCAACTTTTTTGACAACATGTATAATTCAAAGGGGGGATGGATTTCGCGTATTCATCAATACGACGGAAAGAAGTGAACGATCATATTTGCTCATAAACAAATTTTATTTACAGTAAATGTATCCATTATTTTTGGATATACACAGAAATCGAATATCTATGGTTCTGTGAATAGAGAATATCAATTGCGTCGCCAAATGTCGAAAGCGTTTAAAATTATTTGAAATAAATATATTACGTAAACTAAATTATTTTCATTATCTTTGATAACTGCCGAAGCCCAATCCGACACCACGCATCGTGTGCGTCGCAGTTCTGGCTACTTCGTACTGCTGCTCCATGGTATGGAAGAGCTCTTCCTGCTTCTTGACCATGTCTGTTGGCTTCGCACCATTGCTGCCGTTTCCTCCAGCCGGCTCTCTAATTCCCATTAAACGTTTAAATTTGCTCGCTTGCTTCCCTAAAATATATATTGATACGTGCAATTATCCGCTAGACTAGACTTAATAAAGCAATTACCATCTTGATCTTGGGCGAAAATCGTTGTCTCCCAAACTTTGCCAGTCTTTGAGCCCGAACCCGACGATGCAATACTATTGAAGGTTGTAGATGTAGCAGGATTTGGTGATGATTTTCTTTCAGGCTCAGCTGGTTTCTTCTGCCACAATTGCTTCCTCTTCTCCATTTGTTCGCGAAGCCGTCCGGTCACTCCTGGGATGAAAAATTTACTTTCAGACATTACATGGGGTTCAGTTGCAGGTTGTTGTTGCGGCACAATCTTTTCCACCACCTCTTCCGGTACTTTCAAATCGATGCCTAAAATTTTAGTGAATAGTTAATACTCCGTGTTTCAATTAGCGACGCAGTCGAGTAACTGACCCATTTTCTCGAGACTCGCCAATTTGGCGGCTTTATCAAATCTCTTTGCAGCAGGATACTTCTTTTCCCTGCTCGAGCTTCGACGTGATCGTTTCGATGTTGGCGATTTATTCCTGTACTTCTCGCGGCTGTTGGATCTCCTCCACCTCCTGTCATCCCGGTATTTATCCCTGCGATACTTGGTATCTCGCCGTTCGTCCTCTCTGTCTTTACCTCTATTCTTCCTTTCGTCATCCTTGTCCCTGTCACGACGATCATCATCCCTTTCCCTGTCACGTCGATCGTCCTCCCTGTCCCTGTCACGACGATCATCATCTCTATCGCGTCTCTCCTCACGTTCCCTGCGATCTTCCCTATCTCTACGATCGTCACGATCCCTGCGATCTTCTCTGTCTCTTCTCCTCCTCTGATCGTCATCGCCACGATCTGTTTCTCTTGTGCTCCGACTGTATTTCGGGCTCGTCCTGAACCTCCTCTCCCTTTCTGCATCTCTGGAGGTACGTCTCTCTGAGGACTTTGAGCGATGCCGACTACGCATAGATCCGTCCGATTCCTGCAGAAAAAGGTTGCCTCTTACCTATATGCAAAATACACATCAGATATTTTCTATTTAACATTCGAAAGGTATTAGTTATTATTAATAATTTAATATATATATATGAAAATAATAATAAATATACATCGAAGAATTCGGTATTTCATAATATGCGAATTCTACGATAAAAAAAAATATAAAATTTAACATGAACAAATGTGTTAATTACTTATCCTCTATAGTACTAAAAATTACTCTAGATTAAATAAAATAATAACCAATTCAGTATTTACCCACTGTTACATATAAAGTCTGTGTTACTGACCAGTCAAATCTTGATCCCAAAAATCATAATTGAAAATAAATAAAATAGAAATTAAAAGTAGTGGAAAATTTTGAGACTGTTTTCTTTAATATATATAATAGTTTTCAAATAATCCATTTGTTCTTTTTATCGTGAATTGCAATTGTTTAAAAACTCTGTTTCCCTCGTGTGTGCAAATACTCACCAGATGTGATCCCAAAAGCACCTCCAAAACATCGTGGATGAAACGACGTGTGTGTGAGACCACCTCATTATTTCTTTATCATATATTAACAGATAGAGTTAATATCATACGAATAAAACGAGAATTTTAATTAAAAAAATGAATAATAAAGTAATATGATTGTTTATACATGTGTGTGTGTTTATTACCTTAACCTGATTTAAAAATTAAAATCGAAAATGTTGGTAAACACAAGAAAATTATGTATAAATATAAATAATAATAAAACCAACCATAAATAGTTATATATGCACATACATTTTTAGGTAACTGAACAGGTTTCATAATAATTAAATTGACATGATAGAAAAGGTTTCACAGAAATAGTAATGTTGCAGTTATTTTCAATATATGCCTATACATTTCCAAATAATATTAAGTATCCTTTAAGAGTGTGACAAACAAACGTGTTTTTTCTTTATTTCTTTGTTAAATAAGATGGGAAAGTACTTGTTTTTTTTTTAAATTGAAAATTAAATGTAATGACTTACTTTAAAAGTACTTTACTTTAGGCATCTTCCAAAAGGATCCTTCGATGTTGGTAATGCTTTGTACTAGACACAAGACATTGGCTGAAGTAGTGACAAGCAAATTTGCTGTAATCATTATGAAGTATGAAGAATTACCCAATTCACAAACACACACATAAAATTATCACCAGCATCAAAATGTTTTTGTACTTAATGAAACCACTAGTAATGTCACAAGATGTAAATCAATCAAATATTATGAAACCCCACAATCATACCAAAAAATATATGAAATAACAAGAAAACCTACAAGTCTCCCATAAATAATAATAATAATAAAAAATAAATATAAAACATAAAATAAGACTAAAGATAAACTAGTTAAGAAGCAAGAGAGATAAAAGGGATAATATACCTCACTCAATTCCATTCCAACATTATCATAGTTCGTGTCCACAGTCTTTGGTGCAATCGAGGTGGATGCTGCAGCCACATTTCTATCTTCATTTTCCTGTCAAGTTACGATGATCATACTATAGCATTCATCAAACATTTGCATTAATAAGTGTTTGGAATACCAATAAACATGAAATTATTTTGTTGTCGCGATTTGTATCATAAGTTGACATGTGGGTGTAAATAAATAGTGTTTGTTGATTCTATTATATGGAGCGAGTCGCCATTATATAATGTGGATGCGTTGAGAGGAGGAAATAGAAGATGTTTGATGAACTTACGGAATTGTTGGTTTTCGGTGATTCCTCTTCGCAATCGTCGTCGCTTCCGTAATTCGCCAACTTATCCATGATCTCCTTTCGCTACGTATTCACGATCTTTCTATTATTTAAATAACAGCATTAACAAAAAAAAAGGGTGCAATGAATTTGACACTTCCAGCGAGACTGTAAATAATGATGAACGAGCGACCTCTATGGTGGCAGATCATATTATGCAGTAGTTCAAATAAACCAATATATTTTTAAGTTTTAAATATTTACAAATAATATCTTTACACAATATAAAACTTTAAATAAAGTTTTTAATATTTATAATATAAATATTATCTGGTACGTAAATTTTGAGTATTTTTTATGAACTTAATACACTGAACAAGAGGTGGCAGCATATTCGCAAATTCAACTTTTTTGAGCGTTAATTTTTGATTACTTAATTTTTGAACGCAAATTACAGACAAATAGATAAAACCACAGCAATATTTGAATACACGTTGCATTCCACAAATATCCAACTTTCATATAAATATTTTGGATCCATTCTTTCTGTTACAGTTTCTGAGAAAATCACTAAAATTTTTTCCAGCGTTAATTTTACTTAACATCATTTGCAAATGGATGAAACCACAGAAATAACACGCGTTCAATTCCTCAAATATTCCACTTTCATTTGCTTGGTTTGGATCTATTATATTTATTAAAATTTATGAGAAAATTACACACGAGACACACGAGCGTTAATTTTTCATTAATTCATTTGCAAATTATAAACATGTGATTGAAACTACAGCAATATATGAATACACGTTGCATTCCAGAAATATCCAACTTTCATATGCATCTTTTGGATCCTTTATATTTATTATAGTTTCTGATAAAATTACTGAAATATAAAGACACCAGCGTTAATTTTTCATTTCTTATATTTTGAAGTCGAATTAGAATCAGGTATCATTACGTTATTTTTAAATGCATATTTCAGCCAAATAGATGATACCACAGTATAGTATATAAGGAAATCACTAAAATGTCTAATCAATCAAAAACATGTTGTCTAATCAAGCAACATACATTTGTTTTTCTGTATATTTAATTTGGGAAATTTCGCAAGCGACTCGATTCCTGTTATCAATGATGTTTTTCGAAAGACACTTCGGGTGGTTTGCATTGTGTGTGTATGGGTATGTGACATTCACGTGAAAGTGAACGAAATGACCTGATGATATTGGATAAGGCTCGAAACACGCGACGAACCAAACATAAAAATCACGAGAAGAGAACCTATTATTTTGTAATGATTTTTTTTTTGCAACGATAACATTTCGTTGCGCAACACCTTTCATCATATTCCATTGACTTCGCATGCAACTTATAAACAAAAACACATTTTATTTCCATATCCGTTGCTATGTACTTCCACCATAACGTTTAGATAATTAATCAAATTACAGGTTTCAATTAGTAAATAAAATAATCAAAATTGGTTTCTTTATATATACAGTGGAACCTCGCTTAACGAGCACCTCGCATAACGAGCATTTCGTTTAACGAGCAAAATAAATTGTAAGAAAAATGACTCGTGATGAAGAGAAGAGAAGTCCCAGATTGCGCGCCTGTTACATCATTTTTAAAACTTGTACACATATTATGTGTATCTTTGAATATTTTTCACTACACGAGTAAAAATCCGGAAATTTTGACACGGATTAAACTCGTTAAGCGCACTGTATATATAAAGAAACCAATTTTGATTGCACGTTCTTTAAGAACGTAAATATAGTACAAGATATCCAAATACGCATCTAACTGTACTGTAATTTCATATTATATTATATGTTGAACTCGAATACATCAAGCGTAAATCCTGAAGAAAGAACGATCTAAATTTAAACACAATAATTATTGCATTCATCGCGCAACCTCATAATCTTGTTTACTCGAAACGTATCATAATTCTATGCTTGAAACACAAACGGGATGTCTTTCCTTGCACGACTTAATATGCAACAAGTTTCACTAGTACAATAATGTTTACAGCAGCGTTTTTCAACCATATTTCTTTGTAGTTGTACAGCAATTGGGAGCATTTCACCAATTCCTCACTTTGACACAAGATGACAGGTGTCATAATATTTGGTTGCTAACAGTTTTTCACTTGTTCCTCGCTTTGACTTTGTGGACAGCTGTCAATGTAACGCAATCCATAGGTCGAGAAACGCTGATTTACAGTATAAAAAAACGAAATGCTCTAAATACAATACGAATATCAGTTGTTTACGTTATTAAAAACCATGAAATGTTAGATAATAATAAATCATGTAACAGTACACTAGTTTAATAGAAAAAAAAACGCAAACAAATCTCTTTATGCGCTGCAAATGTAATTATTTTGAGTAACTTTACTCTTGTATCAGATAAAGAGAGAAACTAATCCCTAAGTAAGATAGGAATGGACGGATGATGAAAGATGTTTTCCTGTTTATTTCTTGATAATCATTGACGCAGAAGCTTACACAAAAAAATGGAATTATGTTAATGAACTGATGTTGTTAATTATTGGAAATTTGCAGAATCTCTTTGAAAAATTGAAGAATTCTTCTTGTTTTTTTTTTTTAATTTTGATGCATGCCTTATGCGGAAAGGTAAAATTGATGGATTGGAGTAGTCGAGGATTCGCTAAGGTCTACAAACAAAAAGTCACCGGTCGTCGCCCATGGTTGTGTAAACAAAAACACCGAGGGTTATCGGTCCGCATAATAATAATAATCATACAAAAACAAAAAAAAATAATAATGTGTATAATTGGACTCCTGATATCCAGTTATTTCCAGTTCAAGAAATTATACCACTGACCTTAAAGTCAGTGGTCGCGAGATATGTAGTAGCTGCGGTACACAGTGGATAATTACAAATCAATTATACATTCGTTCCGTTCAATTAAAACTTGCGAATGGGGAAAATTGAACGAAAAAGGTAAACGAATTGCGGCCAGAACACGTTTCCATGGATGGAGAGGAAACGCTCTAAGAAAAACTTGCATCGCGGTAAAAGTCTTCGGACGACTCGAATGTCTTGCGGTGCTGCGATTTTTCAGCGAAGAAGCTTTCGAAGACGTCGTCGCTATCTCTTGGCTCACACTGTATAACATACACACATGCATCTCGGATTCGTTTAATCGCGGCGCGATTAAAAGAATGGGAAAAGTCAAATGTTATAAAAGCTGAGTGAATATAAATACGTTGCAGGCGCATTTTGTCAATTCAATTTTACGATCTCATGGTGCACGGTTTAACACATACTTAAGACGAACTCTACAAGGCAAAGTCACTCACTTACTTAGGATGGGACAGAATGTAAGTCGATTCTTCGATATCTTCCATTATTGAACTCAAATCAATATTATTACAATATTAGAAATTACATTTAATTATTATGTTACAATTATTACTAATTTGAAGTATAGTGAAGAAGATATGAATTATTTTACAGTAAAATGACTAAAAAAATTTTGCTTTGATTTGATTATTGGTATATGGAAAATAAGGCTATGAGCTTTATTTGCAATAACTATATTAGAATTTTTATAATTTGTTAACTTTCCTATTTAGAAACTTTTATTTCCAAATTTTGTCCCATATTTCAGCCAAAAACCAAAGTTTTTCTTCCTAAATTTTACACTTTTTATAATCGTTTGGAAACAAATCCTAATAAAGATACTTTTAGCCCGAATAATTACTAATTTTGGACAAAATTAGAGTCAATAATTTTTTGCAAATTATTTATCATTTGAATAATTCTCGAAACAACATAAATTAATTTAGATATAGCTAAAATCAATATATTTTTTTATCTGAAATTATTAATGCAATGAAATGAATATGAAAAGTTCAGACGTTTTTTTGTAATTGTAATGATTAAAGTATTCAACAATTATGTAACATATTATTAAACTTGCTGTGTGAATTATAATTGGCATTAGAAAGGAAATGTTTTCAAATAATAGTTTTAAAAAAATGCATCAATAACGTTGTTACATAAGGTTATTAACTAGCCTCCACTTACAATTAGTTTCTTTTACAAGTATACTTTTTTCTTCTTTTTGACGTCCACTTGACATCAGACCTTGAAATTTACGTTTTGAAAACAAAATTTATTCATTAAAAGTTTGAAAAAAATATAAGTATTTCTTAAAGAAATTTATACACCACAATTTTCTTACAATTTACTTCGTTTGTGCTCTTTTATATTTTAATATAAAAATTGAATTTTAATAATTGTAAAAATACGTATATTCGTAATTGCAATTAATGAAATGCAAAGCATTTTCTAATGACTACGTTAAGTTTACTTTATTTAGAATCTAAGAATGAAAGGAACGTTCTTTGTAATTGCAAGTTTCTATACTACGAGAATTTACACTCTCGCACAATGCGCATTCATGTGCACTTGGCATGTCCTAAATAGCGTTCGCATGAAATGCCTATAACTGCAATTCTTATTTTTTACCATAATTGTTTTTACCATAAATGCAGTTTCGCAATAATTGCTTACACACGAACCAACAACAAACTATATGATTAACTTTCTCAAGGAATAAAAATTGATTTATAATGAATGAATTAACAACGTGTTAAATACAAACAATTATGTATAAAGATGATTAAAATTTTTATTATGTTTGTTTGTTTGTGTATTTGAATCGATCAATAAATTCGTGTTTATATTTATAATTACGAGATTACCGAGTGTTGTTATTTTCTTTTTCCAAACACTGATAAACTTTCCAAACACGCTTCGGCGGAATGATATAATATTAATAACGGGTCAATGGTCATTTCCATGCAAGAAAGATTTGAACACAAAATGATGCTGGAAATAGAAATCAAACGTAACAACGTGCATCAAATCAATTGCATGTGCAAATAATAGACAATTTACATGGCAACTCTATTAAGTTGTCAAGGAAATTGGTGAACTATTATCCGAAATAAAGTCCAGATTAGCGAAATCGCTTCTATTTGGTATTTTTACCTGTAGTACTAAGAAGTAGTAAATGTTACCAATAGAGAAACAACAAATATAACCAAAATCAAACAGTTGAAACCGTTAAAACTTGCTTACTTTTCTTTAGTATATAGAATTTAAATAGTTTCGAATTATTGTTTATTTTTTAAATGTCTGCATTTAAAACTACTGCCAACGTTAATATTCAATTTCTGGTAGGACTTCAATAAAAAAGCTTTTTTTTATGACTCTCCCTTCTTGATTTATTGCCCTTCAGGTCCAGAATTTAGTTTGCTGGTGAACAGTCTCGAGATAGGAGTTTTAATAACTTTTACATCTCATAGTGTATTTTAGTCGTTTCTTTTGCAATTACTATTATTGTAAGTGTTTTCCAACATAGATATAATATTTAAATAAGCGAAATCAATATTGGTATCAATATTATAGTAGTAAATATCTGTATAATGATGCTTAATTTTCTAACTTGTTTCTAGCAACAGCAGCATTGCGAGATGGAGGCGGAAAAGTCATTAAAGGTTGCTTTGATTGGTCAAAGTCAATTTGCCGCCGACGTTTTTGAAACCATCCAGGATCGTGGACACACCATCGTCGGTGTATTCACCGTTTTGGATAAAGGAAACAGAGAAGATCCATTAGGTAATAATTATACAATTTTAAATCGATTGAACTATAGTAAAAGTTTAATTTATTTCTGTTTTTTTTTTCAGCTAAAATTGCAAAAGAAAACGATGTCCCTGTCTTCAAGATAAAGTCATGGAGGAAGGCCGGAAAACCGCTTCCGGAAATCCTTGACATGTACATGTCCGTCAAAGCTGATCTTAACGTCCTCCCTTATTGCTCGCAATTCATCCCAATGGAAGTAATCAACCATCCCACTTATCACAGCATCTGCTACCATCCGTCCATTCTTCCGAGACACAGAGGTGCGAGTTCCATCAATTGGACACTCATCTCCGGCGACCGCGAGGCCGGTCTCTCACTCTTCTGGGCCGACGATGGTCTTGATACCGGCCCAATTCTCCTTCAAGAAAAGTGCACACTCGAAGAGGATGACACCGTGGATACCATCTATAATAGATTCTTGTATCCGGTTGGCGTTGAAGCCGTTGCGAAAGCCGTAGATATGGTAGCAGATGGCACCGCTCCGAGGATAACGCAAAACGAAGAATTCGCGACTTACGAAGCGATGTTGAACAAGCCGCATCTTCAACAGATTGACTGGACGAAAACCGGGAGAGAGCTGCACAATTTTATCAGAGGAATGGATTCTGTACCAGGGGCGAGTTGCAAGGTGCTTTTACCCGAAAGAGAAGATTACCAAGAAATCCTTTTGTTCGGTTCCTCCATGTGGACAGAAGCCAAACCGAACGGCGAAGAAATCAAAATTGAAAATGCTCCAAACGGTTTGGTCCATGAAGGAGGACTCATTCTAACAGGAAGCGACGGATCCATGGTCAACGTAAAGCGCATAAAAATTAACAGTAAGAAAGACAAGTCAATAATTCTATGCACATATTATTAAATCAAAATTATTTTATAGAAAAAGTAAAATTGGCTGCGGATATGAACAAACCTTCAGATCAAATAAAAATCGACTACACTGCAGAAGAATTAGTGTTCGTCGAGAATATCCGGACAATCTGGAACGCAATCCTCAATTTGGAAGTCGAAGATGAAACTGATTTCTTCGCGTGCGGCGCCGGTTCCATGGATGTCGTCAGGTTAGTTAAATATTAACGAATTGAAATTTGCTTAGATATTAATGCGATGCGTTTCAGACTGGTGGAGGAAGTTAAAGACTGCGTAAAGATAGATTTGGAAAACGAAACTGTTTTCATGTCACCGGAATTCATGGAGTTCTGCTCTGCAGTCGTGTTGAAACACAGGGGCGCTAACGAGGTCAAGCAGATCGTTTACAGACCGATAGAACTTGAAGTCAACAAACGTCATCTGAAGTTCCCATGCCAATTGTTCATCGACGGTGAATTCGTTGATGCCGAGGGTGGAAAGTCGATCCCAACCGTGAATCCCGCCAACGAAGAAGTCATCTGCCAAGTGCAGTTTGGATCGAAGAACGATGTTAACAAAGCCGTTGCTGCTGCCAAGAGGGCATTCGAGGACGGGGAATGGAGCAAAATCAGTGCAAGGGAGCGCGGAAATCTCCTTTACAGACTCGCCGATTTGATGCAGGAACACAAGGAGGAGTTGGCCACGCTAGAATCTATTGATTCCGGAGCGGTCTACACTTTGGCGCTGAAAACTCACGTCGGCATGTCCATCGAGACGTGGCGGTACTACGCAGGATGGTGCGACAAGATACAAGGAACTACAGTTCCAATCTCCGATGCTAGACCAAACAAGAACTTAACAATTACGAAGAAAGAACCAATTGGGTAGGAAACTCGATTGCGACGTGCTCTTTCAAATATTTACTAATAACTTCCGATTTTAGTGTATGCGGTTTGATCACCCCATGGAATTATCCCTTGATGATGCTTTCCTGGAAAATGGCTGCCTGCTTGGCAGCAGGAAACACTGTTGTAATCAAGCCCGCCCAAGTGAGTCCTTTGACCGCACTGAAATTCGCTGAATTAGCGGCGCTCGCCGGAATTCCTCCAGGTGTCATCAACGTTGTCCCCGGAACCGGTAAATATAAATTTAATTATATAAATATATTTACTACAATATATAATTGATTGAAGGATCTTTGACTGGAAACGCAATTTCCAATCATCCGGATGTCAGGAAACTTGGATTCACTGGAAGCACGGAAATCGGAAAAGTCATCATGAACTCTTGCGCCACCTCCAACTTGAAGAAAGTTTCACTGGAGTTGGGTGGCAAGTCACCTTTGGTTATATTCAGCGATTGCGATTTCGACAAGGCCGTGCGATTGGTAAAATTAAAATATCTTTTTTACGTTATATCACATTTACATTGTAATTTTTCTTTCAGGGAATGCAAAGCGTGTTCTTCAATAAAGGTGAAAATTGTATCGCAGCTGGCCGCATTTTCGTGGAGGCTTCCATCTACGATAAGTACGTCAAACGCGTCGTCAAAGAAACGAAAAAGATGAAGATCGGCGACCCGCTGGACAGGTCCGTGAGTCACGGTCCTCAGAACCATCTCGCCCATCTGCAGAAGCTTCTGGAATTCGTGCAGAAGGGTGTTGAGGATGGGGCGAAGCTGGAGTTGGGTGGTCGCAGGATGCAGAGGCCTGGATACTTCTTCGAACCCACAGTCTTCAGCAACGTCGAGGATCACATGTACATCGCCATCGAGGAATCTTTCGGACCTATCATGTGCATCAGCAAATTCCAAAATGGGTAAGAATATATACACGAAAACTGATTTCTTGACGACAATTAATATTTCCTTCTTATATTAGTGATTTTGATGGAGTGATCAAGAGGGCCAACGCCTCAGAATATGGCTTAGCTTCTGGCGTTTTCACCAAAGACCTGAGCAAGGCTATGCGCTTCGCTGAGAAAATCGAAGCTGGCACAGTCTTCGTAAACACGTACAACAAAACCGACGTCGCCGCTCCGTTCGGAGGCTTCAAACAATCCGGATTTGGCAAAGACTTGGGCCAAGAGGCTCTGAATGAATATCTGAAGACTAAATGCGTTACCATAGAATATTAACGAATTAGCTTCAAATATTAATTTTAATTATTTATACATATACAACAAAACTGATTACTTAATAAAACTACTTATTTTCAATTTTACACTATCATCTAATTAATATATCAACTACTCTTACCTTATTACTTAATAAGTAATTATTTTAAGTTTGTTGTAATTATAAGAATTGGTTATTTTTATTAATTTATTTTATTTAACCAAACACAAGTCTAATGAATCATAACACCTGGACCACCTAAGTCGAGTATCCAAGAGTCGTAGTTTTTGGCCTGCAACAAATCTTGTACTTTTTGAATAACCGCGGCTTCTATGGAGTACGGAACAATTGCGAGCACAAAACCGCCACCGCCAGCGCCCGTCAACTTTCCATGTAAACCGAAGTTACTTAACACCATGCAAATCTCATCGATACTATCATGCGACACTCCCAATATCCTCAGCATGTTTTGATTCATATCAGCCAATTCCTGAAATACAGTAATTAGTAATTAATTTTCTGAAGAAATATATCTTGGAATATAGTTAGCAACTAAGTAGTAGTTATATCAAGTTGGATACAACATATTATTACAAAATAATTACCCCAAGAATATGAAATTGTTTGTCGTTCTTCCCGTCCATCGCCTTCAGAGTCTTCACTGCTAAGTTGGATATAACTTCCATAGAATCAAGAGTATTTTCGATTATCGTTGGGAACCGCAGTTTTGTGTCCAGCACTTTCTGAACCAAAGCTTTGGTGTTCTTCGGGACTTTGGTATCGATGAGCATAGCTTTGAGCTGTTTTCCTAATCTCAGCGGCTTCGGCTCCTCGCCTTTACGGAATTCTACCACTGATCCGTAGGTGCACGTCGAGTTATCGATTCCCGATGGATTGCCGTGTATTATCTTCTCCGCGTGAAAAGCCCACATAGAAATACATCGCAGCTCATCATCACTGAAAGTCCCAGTTTCGCAGCATCTTAGAAAATCGTACGAGTCTGATTGCTCTTTGGCAGTTTTCAGTTTAAGTTTAAGGTATTGCATGAGAGAACCAACAATCGTGACACCGAAGGAAGCGGAACTTCCCATACCAGAGTTAAGATGCAGATCGGAATTTATTGATACTTCCATCGACTGCAGACTCACTTTTGATGGTATCAACATTCCACATACAAGGAAGAGAAACGTTGACACTGCCAGTTTAACATTGGACTCTTCTTGGGGTAAAAGTTCTTTCAATAGCAGATTTATCTTTTCCAGTAATACATCTTGATTGATGCACTCTGGTTTCGAAAAGTTGTAACTGGATACCAAAGGTATTCCTTCTACATCAAATAATGCTTTAATTTTCTGAAATTATATTTAAATACATTAATTAAATATTTACTTTTAACCAATCAAAACTTAGTAGAAACTACTTAAACAACAAATGTCAACAACTTGAGTCATAAAATATATGTGTGTAATTATAAAAGATTTATGATATCAAACACTACTTTTATTGACACAAATTATGAAAGATTCAATATTTTGTTGATCTTTTTTACAACCCAAATAATAAACACTGATTTTTTAACGAACACTTCTCAAATTTATACGAGTATAGAACAGATTTTAAAATTAATAAATTACATACCTTAATTGGAATATGAAGCTTCAGCTTTAAATTATCAAAGTGCAAATGCAAATTATCCGTCTTGGTTTCGTTAAGATTCAGTGTTGTCCTAAGGCCCAGACTGGCAGCGATAGCCAACTTTCCATAAACTACGGAATGTTCCCCATGCAAGATTACCTTCCCAGGTGCTGAAACTTTGACTACAACAAGAATAACAAAGTTGAAATAATGCTATTTAATATATTTTTTTAACGAGAATTACCTGTGTGGTTAAATTTTTGCGGCATTTTGAATTACTCGTAGTTCTTCTTTTGTTTCTCCCACTGTTCCGTGGTGAACGTTTTCTGGGAAAAGGCGTGCAGGTCTTTGATTTCCTCTTTCAGCACACCATTGACCAATCTAAATAAATGAAGACAATGCGTTTATAGCATACTTAGATTTATCAATTGGTTCTTAAATAGGTTATACCTGTGTCTTTCGAGTGGACCTTTTCCTTTGAATATATCGGACACTACGATGCACGTGTATTTATCACTGCAACCGCTGGTTTCTGCCAGCGTTACCTTAAACGAAATAAAAGACGCACCTTTAAATACTGTACAAAGATTGCGAAGCGAGAGCGAACAGAGTTATTTACAATAAAAAAGAAACGGGTTAAAATTAGTTTGAACCTTTGAACTCTACGTGCATGTATTAAGTAGTACAATTAAAGAGAACACAGGTTAAATCATGGTTTGGGATAATGTAATAATAATACGACAAAATAGACATTTCACAATTTATTCCAATCACATTTACGAATAGGAAACGATGATATGTTTCAACTAACTGCCAAATAATCTACACAATACAATTGTTAAATATATTAATCTACATACAGAAAGCATGCAAATCGGAAAGGAATAATGTTATACATGTATAAATTAAGAAATATCACTTTTTTTCTTGGGGGAATCAAATTTATTACATACACAATAATAAAAGATATTTGAACATGACTGAGAAACGCTTTGATTGCACTTCACCGTGCTAATATCACAATCTCTAATGTCCAATAAAATAAATATACAACTCTCTGTACAATACTTCTAAACTAATTGACTAGTGCTGCTTAATTTTGCAGAAACTCTGAGGTATACCTAACTGCACCACGTGGAAGTAAATTAAGAAGCCGATAAAGTGCGCGCACGAGTATATGCAGATGGCCACGGTGAAGAGATCCGGGTACCTTTTCGGCGGTTGGAATGTTAAAGAAATGCACGTGAGGATGACGGAGCCGAGCAGGGAAATGGCGAGTAGCACGTAGAGCGCCAATTTTTTGAGAAGCTTCCGGTTCTCCAGAAAGTGCCTGTATGTGATGCCGAGAATATCGCCGTAGCTACGCTTGTTGCTTTGCGCCCCGGTCATCACATGCATGACCTCCTTATAGAACATGTAGAAAGTGTTATCCGACTTCAGGTCGATGCCCCAACGTTCGTGGCAGAACAGGAAAGCCACCGTGTAGAAAACTGTGAGCGCAACGTACGCGACGGTCAAGCCATCCTTGACATACAACGGAAACATGCTGAAATTGCTTATGAACAGGAACCAGAAGCATGGTATGGGCTTCTGCGGTAAATACAACAGCACCGGTATAGCGGTCAGCAGTATGCTCTTCTCGTGCACCTGATAGCTGAAGAGGAAGAACGAGAGCGACGAGTTGATTATGGCCGGCACGAACTTCTTGATATTCGGCCTCAAAAACAGATCCGTGCTCGAAGGCAGGATCGCAGTCAAAGTGGCGAACGTGCAGTATCGCAGCATTTTATTCGAGCAGTAATCCTTCAGCTTGTTGAAGACGTTCAACGTGCACCAAAAGTTTGCTACTTTATCCTCGAAGACTCCGCGATAGACAGGAAACAACCTGTGCAGGACTTGCAGGAAATGACGAGTTTCAAAGATGAATGGGAACCAGAGTATGCCGAATGTTGCAATCACGGTGATCCCAAGTTTACCGACATTCAAGAATCCAATGATCGGCGACTCTCCAGGTTTTGGAATGCAAACGCTTAATAAATATAAGAAAAATGGAAAGGCGTGGTACAATTCCATCTGCTTGTAATTCAATGCCATGCAGAAGAAAATTGTGCACAGCACTTCTCTCTCCATGAACAAGAATCCAATAGAGAAAATCAGGAATCCCAGGGAGACACAGTTATATTGGAAATGGCCATGATCAATTAAAATTAATCCTGGGTAAATTAAACTAACGACTATGGCGCTTTTCAGTGCAAAACTGTTGCCAGCATTCTTAGTTTTCTTCCTGCAATGATGATTGTAGATCTTTTGGCTCACAATATAGTAGAATATGATTGCAGGTATGTATATCAGTACATCAGCAGCAAGTACAGTGTATCTCATGAAAAGCTTGTGCTCCTCACTTTCATATCCGTGGGACCTTCCCAGCTCCACAAACTTTGGATTTATCAGGTGTGCAATGTATCCACAGATGAAACTGTGGTAGGCTGTCAATGGTGGATAGTCCAGACCCCAGTAGTTCAGGTTGTTCACAGTGGAATTGTGGTACCACATGCTCGTTGGTAGGTTGTAGGTGATCTCCATCCAGTGCCTCTGCGCCTCGTAATCTCCAAACATCGGGGGCTTGCCATGTCCAGAATACGGATGCAGGCTGATGCATACTTTCAGCAATATGGAAATGAGAACGCCGAAACTCGCCCACGCGATCTCCGATGAATACATCTTGGTCGTGGACGCTCACACTGATTCACATATTCCACAACAACGACCACGCAAACAGTTGCAGATAACGCGTTTGTTAGGGTCAAATCAGGTTGTCAATATTCTTAGGTTATCGAGGATTGTTTTTGGACTGTTTGACAGTCAAGTGGGCGGGGTAATAATAAAGTATCACAAGAGCTTACCACGTGTACTGCTTGCAATTCCTTCGAAAGTTTCTGCTTCACAGCTTCCTCATCAAACGGCATTATTGCAATTAAATTCACGCTTTCCCTTCAACAAATCCACGTACGAATTCGAATTTTACTGTTAGTTCTGGTTAGAATAACTCGCATCAATAGCTGCACTGAAGCACCACCTGTACATGAAAACTATAATCAACAAATAATTAAAACTCCATACGATGGCGCTGAAAACCATCATTTGAATTTGTATTTAAGTTTCTGTAGAACGTCGACTTTAAATCAGATTTTCTTAACTTCGGTTAGAATAAATACAGAGTTCTTTTAAGTTTAATAATAAAAACATAATTGAAATGCTTCAGTGTAAAAACTTTATTCAAATATTAAAAAGCAAAAACTTAATTGTAATACTATTATTACTCATGGGTGATATTAATAAGATGATGATCAGAATTTGTTGTTAACAATGTACTCCCTAATCTGCTGTGTGAGCCATTCTACACCCTCGTTCAGTCCTTCGCCGGTCAACGCGTTGCTCGCAGATATGTGCCAGGGTTTGTCCATGATCTTGTCCATGCCCAATCCTGCGGCAATCTTGACACTGCTGAGCGCATCCTTGCAGTCCATCTTGTTGGCGAAAAAGAGCACCGGAATTTTTCGATTGCACACGTCGGGATGCTGCAGCAGAATGTCCAGTTCATCTTTCACCACGACCAAGCGCAATCTGTCGCTGCTGTCCACGACGAAGATGATTCCGTGGCAGTCTTTGTAGTAGTGTTCCCAAAGATCACGGTATTTACCATGACCGGACATATCGAAGGCAGTAAACGCCAAATTTTGATCTGAAAAACATATATTATTAATGCATTCATCTTATTGTAATTTATTGTAAAACATGAAGCGTATTTTGAAGAAATTACTGAAAAAATAATACTGCACAGCATCACTATTAATAAGCATTGACAAATGGAAATGTTAAATGTAAAATCATTACTTACTTTGAAATCTTTCGATGCTGAATCCGACCGTGGGTACGATATCCGAGGCCTTATCCTCATCATTTTTGAAATGGTTAATCACAGTCGATTTGCCACTATTATTCAATCCGATGACCAGAACATTTACCTCCTTTTTCCTAATTCCCAGGAATAGAGCGAGCTTCTGGAATAGACCCATTTCACATGTTTGTATTGCTTTGCGGTGCTTGTCTGTAACTCGTGTAGTTACGGAATAATCGATATTTGCCATCAACTATTCAATTCCATAGATAATTTCATTTAAAATTTGCAATAAAGGAATAATTAAATGTAAATTGGTTTCTTATTTCAACATAGTTAAACTTTACATATGAATTTGTATGTAATTTATATAGTCAATAAAAGTATATTTAAATATAAAATTGTATAAATTAGCAAATTGCATAAAGACTAAATAATAGTAAAATTTATATAATATTGATAATGTAAAAGCAATTAACGATATCAAACAATGATTATTTCTTTAGCAGAAGTGAATAATAAACCACAGATTTGATTTTAATGATGTAGACTTATTGATAATAAGAACACTTATTTTCTTAAGCTTAAATACAAATTGAAGAGAAATATGTATACACTATTTTATTATGTTTATTATATAAGATACACCTTATTAAATGTATAATCTACAGCCAAAAAGAAGTGTGATAATATTGAGACTTAAGTTGAATTTTAACATGTAATTATGATCTTGATTGTATTATTTTTTTTGAGTTTGAATTTAGATTGCGAAATATATCATGTAGTGTTCGGGGGAAACTATAATAGCAGATCAGTAGTCGTAGTAGCATATGTGGAGCTGTGGAATTTAAAAATTCCGCGCGAAAGTCAGCCAACCATCGCGTCCAAGATCAGTGCTCTCCGAAAGCAACATAACCTCAATATTAATGACAGCGTATCAAAAAAATTAACAGACGTATATCGCCGCTGTCTCTTTTTAATTCATTAATAAACCAGAGTGCATCGAGTGGAACGTACGTTAACATTCCATTGCAGTGCGAGTGGACTTGCCTGTTTGGCCGACAATTTTCATTAATAACGAGAAGACATGGATGGAAATTCGCAAGAAGTGACGGAGCCACCACCAAAGGCCGAGACCGTGGAGACGCCAGCAGAACAGGACGATGGGGTAAGTGCTGGAGTCCGTCTTCTAACCCGATCATTGCTATTTCGTTTGGTGTCCTACAATACTGGACACCTTTCCAATTATGTACTTGTTACCTAGATTTCGACGAAAAAAAAAAATCAGGTCAAAAGTTCATTTTCACATTGAGAACAATTACGATTTTTATTCCAGCTGAAGGTTGCAGACAATATGGGTGCTCTCGAGGAGGAACCAGTGCAAGTAAGAGTATTCTACAATTTACAAAAAAATAATATTTATTTATGTATAATTGATTTGTAGGAATGTGTGGAAGTGGTGGAGGCTGAGACTATTAAGAAGTCATCAACAAACCAATCAGAATATGATAGTGCAGATAGTGATGTTGAACATGAAGAAGACACATTGTTGACACATTCAGATCATAGTGGAAGTGATGCTGGCAGTATTATATTGGAAAGAGAAGAGGGTGATGGACAGGAGAGTGCCCCAACCAAGAAGGTTGATGATGATGAGGACAAGAAGAACCCACAATATATCCCTAAGAGAGGAACTTTCTATGAGCATGATGACAGAACAGCAGATGATGATATGTAAGTTATAACTAGTATGCATGAAATGATTAGTTTGTGATTATTATTGTTTTTGGATTTCAGTGAAGCTGAAGCTGTTGAGAGTGAAGAGAAAGTAGACAAGGATGGGAAAAAGAAGATGTGGACTGAGAAGAAGGAGAAGTGGAACCATGATAAATTTAATGACAATGAGCAGATGCCTAAGAGCAGGTCTGAATTAATTTCCATCTATGGTTATGATATCAGGAATGAAGAGGGACCTCCAAGAGCTAGAAGGAGGAGGCGTTATGGGTAACTTTAATTGCTGTAACTTACTATTTATATAATTATCGACGTTCGTGCTTGCGTGCAGACGAGGTCCTAACAAGTATACTCGCAACTGGGAAGACGAAGATGCGTACAGCAAGCCGGCTACACCGGTCAACACGAAGAAACCCGCTAGAAAATCTAAAACGAGTCCTCAATTAAACCAAAAGGACGAGGAGAACGCAAACGCTGAAGAGAATACCACGAATAGCGGACGTCAATCTTCTGAGAGTCAAAATGAGAGGTTTGTATTCAATATGTATGCGATCGTTGTTTAATTTCTTTCATTTTCAGGACCTCGATAAGTGAGCAGAACACTTCAGCACCGCAACAGCCGATGGTGCAGAAAACTAGAGAATTTACTCCTAAGAATAACTCGAGTCATCAACATCCGCCACATCACCATCATCCATCACAGAACGATAGACAAAATAATAAAAATCACAATAGAATAGGTACTGGAAGAGTTATCAAACCGAATAGAGATATCAAGGATTCCGATTATAAGGGTTTCACTAAGTCCCGTCAATTTACGCCGAGAACTCAGAAGGATATGGGACGGGACAAGGAAGCCCCGCATAGCCAGAACTATGGCAACAAACGTTCGACTCATGAGATCGAAAAGGAAATGGGAAAACTGAGTGTGCAAGAGCAGGTGTACGCCAAGGGTGGCAATAAGCAACACGGTGGTAACAGGCAAGGCAGCATTCCGCCACGTATGCAAGGAGAACCGAAGGGCGGATCGAAGAGGTACAGCTCCATTCGACAAAGATCGTTGCCAGAGTCGGCGAATCCGCCAACATTCAATCAGCAACATGGATATTATGGGAACGCCGAGTACGGTCAAAACCAGCAGCAACCGGGTGGTCAGCAGTCGCAACAGCAGCCACTGCTGCAACATCCGCCCGCCCCGTTGCATCCGAACCCCGCCCAGATGCCCGCAATTCCTCCGCCGCCCCTACCGACACTTCCACCGCAAGTCCCCGTCACGACCACGCCTCTGCCTCCTCAATTCGGCGCTCCTTTTGCTCAAGCTCCGCCCCCGTTCTTGCAAGCCGCCCCGCCTCCATTCATCCCGCAACAAACCCCACAGATCATTAACTACGTTCAGGGTCAACCCCAATTCGCGCCACACCAGGCACCATATCAAGGATATCAGCAACCCTTCAATCCAGTGGTGAGTGAACTAAATTTATGAGCAAGTTTTCGATCAAATTATTTACGTTTAAATATTAATATGTATTTTAGAGTCAACCAACTGAGATATTCCAACCTCCAGGTGGAATCACTTATTATTCCGCGCAGGATCAGCAAGTGACGCAAAGGGCTGCTCCTCAGAAGCGTCCAAAGGCGGCCATCCCCATTGTCCCCCCGCCTCCTCTGGAACCTCGAGGCAGAGGGCGTGCGACTCAGGAGGCGGTGACGCCGAATGCGTCTGACGTTGAATCAAAGGTGGAAGTGGTGCCCGCGGGCAACAGCAATTACGAGGATGCCGGTGCGGCCGCCGCAGTGGCCGTGGAACAATGATACACGCAGTTCGTTGTTTACTACTCCTTCTAATAAATACACTGCTCTATCGCCGTACGGAATGGTATATACATAAAAATATATATCAGAAAGAAGAATGAGAATCATAGGAATGAATTTTGATAGCAACACGAAAAAAAAAAGAAGAATAATAACCAGAAAGTAAAATATAGTTAATCCAGAATACACGCAGGCAGATTGTATTAAATACTAAACAAATTTATTTATTATGAAACTATGTTATAATTTTTTTTTAAAGTTTTGTAGGAGGCTTGTTTCTTTTTCCTTTTATATATATATTTATTTATATATATATATATATGTGGTAGTGTGGACTCGCTTATGTTTCTTTATACTTTGAATTATTTTATTTTTAATTAATTTTGAACTATCAAAAGATATTGGATGCTCATTTATGAATATTTAATTAAGGTCTAATTATTTTATTATTTTTTATTTAAAATAAAGCAAACAAAAGATTTGATATTTATAACTATATACGTTGTTATTATATATAATATATATATATATATATAAAAAAAATCAATTATTAAAGGATTTACTATTCGAAAAAATAAAAATATATAGCCAATATATTCTGTGTTTTACAGCCATAACGAAACAAACGATAAATTGTAATCTTCGATGTAAGAAACGTTTCTATTTATATATGTGTCAATATATAAACATCTACATATATGCATGTACCAATTTATTATCAATGAATATTACATAAATAAATTCTATTGTCTACTTTTTTAAGAAACCATTTAATGTATCAATATATATGGTATGTGTAACATGATTGTGAGGTGTTCTTTTGTTGATTTCATCCGTATATTAAATATGATATTTATTGAAAACATATATATCAATTGGCTAAATTTCTTTATAGTTATAATAGTTATAGTATTTTGTAATGGTTCTCCATTAGTAAATTTTGCTAAAATGTCAAAACAACGTTAAACGAGGTCTTACTGTATTATATTAATAATGAAGAATTGCTGCCAACATAAGTAAAATTATTTATGTTGCCTTACTGAGTACTTCACTTCCTATTTGTTGGGAAAAATTGTGGCAAACTTCAGTTCTATGACCTGTCAGAAGTGTTGAGACACATGTGCTAATATTTTTATACAATTTTATAGTTTTCTTTTCTAGATATTATTAAGCCAAACAGCCAAAATGGTAAGTGTATTCTCTACATTATGCAATTAATATAAATTACGAATGAAAACACTAGATAGTTATTGATATCATCATCATTCTGGTTTGTTTACTGTATGTGTAATACTGTTTTGCTTAATGTTTTATAGCCTAAAAAGAAGTTTATTGACAAGAAAAACTCAGTGTCCTTCCATTTAGTGCACAGAAGTCAGCAGGATCCCTTGACAGCAGATGAGAATGCTCCACAACGAGTGCTGTTACCTGTTAATGATCAATCAAAAGCAAAAGTAAGTTAACTTATTGTTTTTCTATCTGATTTTTTCTTTATTAAAATTAATAAAAAAATGTGTTTTAGCAACCTGAAAAAAGAAAAGAAGAACAACAAAAATTTGGAGTGTTCTTTGATGATGATTACAATTATCTGCAACATTTGCGTACAGTTGATCGCACAGCAGAATGGGTTGAAATTGAAAAGCCTGAAAACCAAAAACCGAAAGCTCCAGAGACCTCCAAGTTAAATCTTCCCAGTTCTGTATTTGCTTCCACTGTTGAAGAGGATGTAGGCTTATTGAATAAGGCAGCCCCAGAGTCTGGTCTGAGATTGGACTTGGATCCAGACATTGTAGCTGCCATGGACGAGGATTTTGATTTTGATGATCCAGATAACGAATTGGAGGATGACTTTATGGATCTTGCAAACGCGGACGGTTCGGGCAGCGAATATTACGATGATGAGGATGGTGAAGTCAGTTCGAATTTCTCGGATGAGGAGATGGATGAGGTTGGTTCGATGGATGGACCGCAGTTTACTTTTAAAGATGAAGAAACAAAGTCCAGATTCACCGAATACTCTATGACCAGTTCGGTGATGAGACGCAATGAGCAACTGACACTGCTCGATAATAAGTTTGAAAAGGTATTAGTATTTATTGGATTCCGTCGAAACGGTCGTTTATAACTGTTGGTTGTTTTAGATGTTTGCTGGTTACGATGAGAACGAAATTGGCGCTTTGGACTGTGACGAAATCGAAGGATATGTACCAGAAAACGATGATATTCTTCTGCAATATGCGGATGAGTTCCAGAATCTAAACCGCAAGGAACAACTGGATAAGGAAAAAGTCTTGACTAGAACGTTGGAGGCGCTGGATAAAGAAGACGATGACGATCTGGAACTTGTTGATATCGTTATGCCACCTAAAGAGAAATGGGATTGCGAAAGTATCCTGAGTACTTACTCCAACATATACAATCACCCGAAATTGATATCCGAACCAAGGAAGATCAGAATTAATCCAAGAACTGGTATTCCCATCGATGTACTCGATTCGAACAAGTTAACAGCGAAAGCTCTGTCTAAATTGAATCAAGAGAATGAGGGTTTCAACAGTAGAGGACCGACATCGGTTGCGGCACAATCGATTATCTCGACATTATCCACATTATCAATTAGACCTAAAGGTGAGAACGCAGAGGAGCGAAAGGAACGCAAAAAACTGTTGAAAGATTATAGAAGAGAACGCAGAATAGAGAAAAAGGTAAATACGGAAGCATTCAAGGAAGAGGCGAAGCGTCAAGTTAAAATTAATATTAATAATAAAAATAATGTACAAGGCAATCGAATACTTTAAATAACAACAATGTATTTATAGATCATTAAGCTAATATAAATTGTATAAATAAATTTTGTTTAAATTTAATTTGAACATATCATTAATTTGTATCCATGAGAATTGCATCAAATGAAACATAAACTTTAATTCTGTATTTATACCATTAAATTAAATTTCAAATGTACAAGTTACATATATTAAGTGGTTATTGATCTTTTTAAAATTAATTTGTAATGTTTCTGGTTCAAACAAAATATATTAATTAAGAAATTAATTAGAAAGTCACTATTTTTGAATTATATAATTTTATTTTGAACTTTTGGTAACACTGGTGTCATCTGTGACACACGTGTATCTCAATGGTTTTCAATTGCACCAATATGTAGAAAACTGCACTTCGTTGCGTTGCAGGGTGACCTTTGCGGTTGATTCTTTGCTTTTGGTATTATTTCAGTGTTTCAGTTGGTAGTTGGTTGGTTTCAGTGACATCGGTACTGGTTAGAAAGGAAATAAACACTTTTGAAACGTGAAAAAACGTGATTATAAGAAAATATTTTCAAAGAAGTTTGGAGAAATCCTGATGAAGGTATATATTGCTTAGACAGTGTATATTGGTGTATTAATTAATTTATTCTAGATTTATATATACTATTAAGAAAAATGTTACCACACAAGAAATTTAAACAAAGTCTTAACTTGGAAGTTAAATTAGAAATTATTAAGAGACATGAAATGGGCCAGAGACAGAGGGACATTGCTGTTGACATGCAACTTGCACCATCAACAGTGAGCAGCATATGCAGCAGAGATGCAAAGAAGATAAAGAAATGTGCAGAATCAGGTATACCTTTAACTGAAACCATGGTCAATAGGCACAATAAAAGCAAAGTATTGTATGATATGGAGGAAATATTAGATCAATGGGTTGAGCGGCAGATGCATGAGAACAAGAGATTAACGCATGTTATAATTAGGAAGAAAGCTATATCAATTTACAATGAGCTGCTTGAGAAGGAAGGAATCACCAATGGACAAAAATTTAATGCCAGCAACGGATGGTTATGGAAATACAAAATAAAAATGTTTACAAATTTCCAAAAGACACCAGAACTTGATGAAAGTGGAATTTCATTTCCTTATATGCTCAAGAAAGTTGTAAAAGATGGAAAATTCCTACCACAGCAGGTGTTCACAGCCAATGAGACTGAACTGTATTGGAAAAGAGATTTTGCTGGAACGAATTTTGTGAAGATTAAAGAACTGAATAAAAATATGTGTACCCTTAGAGTGCTGCTTGCAGCAAATGCCTCAGGGGATTTCAAATTGAATCCAATGCTTCTCTATCCACACGAAAGACCCACATTCAAGGATGTTGATATATCAGAACTGGGTGTGCCATGGAAGAACAGTAGGCACAAAAAGTTTACACCTCAAATGTTCGAGGATTGGTTTAAGAACCATTTCGTGCCAAACGTGTATAGCTATTACGAGGAGAACAATTTGGATAGGAAAATTTTGCTCTTGATCAACACAAATCCTCATTTTTCACTCAAGTACTTCTCTTTTGATGATAATGTGAAAGTAATTTTTATTCCTTCAAGATCAACATCATACTGCTCACCAATAAATAGATCAATTTGCACCACTTTCAAATCCTATTATTACTATATCGTCTACAGAAAGCTGTCCAAAATGTGGAAAACAAAATTGACTACTTCGGCGAGCGGCTACTTTAAGAATTACTCTCTAGTGGTTGCCATCAAGTATATTAGAGATGCATGGCAGAAGGTGCCGAGCAACTTATTGAATGGCGCTTGGTTCGATATCTGGCCAGACGTCGTCCAAGAAAATGCTGATGACGATACGAATGAGGAAGAATTTGAAAACATTTTAAATTCAACTCTTAAATACGCCGAGAAAGTAAATATACAACATTTAAATGAGGATCTACTTAAAGAGTGGATAAGCGAATAAAGACTTAACTATTGTTAATGTAAAATATAATTGTATTTTTTCAGCAATTAAAATGCCTTCAATGTGATAAAATTTAACAGTGTTTATCTTAATGTTAGTGTGAAATTGGAGAATATGTTTTTGACGTCACTAATATTGAAAATAAATCTGTATAAATATAATAGAAAGCCAGCCATCCTGTTATTTTTCATTTCATTTTATGGTATACGATGTATATATTTATGTACAGGTTGAAATAAACATATATTTTATAAAGAAAATACCTATATTATAAATAAAATCTCAACGATTATAATAAATCAACATTTTGTTATAAATGTAAGCAAACTTAAAGAAATTTTCTAAAAGAATAATTGTTTTTGTAATTCTATTTATCAGAATTATTAATCTATACTGTCTTTAAGTGTTTCTTGTGCAATCTGGTACGAAAGTGTTTACTTAACGACGAATGTCGTTTGAAACCCTTATTGCATAACACGCATGGAAATGGTCGCTCATCTGCAACATACATATTCATTCAATTAGATCAAATAAAATATATTTGATTATTTTAAATTAAGAACTAACCAGTATGTACTCGCCCATGATTATTTAAATCAGAATTTGTCTTAAAAGTGGCTTCGCATATGTCACATTTAAAGTTTCTAGATTCAGTATGAACTCTCTTAATATGAGCATTCAAATAAGCAATGGATTTGTAAGCTTCATTGCACATAGTACATTTGTAGTTTCTATGCTCTGTATGGCACAGTTTATGTCTAACTAAGCAGGAGTAGGTCCCAAAGCTTTTCTCACAAAGATCACAAGCATATGGATTATCATCTAAAATATGTTCAAAATTATAATTTTTTTTTGATAAATTATCAAATAGTATGCAAAGCCACTTGTGTGTATCTTGTTGTGCCTTTTCAAGTGGCTCCTTTTCTTGAAGGCCCTACTGCAGATGGAACATTTGTAATTTCTGCATTCAGTGTGTGTGGATTTTTTGTGCTTATTCAAGTACACACGAGTCTTGAATGATTTGCCACAGAGTTCACATTTGAAAATTTTCTCAACTGAAATGACCATTACAAAAAAATAGAATTATCTATAGAATATTGAATACCTGACTCGATATTATTAATTAAAAACTTTGGTACTACATCTTGCTGTACAGTTTGTTCCTCAAAGTCCATCTTAATCTCAACCAGATCATAATTATCTTCAATACATTTGGTTTCCATATAATCATGAACATCTTTTAGGTTTTCCCGTTTTATTTCTATCTGCTCGCTTATATCAACTCTATAGTTTTTGTTCTCCTGTCTCTGGATATCAATTTTCATCTGGTTTTCTAAATAATCAAATTGTACGTTCTCTGAAATTCGCGATTTCGTTTCATGGTGATCATGTTCAACATTATCTTGTGGATTCGCATTGGATTCTGGTTGAATTGTGTAAAGATTATCATCAATTTCTATTTTCACTTTTACGTCCTCGTATCGGTTTGGATTTAAATAATGTGCATTGAATTCACCACTTTTTTCCATTTTTATAGGTTACAAATAGGGTCAGGTAATAGTTTCCCTGTCATTGATTGCATGCCATGTGCAAGTTCATTGATTATAGTTGGGGTGTATGTCATAGTAATCCACTGTTAATAGATATGTTATGATTCTTCAGTATCAAGAATTAGATTAAGCTCAATCAGCTGTTGCGTTCATTCAACTTTGATGACATAGATTACGTATTCAACGTGTACCTCTAACTGGACATAACGGTCCCAGTTGACACAAAGTTTTGTAATTATTGTGAGTTACTTTCTAGTAAACTAAGACTAACAAGATGAGCGATTCAGTTTACATCGTTTCCGCTTGCCGTACTCCTATCGGCAGCTTCAAGGGCCAATTCGCAAACATCAGCATCTTCGATCTATCCAAACCTGCGCTTGAAGGCGCCATCAAAAATTCAGGAATTCCAATTGAAGAGATCAATGAGGTATACATTGGTAATGTACTTACAGCAGGTAAGGGACAAAACCCTGCCCGGAAAGCGGCCATAAATGTTGGGGTTTCAATTGATGTCCCAGCAACAACCTTGAACATGCTCTGCGGCTCTGGCTTAAAGGCAGTGACATTGGGTTACAACTCGATCAAAGCTGGAAATTCATCTGTGGTTCTCTGCGCTGGCATGGAGAGCATGACTCAGGCTGAACATACCATCTATGTAAGGGGTGGTGTAAAGATAGGGGATTGCAGTATGAAGGATTCCATGCTGCAGGATGGTTTAACTGATGCAATGCATCAAGTGCATATGGGTATCACTGCTGAAGAAGTTGCAACAAAGTATAAGATTACAAGGGAAGAGCAGGACCAGTATGCTCTGAACTCTCAACAGAAAACTGCAAAGGCTGTGGAACAGGGCATGTTTGTTGATGAAATTGTTGGTGTTCAAGTGGGAGATGATCTGATTAAAGTGGATGAGTACCCGAGGCCGAATACCACTATCGAGAGCTTGACTAAGTTGAGGCCAGCATTTGCGAAGAATGGTACGGTGACGGCTGGTAACGCTTCGGGGATCAACGATGGGGCGGCCGCTGTATTGCTGGCTGACGGTCTTCAAGTGCAATCGAAGAATTTGGTACCGCTTGCTCGTATTGTCGGTTTCGCCGAAATGGGATGCGACCCGATGATTATGGGTGTGGCTCCTATCCCCACGATTAAGAAGTTACTGCAGAAAGTCAACTGGACAAAGGACGATGTTGATTTGTACGAAATCAACGAAGCTTTCGCCTCCCAATCTATTGCGATTGTCAGAGAGTTGGATTTGGATCCAAAGAAGGTGAACGTTAATGGAGGCGCTATTGCGCTCGGCCATCCAATTGGCGCTTCAGGAACTAGGGTTCTTGTAACATTGCTTTATAGCCTGAAACGCATGGGGCTGAAACGTGGTGTCTGCGCGCTTTGCATTGGAGGAGGCATGGGCATAGCTATGGCAGTAGAGGTTTAATTCTATTACATTTTAATGTATCTTACAGTATTTTTGAACTATACGAATACTCTAATTGAATAAAGGAATGTAATTGATTATATTGACAATCAAACATTAAATATTACATAAAATAAAAACACATTATAAATATATATATATAAAATATTGTTATATTATTACATACAAATCTAATCCTAATAAACGTATTATATTACCAATTAAATAATCAGTTCAGCCTTGGTTTCTTCTCAGGTGGTGGCTTGATCTTTTCCTGTTTGATTTCCGTCTTATCATCAGAGGCACCGTTTTCCGGTTCATTCTTCGTGGGCACGGTCTGTGGGGCCTTGGGAAGCGGTTGCGTGGGCAACGGGAACTTCTTAATCAGATCTCCCAGTAGCATGTCGACTCTCTGCCTTTGGAACAGAGAGCTCGTCTCTTCCCTCGGCTTCTCTTCTTTCGGTTTCGCCTTATCAGCGCCTCTCTGCGATTTGAAATCCCAGGAATACCCTTTGCTGGGATGGTATCGCGAAAAGCTAGAAGCCTCATCGAAGGAGGCTTGCAGATGATGCACGCATGATAACTAAAACATTGCAACTTAGATATTGTCGTTTTTACATATACAATCCGATTGTTACCATGCGGGAATTTAAAACGCTGGCCACATCTGGGGCTTGGTAAATAGTACCAGCAATTATGTAATAATCAGCAATTGGTGTAGCTTGAGTAGGACTATGCCTGTGCTGCTTCCTGATCACATATAGAATGGGCGCCTGCACATGCAACAGCACATACTCCAACCCTGTCATATTATTGAGCTGGTCAGGACTTAACCTTTGCATCTTGACAATTTCATTATTACACGTTCTATCGAAAAATGGATTGGATCTTTCTGAAAAGTAATCCATGACATTGTCCATACTCAGAACGGGAATCCAAGCTGAGTCGTGCCATGACAAGCTCAAAGGGTTGTCCGCGAAATTGGCCAATCCAATTCTATTGGGCATCATACTGAAATCTGGATAGCTGCAATACAATATAACTCAATCAATGCTCCAATGCTCACAAATGAAAACAACAAACAAGGGCAATAATTCAATCACCTCTTATCCATTGCAAGCAATTGTTTCTCTGTATCTGTTTCTGTTCAACTCATTTAACAGCACATTCTTTCGTTTCTGTCTCTACTGGGTTTGTTTCCACAGCCGCCCACGTAGATCTCTGCAGAACTCTCGGTGTGTTTATATTTAGCGACGCCAATTAAACACAGGTTGAGGTTACTTTTCGAAAGGCAGCGCAACTGTTATGAAGAGTCGCCAGTCGCACATGTGAGATTAACACGGCTTTAACATCGGAATAACAAGGAATTCAATTAGGAATTATTCAATGAAAGTGGAGACTCACCTGCTCGCTCTACCGTTTGTTACTGCTACACCAAATCGTAAACAATCACAACTGATCCAACATAACCACAAACGTCATGGATCTGACAGGTGAGAGTGAGGGTGGTACAGAGTGGGACTTTTATAGTGTTTCATTATTATTTTGGAAATGTTCATTTTAAACATTTAAATAAAGATGAGAAATATCCATTGACATATTTTAAAAAGTGATAACTTATAGCAAGTTGTTCAATAAGGAACATTTAATGATCAGCCAGCATTTACATAATTTATATAAATATAGATTACAACAATCTTTTGCTGTTGTGAAAAAGTATTTCTTATCTTCATATTTTTAATGATTAATGCCATTCTATCCACAATAGGAGTTAATCACTGTGATGATTTGTTTGATTTTTTTAATTCCCGAAATTCAAATTTAGGAACTTTTCATTGGATGTTCACGACACAGAAGGCCATGCTAATATAATTAATTAGTTTCTTTCGATATGATTTTAAAATTAGTTAAAAGTTTTATTATGCAACCAAACTTACAAATTGTCTATATTTTGGTGTCTGAAATTTATACTTCCGGCATTCTATAGAATGTCTATGTAATTGGCAAAGTATAAAATAATACTGATTAGATATAGATTACTTAGATATCGTTATTAGTTCTTGTGTATCTTATAGTTATCAACCAAAATAATTCCTTCAATTTAAATTTAATTTAACTATACAATACAAAATCTTTGGTAATCTTGACCTGCAAAAATTAGTTTCTATCTAAATTTTTCGTTATTGATAATTGACAAACGTAGATGATCAACAATATATATTTATTTGTTTTGATTTAAGCTAATGGTTTGGAACTGGTTCCGATCCATAAACGCCCAGAGCTTATATCACAATGTTGCGATATGATCAACGAGGAGTGGCCAAGGAGCGAGACGTATCGCCTGAAGACCCTGGAGTCATCCTGCGATAATCTTCCCACTTCTCTGGCCTTAGTGCAGGAGAATAATCTGGTTGTCGGACACTGCAAGCTCACGAAATTACCCAGGATTTCAGAGGCTTGTTACGCCGAAGTGGTGGTCATCGACAATAAACTGAGAGGAAAAGGTCTAGGAAGGATTCTCATGTTGGCCGTGGAGGATTTCTGCAAAACTGTACTTCAATTGAAGGGTATCTTTCTGTCAACGAAAGGGCAGGAAGGCTTTTACGAGAAACTGGGGTACGAACGCTGTCCCCCGGTCACGATCTACGGCGGCTTCGAAGCCTTCAACGAGCCCATCAAGTCGAAGAGTTCCACCGCTTCTTTCGTTCCATCGAGGACAGATCTTCTGGAAGCCAGCACCAGCAGCGTATGCTGCAACAATTGCAGCAGATCATCGAATTTGTTTAATATGCCGCTGGCGCCTCCTCCACCGCCGCCCCCGATGCATCCGACGCAAAACAAAACAGCAACTCCCACCAAAACATTCATGAAGAAGATGTTCTAGTCAGATCGTTTCATATTTAAAGAAGAGCGCATTTAATTTATAAACCGTTGTACAAAACAAATATAATAAATAAAGCAGAAGTATAATTTACTATTGTTATTGTCAATTTATAATTGTAACGTTCATTGCTTTTACAGTTAGGGAATGTAACCTGGAACTGTGATTGAAGGATTTACGAGCCATAATGCCCCGATATGTGCGAGAGATTTACGGTCGCATTTGAATTTCCGATTGTTTCGTGGCTCGAGGGTGGTTTCATTTCGGATTCGATGGAAATATGTCATTGTATTTAAAGTAGGCCTGACAACAGCACAAAAGAGTCACTTTACCACTCATCACTTCGTATTTTTTTACATTTATTCTAGAAATATAATATAAGATTTCCAACGTATTATTCATATAAGAATAATTGTTAATATTTCGTAATTGAGTGTTACTAAAGGATTTTCCTAAATGTTTTAGATTTTAAAATTGTATGCAACATGATATAATACTAGATAGTTGGCCAATGAAACGTAAGTGTAATCGGAATTTTGGTGTCGAAACGCGGACAGAATTTGGTCAGGTCCGTGAGCGAAGAAGATTAGTCGGAACAAAGCTTCGCAATGGTTTCCCTCTAAGCCCCCCTTTCACTCACCTCAGTGCGTTGCAAAGCGAATCAAGGACGATAATCGAATCCGTCATTCTTCGTTTGTTTCTATTATTGGGTTTACGGATAATCGAATAATGATTTACAAAAGCGTTGCGCAACGCCAATGCACCAGCAAGCTGTGAAAATCTAATACTCCAAACAGTTTCCATGGTAATTGATTGAATAAATAACATTTATATAAAGTTAAGTATTTGACATATCAACAACATTGGATATAATTCTCGTTTAATCATTATTTAATAAATTACAAACAATATATGAAAAAAAAAAGTTTGTTATTAAGATATGCGCATTCTCTTTAGATGAAACTCGAGAATGCATCTCTGGGTTTAATTTATCGTGCATTGAAAATGCGATGTGCGCCATAGTTCAATTGTTACGTAAAACAATCGGGCGGGGGCGGCCCACGCGATTCGCGTTCTGCCTAGCGGATTTTAATTAATTTTCTTCATTAGAAGCGTCTTCGTCTTTGTCTTCGTGAAATATGATGGGCTCACCCAACGCCCACCAATTAATTAGAAACCAAACAAAGGACGAGCAAAAAGAAATGCCACACGCCCTAGCAAAGAACGTACAAAAAAGAGAACTTTCTCTGCTATTTTTAGAAGAGATCTTCATCCACAATTGTTTAATATTAACTATTTGCATATTTTCAATGATAGTTTGAAACAAATTGGGTGATTGTCTGGCACCGTATTAAACGGGGTCAGTTATGAAATAATGTTAATGTTAATTGCGGAGACCAACACGGTTTAGTGGGATTTCGGGCCGGATGCAGGGAGATCCGAAAAGAGAGTCCGGTTCTCTTATTGACGTCAAGTTCTTTTTTTTTTCATCTTCTGTTTTTGGTGTCGGAGGTTCAGAGTTTTCGTGGATCACGGATGGAAACATGAGTAAGTGGTGGAGAGGTCGCAGCGAAAGAATTCTGTGGTGGAGGAGCAGATGGACGGAACGGTGAAGAGGTGGAGCAATGAGTAATGAAGAATGCCGTGCCATCCAAGTACTACTACTACTACATGCTTCGATGATGTGAAAGTCGGTCAGTGTGCTTTATACTTAGTTAGGCTGTGTATATGTGTTGTTATGGAAACGGTCTGAACTAGTCGACATCGAGGAGAGTATCCCCCACGCGTGCAGAGGACAAGAAGAAGACCGCTCAAAACTTGTGCACTTGGTTCAGTCCGCGTCAGACAGACAACAACACACTACAAGCGACGTTACAAGATTCAAAATAAACACGCGCGCGTAAAGCCGCATTAACAAAACTTTTAACAATAACAATATTATTATATTTTTATCTGCATTCAAAGTGACCATAAAGTATACACAGTACAGTGAAAACTATAAAAAGTGTCAAGACAAAATTCTAATTTGGATTAAATTTTTCATTACTTTCTTGGTTCCAATTATATAAGGTGAGATTTTTATTTATTATCTATTATTATTTAAAAACTAAAATAAATTTGAAAAAAGAATTGAAATCAGATTTGAGTTTTTTATGTTTAGTTTAGATTCAATTGATAATTTTTGCATTTACTTAAAATTTAATCGGACAATTCGATTTCGTTACAATATATCTATTAAGTGTTCATTATTATTTATATTTAGATATTGCATATAAATATAGAAATTAATGAGAAATCTATTTTCGAGTGTTTCAAGTAATTTAATCTGTTTTAATCATCTAAAAATATATTTATTTTGATAACGAATTTGTTCAATTTTTTGGTGAAATTAAAAATTTTAGTTTAATTTCATTTTCAATTGTTTTCAAACTCAAATATATGTGAACTTAAAACTAAATAAATATAAACTTAAAAAGCCACTTTCTAATATAAAAAGGTGATAAATGTAATTAAAAACTACAAGAGAAAAAAATAATAAATTTTACATTTTATTTAAATCAAACAAAACTTTCTCAAAAGTGAAATATGAGAAGACAAGTTATAATGAAAAAAAAACAGGAACACGAAATAAATTAATTCTCTTTGCCATATTTTTGAATGGATTTAAGCATTTCGTTGCGTAAAAGAGTAGTGAGAAACAGAGAAAACAAAGTAAAAGTTGACAGCAAACATAGTATGAAATCAAATTAATGTGCTTAATGTGACGAGCGGGGAAGCAAAAAAAAGGAGCAACAAGTCGTTAAAATTTCTAAGCTGGTCGTGATGCGAATGTGACATTAGCATATGTCTTCGAGGGGGGAGAAAGAGTGAGATGATCTGCACGTAACAAAGGAGCAACTGAAATCGCGCGAAACAATTGCAATCGTGCGATGTTTTTCATTGCTGCGATGATGATCGTCCGGGTGTCATCTGGTGTCATCATGCGCAAGTCGCGGCTAGGAACGAAAAAGAAAGTCGCATTCTTTTCGAGCGTCACGAATCTCTTGTTTCTTGCTTGAAATTAACACCAAATTACTTCAATGGAAACACGAAGAAAATCGAGACGTTTGTAAATAGGACCAGTAGGCCAAAATAACACTAAATGTGAATGTAATGATTGGTAATGAGGCAAATAATCGTTGTTTTTTAGTAAGAAAATTATACTTTTTCTTTATTTAATAGTAAAAAATAAGAACAAATCTCTTGTTTCTAGCTTGTTATTAACACCAATTATTTGATGACTTAATTTTCAGTCAAGACTAGTCAAAAAATAGACAAGTAGGACAAAATAACATTATTTTATGAGAATTTAATGATCGGAAATGAAGCGAAAAATCGTTTTGTTTTTGATATAAGAAAATTAAACTTTTACTTTAGTTAAAAGAAGTATGAATCTCTTGTTTATGTCTTCACTTTAACACCAATTACTTAGGTAACATGATGAAAATCCAGACGATTAAGAAAAGTAAAAACATTGAAAACAAAGTGTATAATCGTTTTTTTATTTCTATAAAAAAATAAACTTTTACTTTATTTAGTAGTTAAAATAAGAGCGAAAATAAAAAGCAGTTAACTGCTTATAAACAAATGAAGAGAAACAAAAAAGAAAGAGAAAATAAACACGTTATACGATTAATAATCTGTCAAAATCTGGTTTGCTTTTAAGACGTAAAGGTTGCTACTAAGCAAAAAAAAAAAACACATTCCGCTGTCTCGAACTTCCTGCTTTTTAAATACTTAATAAAAATGTAGACATATTACCAACTTCTGTTGTTCATTCTCTTCATTATTTACCGTCGATTGGATTCATTCCTCTCGAGGTTTTTGAACTCGGATTTCGAATTGGCAAACACAACACAAGCGTTTTCTGTAGCAACGATTTAAATTACAGTTTTTTTTAAAATGAAATGTCATTAGTTTGGAGACAGGTACTATTGATGATTGTCATTTTTGACGTTTCGATGTTTGCTTTTAATTTTAGTTGACTGAGAGAATCGGTGTCAGCTTTCTATTTATTAAAGGCATATTTGGAATCATGAATCAAGAACGAATAGAAACTAATAAAAAAAAATAAAATATATACATATAACAGCGAAAAAAAAAATATAATAAAAGATGACCTAGAATTTTGGAAATTATATTAACAAGTGAAAAGGGATAAAAATTTCTAAATAATTTTCTATACTGTTTCCTAAGCTTCTCTTTGCTTTGGTAATCTGAGACAAGTTAATTGTTTGAGGAAAGGTTGAATTAGTCATTTGTTTGGTTATTTGAGTGTTTTTTTTAGGAGGGGAATGTGGCCATTAACCCTTTCAAGTTATCGTTGGCTTTGCGCCGGAAAGTGAAATAAAAGACAAACGTTTTTCTTTAATGATTAACGGGGGCAGCACATGTGATCCGAATTAAAGTAATTGCTTAATTAATTAATTTAGCGCGGAGGAAATCCGAGTCGGAGCGTGTGAACGATTTGTTCTAACAAAACGACTGTAGTCAGCCGTTATTTGCAGTTTTTTTCTGATAATAATATGCAAATAAGTACTGTACACATGGATTTGGCCCACATATTCCGTGTTTTCTGATAGCAATTATGATTAAACAAACATTCGTATTACAGTGGAACCTCGCTTAACGAGAAAATCGCATAATTCTTAACGAGCGACGTTTCGCATCACGAGTGAGAAGTCCCGGATTGTGCGCATGCTATATCATTTTTAAAACTTGTGTACACATATTATGTGTAATTACTATACGAGTAAAAATCCGGAAATTTTGGAAAGGATTAAACTCGTTAAGCGAGGTTCCACTGTATTACATAAATCAAAAAATCAAGTGATGTTCAAATTGAATTGTCATTGTCAGTTTGACATATAAAGAATATTTAGTTTTATGTCTGCTGATTCGAATTTATTGAAATTTAATAATATTTATTTGAAACTCTAAAAATACTACGATTTGTGAGCCTTTTCACAAAATGAGCCAATAAAAAATAATTCTTTAAACTTAGTGACATTATTTTTTGTAGTACACAGCTGCGGAAATGACAGCTGTCAAAGCGTCAAAATTTTTGTATTCTAAACAATTAGGTTGAGGTCAAATAGGATTTATTTGGTTTTAATTGGAAGATTTGTGATTTTTAACATTGTATTACATAAATAAACAAACAAGTAATGCTTAAATTGATTTGTCATTGTCAATTTGACATATAAAACAATATTTACTTTTACGTCTATTGACTGGAATTTATCGAAATTTAATAATATTTATTTAAAATTGCGAAAACACTATGGCCGATAGTCCTTTCACTTCAAATGAGCCAATAAAATTTTATTATTTGAACTTAAAAATGTCTTTAATATTTTTTTTTGAGAAAAATTAAAAGTAATTATTCTATTGCTTTAATAGTAAAAATATATGTTATTACTGATGATAATAACAATTTATGTAATGAAACATGCATCATTCAGTTATAACAGCAATTATGAAATATGCAATTATCAGTTTTAATGTCTGATAGGTGATGTGAACGTGTTAACATTTGACAAACGAAACGAAAAGGAGCAACGGATCCTTTCGTTTTTATAGTTTGTTCTTTCATGGCCAACTACTTTTCGGTTTCCTGGACGTTTTTTTTCTTCTTCATATTTACAATATATTATTATTATATATTTTTTTGAGTTATGTAGTGCGGATATGGGCAAGGTGCGTCAATGAAATGATCCCGTTGTCGTCTCTACATTTCGTATACACTACATTACTATCTTAATTCAATTGCAGTAAAACGAGGAACGGTTTCATTGTTTCGCGTGTGATTTCGTAGTGCTTCAGTTGTTCTTTTTTTGTTATTGTAATTTTTAGGAAGCCGGACATGCATATAAACAGAGAGATAGGTGTAATTAAGCGGCATTGAAATGCAAAATGGGTCGGACTAAAAAAAAGACGGAATTTCGGTGTTATTGAACTCTGTTAATAATTGGAGTGTGTAAAAGAGCCTCGTTACACGAAATTTTTATGTGCGTTTATAGATTTAATGTGGATGAGCAATGGAAACATGGATAGGAAAGGCACACTATGATCATCATTATCATCATCATCATATGTCGGCCCAATTTTCAAAGTTAAAGAGTGAGAGAGATAGAGAGAATGGTAAAATAGCGGAGCTCATGAAACCGTTCCATGAATGCTACTGCCTATAACGCGGAACACTTTGTTCCGGACCAACTGTAGTTTATTGCAAACACACACACACTTATTGCACTATTTTTTAAAAAATTATATTGTACTTGTAGAATAGTTGTGATTTTATATCGACTGAAATGGGAAAGAAATATCCGAGTTATGCAACCCAGATCTTACGCAAACTGGAAACAAAAGACAGAGTCCGTCACAGCAGACGCGCATTCGGCGAGAACTCAAAGAACATCCGTTTGCCATTTCTTTCTTTTTGTTTTATTTGCAAAATCGCATTTGAATGGAGAGACAAGAATGGATCATCTGTCGGTTGCTCCTCGCTAACTGGAGCGTCAAACTGTGTATTACGTAAATGCTTTGATAATCTGCTAAGCTCAATACAATACAATACATATCAAGCAACAGTTGCAATTAAAACAAAAATGAAGAACGTTTCGAATATTGTTAATTGTAGGATATTTATGTGTCCCAAATGACAGCTGTCACCTTGCGCCAAAGTGTCGATTTTTTTATATTATAAACAATTGGTTGGTAGTATAATTACAAACAAATATGTAGGGTCATGCGAGGTTAAAAAACGCTGGTATGATGAACTCAAAAAAAGGATTTATTTGGTTTTAACCTTATTAAAATACAAAATTAATGCAATTAGTGTATAGTGTATATCGGTGATTCTCAAAGTGTGGGTCGCAGAAACTTTTCATGATCAAAAGCGGACCAAAAAGTTTGAGAATCACTGGTGTATATTATAATCAAACACTTTTGTTTTATTGATTTGTGATTTTTATTCTTCAATATTAGTGTCAATTGCGACTTGATAACAAATAATAGAATTTTTTGACGTTATAAAAGACAGGCTTGACTTTTGTTTTTCTATTATAAAATATACTTCAAATAACTGTCAAATACAATAAGTTATTAGATTTATATTCATTGATACTCGTAACTTTGTGTCAACTTGAAAATAATACACAATTCACATACTAACCACACAAATACACATGAACATTGAAACTTGTAAGGCATACAGCCAAGAAAGTTACCTGATGTAAATGAAACCTTTAATAACCACCATTATTAACTAAGATTTTAACTGTACATAATAAAGAAGAATTTTTAAATTTAAATTTAATTTTGTGTCAACTGCGTTTAAATAGCAAATAATAGAATGCATCCGTATTATGGCGTTATCAAAGACAGGTTTGAATTTTGTTTTAAATTTAGAAAATTTACTTCAAATAACAATCAAAATAATTAGATTAGATATTGTATCAATGAATTCGATTTTTGAATATTTCTTTTACCTGGTTCATCGTAAATAAATGGTCACAGCCCAATTTGATATTATTCTATGCAAACGGAACACATATTTTCTTTATCTAAAACATAACGAGTGTCACTTAATTGTCAATTTGACATAAGTGAAAATAACAATACAATTGAAATAAAGCAAAGCCATCTATTATTAATAAGCACAAATATTTAGTATGCACCTATACAATTATATTACTGTCATACTGTTTTGCAATGTATTGTATTTTTTTTATGTTCATTGCTTACATTGATTACAAATCAACATTGTCATTGAAATATCTATAAACTAATGTTATTTTTATTAATTAGATATTATGAAACTAATATGAAATTATAATAAATAATCAATTTGAATAATTTATAATTGTTTTTGTTCTATTAAAATGTTAAAGAATCTCAATGTTATTTAATTCTACGTTCATTTACAGTAATTTTTTTTGTTGAGATAAATTAATCGTATAATTATATCTTATCATAAATAAATATTGCATTATTACATGTTCTTAATCCGATATTATTAGTGCTTATAGCGTTAGTCATAGCAAGTTTTCAATAAAACTAATCGATTTGATTATAAACATAATTGATTACTATTATTAATGGATTGACGTTTCATATAACAGTCTTGTATTTGAAATTATTAATAAACGAATATGATAACATGAAAAATCATGAAATGTATATTAAAGATGTTGGCTGGGACCAAATTTAAATAGAGAAATCGACTTACAATTGGGTTGTCCATTATGGTTTTTACATAAAAAAAAAATCTCAATTTTGTTTATTTGTTTAATTGTTTTAAATATATTTTTGTCCAAAGCACACTTAATCTTTTAGTTATATTAATTAAGTAAATTGAAAAATAATTTAATTCTCACTGTAGTAAAGCATAATATTGACTTATTAATTTCCATAGAAGATGTCGCTGTATTCAACTTTATGTTTTTGTTTTGTTTCAGGTGATCCAAAAGCATGATTGTACGTTGGTCCGCGGTTGCGGTTCTCGGAACGTTCCTGTTCCTTCTAGTTTCTGCAACATCTGCCAAGAAAGGTAAACAGATTATACGAAAATCTCACTCATTAGTTTATAAGATTATTAATATAATTATATAATAAATTGTTGTTTTCGTATATTCAGTTTCTTCGAATAACAGTGGAAAAAAACAAAATGAACAAAAATGTGTTCATTTAAATAAGAAAAATCGACAGATATGCGTTAAAACTCTCTCAACAAGCATCCATAATTTATAATGCAAATTATACCGCTCTCTCGATTATTCCTGAACAATTAATTTTCTACTCTGACATAGAAACGTTTGTCGTCCCATTTATCGCTCGGAACGCATAACGGCAGTAAAAATTGGGGTGTTTCTGGTGACATTCCACGGCTATTCGATTTCCTTTTCCACGGCATTTCGATTTCTTTTGTTTTCGTGTGCGGCAATCGCGCGCTCTTTGTGTGCGTCTCCAATGTCACTCGGGAATTTCCAATTAGAAATTATGTCATGTGTCGCGAATTGCAAACCGCATTCGCTTATTTATTTACTTCTCGCCAATGATTTGTTTTTATGGTCACGTACGTACTGTTCTTCGCTAATAAGCACAGGGTCGTACACGGAACGATCATCTCGGCAGTGGGATTGATTTATATATATATATATATATATATATATAGATATTAACGCGCGAATCGCACCGTCGTTTCCGTTTCCGTCCGGCATATTCAGATGTCGGAATATGAATGGGAATCATGCATTTAAAAAGGTATAGTAGTAAATCGCGTATGTGGAACGCGACAAGAAAGCCGAGATTCCGTAGCCGCTCGGTCTACATTAAGTACTAATCGGGGTCAGCGAGGCAGCAAAATCAGATAGAAAAAAATAATATATATATATAACGAACTAGGCGTTAATTAATCGATAATTTATTGTTATTTGCACTTAAAATGTTGAACTAAATAAAGTTTTTCTCACATAGTCCGGTGATGAGTTTTTCTCTCTTTATACAGTTTTGTATGTATTTAGTCCGGTTTCAAACAGTCCGGGGATAATATAATCCTGACTATGCGAGGTTTTTCAACATATTTCAACAGTGGCAACATACGGAAATCGATATTTTCCCAGATTCAGGAATGTGGTAATTCTGAGACGTTTGATCTAGATTTTGCTCTGTTCAAGAAGCGTTTAATTAGTTTCGAGGGAAGCAATCTGAAACGAACGATTCGAAACCATCGACATGATGAAATCTTCGAGCGTACAAAAACGCAAATTTAAAGAAATCAAATGAATGGAAAAACGTTGCGCAATCAGACTCGCGTTCCACTCCAGAAAATTTACATAACAGTCCGATCGGGAAACTTTCGTTGCGTAACCAATTCTGTTATGGAACTCGCCAATTTTCGGGTTTAATTTGCTTTGTCAAGGTGTCGTGTGTACGCATTGAAATAAACCACTTTTAGGAACTGTGTTGAAATCAATTTATTTTGAGTCATAAGAGTGTTATGAAAGAATCGATTTCGTAGTAACAAATTGCGTGTGTCTTTTGATTGAGGTAATGTTATTGAATATATGACATATAATTATATAATAGGTCTACTGTTATGAGTACATAAAGATTTTGAAGCTTTGACATGTTCAACTAAATGATCAAATATGACAATGTTGCAAAGTTTAAATTATTTTTGACGTTTAACGTTGGACTTGAAAGTAATTAAAATTTATTATATTTTTTTTGTTTGTTAGAGAAATCTACGACTGAAGCGAAGTGTCCGAAGATATCAGAATGTCCTTACAACGCCCAATTCTGCGAAGACGACGAAGACTGTAATCCTGATAGCGCATGCTGTAACAGCAGCTGCGGCAACGTCTGCACCAAACAATTGTTCACAGGTACGCGAATTGAGGAGAAAGCGTTGGACATGTTAAATAAACAAATCGATAGCCTAGATTTCTCCTAATTAAAATGTATCCTTGCTGTGCAGGATGTCAGACTTTGAGGACGGCGGCCGCGAGAAGAGCCAAGTCCCTGGGAGTCGATGGTAAAAAGAACGTGAGGATACCCAGATGTGCGAGGGATGGTGCCTTCGAACCCATCCAATGCAGCAACGAGATCGTCAGCAGCTGTTGGTGCGTCGACGAGGCCGGTTTCGAGATGCCAGGCACGAGGGCGCCGGCCGCAGCCCTCGTCAATTGCACAGGTACGGATGACCCCTTTGACACGGATGACATTTTCACTATTGCGAGGCATCGCAAACAAATGAATTCCGGGATAGGTCGTGACATTTAAATGTCAGATTCGCGTCGGCATTTCATGAGTTTCCTCTTCTGATCGAAATGTAATTTCCCGGTGTTTCGCAGCACCCAAGCCTTGCGCCGCCCACACCTGCAGGATGTTCTGTCCGCATGGGTTCGCTCTGGCCAAGGACGGATGTCCTCTTTGCAAGTGTCGCGATCCGTGCGAAGATGTCAAGTGTCCCGACGCATTGGCCTGCCAACTGGAGGAGCTCTCGTGTAAAGATCCACCATGTCCCCCAATTCCCACCTGTAAGTAATGAAAATTATATTAATTTTTTTTTAATAATTATATAAAAAATGACTGTATGACAAATATGACATTAATGTCAAATATGAAATTATCTCTTCAAAGTCAAAATTTTTCAGATATTTTTTTTTGAAGTTTGTCATTATTATGTCCTATTGGTAAATCCCTAGAGGCAGAATTCTGTCTGCGCATTCAGGTCAGAGGGTTATGCAACGTCTTGTTTACTGCATATCAGCGATGCGATCTATTTTCTGCAGAACAATGAGAGGCCGTGAACTTTTTTTTGCTTCTTTCTTTCACATATGTCAGATGATGGTTGGAAAGGAAGACGCCTGGCATTTTGACTAATTACGGCCGGCGCGCACTTTCACTTCTCTGCTTCTTCGAGAGTTTAAGGACGATCTATGTAATTAGATTTAAATGTTATGGTTGCTAGAGGAAGAGCTGGAAACGTGAAAGAGCAACGGACACGTTGTAAAGGAGAGAGCGAAAGAGGCAGAGAGAGACAGACAGTGAGCACACGACTCGACAAAACACTAGAAAGTTTTTAGAAACTTTTTTTTAATGATGATGGTGTCTTCTGAGAAGACCGATTATTTATAATATCGATAATAAATTGATTTATCGAAAATTAATTTAATAATTTTAAAATTATGTATTTAATACCTTTTTTTGATTCGAAATATGGCTTAATTTCATGTTATTTTTTAATTGATTCACACAGGTAAGAGAGGACGCAGTTTGGACAACATCTGTCCAGTGGGAGATCCACTTAGGATTAGCGACACGGTGCGTCCTTTCCTTTGCGGAAACGATCCAACTAAGCCCAACTGTCCACCAATGTATCAGTGCTTAGTACAACCAGGTATATTTCTATTGTCTATTTTAGAAATTATAAAGTAATAAGGTAATTATGATTTAGGAAACGATTATGGTGTCTGCTGTCCGGCTTCGCTGCAAATCCAGAAAACCGGAAGTTGCCCAGCCAAAACTGAACAGGTCTACGAATGTGGTTCCATGTGCACTCACGATCTTGAATGTCCCTCCGTTCAAAAGTGTTGCGAAACCGCTCAGTGCGGATCATCCTGCACACATCCATCAAATGTCACTGGTATGTTACAGATATCATTTATTATTGTTTGTATACAAACATTTATTTTCTTCTACAGAGTGTTTACACCAGAGAGCTTTATCTGAAATTTTGGCTGTAAGTGAACGAGCTGGTAGAGGATATGTGCCGCAATGCGGTTCTGATGGACACTTCGAGACGAGGCAGTGCAGCAGAAATGGCTTAGTCTGTTGGTGCGTGGATCGGATGGGTAAAAAACTCAAAGGATCGATGGGTGCAGCTGAAAACGTCAATTGCACTTTAGTCGAAGGTACGTTGTTTGTGATGTCTACATGTATCATTTAGTTTATTTAAATTCATTTGTATTTAGCTCGCATCCAAACGCAGGGTCGTAGCATTGCTGGTAAGCGAAACAAGTGCGAGCATTTGGAATGCGCTGCCATTTGCGAGTATGGCTTTAAGCTGGATGACGATGGTTGCCATACCTGCAAATGCGATGATCCGTGCGAAGGATACGCTTGTCCAGAAGACGAGGAGTGCGTGAATGTGAAAGATTCAAGTTGCATGGATTTCCTGTGCCCTTCGCTTCCGGTGTGCAGACCCAAGCAGGTATATACAAATCCCTGCATTAGCGGAACACCTTTAACAGATGACCTCAGCGGAGCTCCAATTGCATGCGCTCTTCGCTCCGACGATGGCACCCTTTGTCCATCCAGTCATGAATGCACAGCGGTAGCAGGATCAACGCAAGCTGTGTGCTGTCAAAAAGAATCGGAAGAAGTCAAGCCAGAATTAGATCAAATAGCTGAAGAGAATAGGCCTCAGACTAGTATGTAGTCAATTATATTATATCACAACAATATATCTAAATACTTTTTTTTATTTAGTGTGTGACTATTTGCATAGTTTCTCTGAAAATATGGAAGGTACCAGGGATGGAATGGCTATGGCTCTGCCGCAGCCCAAGTGCGATTCCGAAGGTAATTTTGTGGCGGAACAATGTGACGGAGATTGCTGGTGCGTGGATCATTTCGGAACAGAAATTCCGAAAACAAGAAACGCTGGAAAGAATTGCACAGAAATCTGGGAGACTTCCGACTGCTTAGATCTGACTTGCCGCTTAGGTTGCGATTACGGTTTCGTGTTGGACGAAGAGACCGGATGTCCGACATGCCAGTGCCGCGATCCATGCAACGGCATCTCTTGCAACGAAGATCAGCAGTGCCAGCTGGTGGAAGTCAGCTGCAAGGACCATTATTGCCCACCTGTACCTGCGTGTTTGCCGAAGAAAATGGGTCAATGTCCGTACCTGGTGGCAGCTTCGACGTCCTGCGATTTCGAATGTAACTCAGACATGGCGTGCAATGGTACCATGCGGTGCTGTTCGAACGGATGCGGTACTCAATGCATAGAGCCGATGCTGTTAACCGGCTGTCAACATAAGAAACAAGTGTTGGAGCATCAAGCCAGGGAATCTGGTATACCTGCAGGTAGGGTTTACCTACCGCAGTGCAAAGAAGATGGGGAATACGAGACGAAGCAATGCGATCATAAAGAATGTTGGTGCGTCGATTTCAGAGGTTTCGAGGTATCCAAGACGCGCAAATCAAGGAACGAAGCTTTGAGTTGCGAACAACTGGAGGAAGCAAGTACGTGTCCAACTTACAAATGCAAGGAGGACTGTGAACACGGCTTTGAAATGGACGAGCATAATTGCAGAACGTGCAGATGCGCCGATCCGTGTTCTAAAATTTCTTGCAGAGAGGATGGAGAGATGTGTAGATTGGTAAACGTTGAGTGCGTGTCGTGGCCATGCCCAGCAGTTCCTATGTGTTTGCCCAAAAAGGAAAATCCTTGCCAGAACGGTGAACCTTTAAACCAAATATCTTGCGGCCCCGACCAGGATGGCTGCCCCTCCAGTCATAAGTGCCAATTGAGTCCCATCGGCGAATACGCCGTGTGCTGTCCAAAACCCCGAGATGTTTGCTTCGAAGCCTTAGAGACCGGAAATTGTTCGGGCGAAGAATCTAAGAACCTCACAAGATACCGCTTCAATCCGCGCACAAACAAATGCGAAAACTTTATGTATTCCGGTTGCCAAGGTAACCATAACAATTTCCACTCTGAAGAGGTTTGCGGGCAGGTCTGTCCTGTGCTGAGTCAATGCGAGAGGTTAAGAGAGAAGAACCAGAGATCCGCAGAGCGTTACCACAAACCCACTTTCCTGCCGAAGTGTGATCCGGAAACCGGTAATTGGGAGAACGTTCAGTGTTTAGATCACGTGGGTGTATGTTGGTGCGTGAACCCTCAAGGTGAGCCGCTCAAGGGCACGTTAACCCGTGGGGCGCAACCGGAATGCAACTTCCGACAGGCCCGGAACAGAGCGCGAGACCGCTCCGATCTCGGATCCGATGCAGATCTGGTTCTTGAAGAACTGCTGATGCAGCTGGGTAACTTGCAGGCAACCGACGACGACGAAGAGGACGAAGCTGAAGTAGGTATTAGCTGGGAGCTTCCGTTGAAATCGCGATGCGAAGCTCTGGGTAAGCAATGCGACCGGGAAGGAAAGTTTCTTCCGGCCCAATGCGAACAGGACGTTTGCTGGTGCGTAGACGAAGCCGGAAATCAACTTCCAAACACAAACACCTTCAAACACGGCGAACATCTGTGCTGTAAATATAATACTTTTCATACAATCTTCAATCATATTAATTACATCTTTCAACAGTACCGACACCGGTTGAAAGCGTGGAAATCACATTGGGTTTCCGCGGAGAGTACGACGAAGTAACCGCAGTGCCAGTCATCAATCAAATCAGCAAAATCACAAAGAACATGAAAGGTACCGTCACCAATGACGGTTTAGAGTACGAAGTGACTCCTGATGTTTTATACATCAAATTCTCTTTGATCGGAAGCAACAAGGTTGATGTCGCTTATAGATTAGAGCAAATGGTAAGCTCCATCTATTATTGACATTTCATAGATTAACATATGGCTTTTGATGTTACAGGTTATGCAACAAAGTTTGCCAGGTATGACGGCGGATATAACAAGGTCCCGGTTTACACACAGATTGGGAAACCTTGAGCAACCGCTGGTGGCTGAGAGGGTGGTAGCTTTGGAGCACCGCGAAATCGTTTCTCAATCGCCAGTCTCGTTGGTAGCTCATTACCATACGGCGCTCATTGTGATCGCGGCTGCTTCCGCTTTCGTTATATCTGTTTTAACGTTACTCGTCATTTTATACAAGCGCAAAGTATGTTTTTTCTTTCTATATTTCACTTTAATGATATTTTATTGACAACGTTAATTTATAGATGGCGAATTTGAACAATGCGACGGCAAAGATCGTCGAGGACAATCAGCGATTCCTATCGCTGAATCGTCCTATCTACATCGAGTTGCCGCACGATAAGCTTCCGGACCCGGCCACCAAACAGGAAGTGAAGGCGACATAAGTGACGCAGCTATATATAAACATATATTTATGAAAACTAACATATCTTTTAATTTTTGAAATTTTGTAAATTTTCTGGCGGTGCCAAAGGAGTAAAGATCGAGCGGACATTTCTTTATTAATATAGTATTTCCTTCGCGCAAACCATGTATGCTTTTTAATCTTTTGGCAACGAACGCTTTAATTTATTGTAATCGTTTCTACCGTCTCTTTACTTCATCCAATTGGTGGAACTTCGAAAGCGTAAACGGGACGGTAGATTGGAATGATTATTTTTGTTTGATTGTTCGAACTCGAATCATTCACGCAAGATTACGATATATTTTTTTTATAAATATATATATTATGTAAGAAAATTGTAAATACGAAAATTTTGTAAAACAAATAAATTAAGCTTAGAACGAAATTGTTTTTATTTTTTAGTACATATATTTCAAGCAGTGTTTTAGCTCTTAAGAAGCTCCAGACGCAATTTATTGTATATACATCCAACTTTCACAAGCATCTTTTGAATCCATTCTATCAATAATATTTTTCGAGAAAATGTGAAAACAGCGTTCATTTTTCATTACTTCAATTTTGAACGCAAATTTCAGTCAAATGGATGAAACTACAATAATGTAAATACTAGCTACATTGGCTACATCTATTAGAGTTTCCGAGAAAATCAATGACATACAAATGTATGAAAACAGTAATAAATCAATATAGGTTTTTTGAATAATTGATTTATTTTTTTTATATGCAACACCAAATAAAACTATTTAGATTTTAAATTCGTCAATGGATTTAAGTATGTCGATTTGATCAGCGAGCGATCTGCCGTTGCGGCGCCTTCTTCTGTCCATACCCGGCATTGACATCACCACCATTCCTTTAGGATAGTGATGGCCTTTGTTCTTGCCTTTGATTGCATAAATTAGTTTCTGTAAATTGTTTTGAAAGTAAATAAATTATTTGGTTAGTGACATTTGTCAATGTCAAATGTCGAAAGTTGACAGTGACAGATATAATTGTAAAATTTGTACTTACTAATATGCACTTGATGAGGAACACAGCGAATGTAAGAAAACCTATGGTGAGTAACGCTCCTTCGTTGGAAGGGAATTGAAGATCGTGATCATCGTATTTGAGGTCACCGCGATTGCTTCGTTTGGTTCTCGTCCGTTTCGCCGGTGCCCAAATACTAGCGATTTTTTGCTCTGAAATGTTATTAATTTACAAAATTTGATTAAATGGAATGCGAAGATATTACTGATGGCGTAGAGGAGACGATCCTTAATCTCCGTCAGAAATGACACCTTGTTCTTGACTTTCTTGTGCGACGTCCTCATGAGCGTGCTTTGGATTTTCTGCAAGTACGGAATAAACGCGGCGTATGAATATCCAGACGAGTCACCCTTTTGCGTTCCAGCTCCACCCTTGATAGTCCCATCCGTTTCATCATCATCTTCCTCTTCTACATACTCCGTATCATCGTAATATTCATCGTCATCGTAATACTCCTCTTCTTCAACATACTCATCCTCTTCATACTCGATCTCTTCATCGTACTTTTTCTCGTTGACGAAAACCTGATTAACTTTCGTTGTATTTGATACCTTATCGTTTCTCCTATTTTTGTTACCATTGTTCTTTTTCGGTTTATTCGAATTCTTGTTGCTTTTGGTAACAGGTGGCTTCAATGTGGTTTTACTACTAGCCGATACTTCAGTTGTAAGTTTCAAGAAGGAATCCGGCAACTTCGTTATAGACTTCTTAACTTCCCTGAACGTCGGTTCCACAATCGTCTCATAACTGCTTTGCGTCGTCGACGAAAAAAACGATGATTTCTCGTAAATGTACGGATCGTGCGGCGTAACTATCACAACAAATAAACCCATAAAAACAATTACACCAATAATATAAACTTCTTACCAATGTATGATTTCTTATTGGAAAACTGCGGAATTTCTACCCATTCACCCAGCACAGTAGAACTTACGAATAACAACAGAATTTTAATGTGCATTGTGATCTCGCTGGTTGCTCGATTCATTATGCGACAATCCTAGACATCGTCTCGAAATAACGTAGAAGCTTACATGTTTTTTCTTCTAAAACTAACTTTAGTTTTTTTTTTGGCGGAACTAAGCGTCTCCAATCTTTGCGGTATACGGAGGAGCACAAAAGGAATGGACGCAATTACCGCGATATTCCCCGATTCCCATCTAGTGCGCGTTTCAATCCGCACGACTAAAGCGTGACCGAAAAATTAAATAAAACTTGGTACGTAGCGCCTTAAAATTGTCGTCGCGATGCTTTTAATATATAATTTTACGCTTTGATACATATGATTCTTGAGGAGATTATTTAAAGATTTCCGATTTAAATATGTAGTTTTTTTTTCTGTTATTTTAATTGGAACCAGTCATCCCTCTGATAACGAAGTTTAGATATAACAAAGTTTGTAATTGTTTGAAAACAATGATAGAACTTGAAAAGAAGAATCGTTTAAGTGGCGCAAAATGTGGCCAAAGTTCTACTAGAATAAGAAAATAACATCTAAGAAATTAGAAATCAAGTTATCCATATGGATCAATCAAAGGGTTTCAAAAATGACGATGAAGAAGAAGTTTATTGAATGCATCAGATGATGGTTTTTCAGTGAATGATTATGGGAAAATAAAGACGAAATTATAGACTCACATAATGAAGTGATTTGATAAAATTCAGCTTATTTGTTGAACTATGTATGAATATTTTGGGTCCCGGCGCATTCACCATATTATTGTCTTGTATAAAAATACAATTTTGATAATAAAAAAGTTATTTTTTCATCCCAAATCACATTAAAATCGAGTAAGGATTAATACAATTTACTAACAATAATAAAAAATTACCGCATTTCTCAAATGTATATACTAAATGGACAAGGATGTGTATCTTATTAAAACTTGTTACTTTAATAAAAAAATCTAGTCTGTCGTGAGAGAATCCTAGGTTTGCTAAAAAAAATTAAAAAAAAAAACATCATCAAGTGAAATAAAAGGGTAAAAACATGACTTTGGTTACCTATTAGTTACTAATTATTTATCTTCAAACATCAAGTATCCATTTTATGTAGTTTACTTAAATTTATATATATTTTCGGCCACGATAGAAAATTTCTAAGCTTTTGACTAGAGTGAAAAATATAATATATAATAAAAAAAATATGTCAAAAGTTGTTCAAAATCTTTAAAACTGTTATTTCCCTGTCACCGATGTCATCAAACTATATTACTACCAACTGCATATAAATTACAAAGTACTTGTAAACAATTTAAGTTGGTAAATACATAGATAGAGGTTAAGGTTTCTATGGAGAAGTATTTGTTATAATTAATAACGAATAGGAAATAGTCTCTTTTATATGACATAACCAAGAACTAGAAATTCATGTCCAGTATTCCAAATAGAACATACAATTCTGACTCTTCTTTTGTTCACTTGTTTTCTGGTCTTGTTTCCCTTCACAAAATCCCCGAAAATCAAAGAAGGATCAATCAAAGAAAAATTATCAAGTAAATCTAAAAAGTAGAGTTTTTCATTTTGTAATTTGTATTCTCTTTCAGTTATAGATTTTGTTTTATTAAATTAAAAAAACGTCAAAATTTGACAGTTTTTTTACTGTTTTCTTATTAACCTAAATAATTTGACAATTGATTTTTTTTATAAATTTTGTTTTAATTTGAAGTAAAATATTGATGTTAAAGATCTTTAAGAAATATAATAAATACTTAATGAGAAAAACGAAAAAAAAACTATTATAACTAGACCTAATTACAAATAATTTGGCTTATATAACACTTTTTTTCACTGTTTTCTTATTTACAGTTTTCTAGAATTATTTTTTCAAGTGTTGTACTTTACTGTATGTTTTGTATGAAAATAGACTGTCAAATTTAATATATGTATTCTCTTTCAGTTATAGATTTTGTTTCTAAGACTTCACATTTACATTTAGTTGTTAAAAACAAAATTCTAAATATAATGGACGTCTAAAATAAACAAGACGTCAATATTTGACAGTTTTTTTACTGTTTTTTTATTAACCTAAATAATTTGACAATTGATTTTTTGTATAAATTTTGTTTTAATTTGAATTAAAACTTAACTTCACAAAAACTAGACCTAATTACCAGAGATACAATAAATATAATAAAGCAGTAGAAAAATTAAAAATAGTTCACACGTTAATTATAGTATAAATGTATTATAATTCTATAATAATATAATCGCGTTTCGGCTCTTGCACATTGCATGTCCGAGTTCTAGTAAATTCATATCAATTTTAAACTACTGAAAATATCAAAAAGTGCATTGACACATTGTGATAGTGAAACAATTTAGGTACTAATGAATTTGTGTTATTTTTCTAAAATAGGAAATAATATGTTATAGCAAATAGTTTTAATTGCATGTTTATTTAGTTTTTTACATACAGAATGTTTTCTTATTACAAGTTTTGTTTAAATAATACTGCAGGTTGTCATGACTACTGCGTAAATTTCCATTTGTTTGGCTAATTAAAATGGAAGTTGCTTGTAAGTCGATAATGTGAATACGATTACAAAAGTAATGCCAATTTATTGTTGACATTGGATATATCAAAAAAGTGAACATGTGAAAAGATGAAATGTAGAATGGAACGGACTTTAATCTGACATTTAAAATAAACATAATGAAAATTATCATTTATTAAAACGAAATGAATATGTTTTTTTTTTTAATATAAATTGTGCTAAACTAAATGTTTATACGATCGAATCGTGGATACAATTAAAAAGTTTTAAGTTTTTCAAGTAGATCTCTGATAAGTTATCTGTCCAGCATATTTCCGTTTCAAAGTTTCAACAGCTGCGATTGGAGGGAAATAATGATTATTGTAATAATTATAATTAGAATCAATGTGAGGTAGATAACAGATAAACTCTATATACTATTTACAGTCACTCGAGTGTGTAACAATCGACTATCGTTTTCCCGATAATTATTCTAATTTGTTTGTTTCGTTGTTTACGCCGAATATATTATTTTTCGGTTTCAATTGCACTCGAAACAGATGAGTGCTAAAATAGCAATCAGTATAATTGAATACTGAATACTAAAATATAAACATTATAATTTTTATCGTGACAAACGATTATTACGTACATAATTAGGAACAAATACAAAATCACTTTAATAATCAATTATTTTGAAAGAAAAATTAATAATAAGTCAAATTAACACGCAACTATTACGGACAATTAAAAAAAAATCTATAAGTCAAAGTGACCCGTTTATTAAATATTTAAAAAAATATAGAACAAATGATTGATTCTTACTATAAACACATTTTACCTCAATTAATGCGGTTTTAACTCGTAACTACTACTGATAAATAAATAAAACACAAGTACTACCATGGATCAAAATGACCCATCTATTAAATATTAAATAGAAATAGACCAAATTATTAATTTATACAACAAACACCGTTTAATTATTATTATTTAATGAATGTATCATCATTTAAAACTGATTTTATTGTTCAAAACAGTCTGCACATGTATTTTTGATCAAGTAGAACAAATTGGTTTGCATATGTCATAAAACGTTGAAGTTTTATTATCGCTCTTGCTTAGACAAAAAAAATCTTTCTTTTGGATGTAGAAATGTCAGGTGGGTCATTCTGACCCATCTGTAGTACTTACGACTTAAACATTTTTTTTTACAGTAAATAAATAAAATAATTATAGTTTTTAAATTTAGGGCTAAATGGAACCAAAGAGCTATCAAACTAAATCTTTTTAGGAAACTTAATACTAATAATCTTTATTGCAACAATTATGAAAAGCAAACTAATACCTTTTCATGCAATAGTAATAAAACAGAAAGTTAATAGGTTCTTGTACCTATTAGTATACTTATTAATCAAAATTTAAATAAAATAAAAGCAGAAAATAATTTGATGTTGATGAAAATGTGTTTTTTTTATCTAATCATTGCAGATGAAGCAATGAAATCAACAATCATTATCTAATTTAAATTGCGAAATCGATTTTGAAATTTCTTGAAATACAGGAATAAAAGAAATGCAATCTATTGAAATACTCGTATGTCAACGAATACGTAATCTCTAATGAATGAAATAAAAATTAATTATCTCGTGCGTACTTTTGATAATTTTTTTCGTGTTTAGCAACAATCGTTTCGTCTAATTATAGAATTTCATTCACAAATTATAAAAAATCCGCCTATCTGCAGCATCATATCCGATCGACAAAAAAAAACGTCCTGTCACACCTAGGCATGGTGTACAGGACACAGATTTACGTGCGCCAAACGTAGATCGTTTATCTCGACAGGAAACCTGCGCTGCCCGTGATTTAAAATCTCCACGATCACTTCGAACAATTGAGATAACCGTCCAATATAAATAGGGACATCTTCTCACTCACTAGGTAGAAACTAAACTACGGAGATTGTAGACAGGTGTAATTAGGAATCATGGTCGACGCTCGCACAGCCACCGTAGGTACGGAGATGTACCACAGTCTTCGTCGAAACCAAAATAATTCAGCGGTGGTAAGTGTATTTATTTTTTTTTGTTATATGTTTTGTAATTATAATTATTTGTTTTATAGGTGGATGTTGGATCGAATAAATCCGTGTCGTGCGGGGATGTTCTGCAATCATCAGCTAAATTGGCTATGTGGTTGCGTGGTAACGGTTGCCAAATCAACCAAGTTGTAGCAGTTTGCAGCGACAACAGGGTGGATTACTTCAATCCAATCCTGGCCTGTCTCTTCGAAGGATTTATCGCCACACCAATCAACAGCCAATACTCGCAAAGTACGTTAATTGATGTTTTGAATATGCGAGTAATGTGTTAATTTACATTTTTCGTTTCAGTTGAATTGGTGCATTCGTTGAGATTGGTGCGACCGACGATCGTGTTCTGCGCGAAAGAGTTCTACCCGAAACTGTTAACTTTGCATTTAGCCACGCGCATTCCCTTCGTCAAGAAAATCATCCTTCTGGAAACTGTAGATCAATTGGTAGCAGAAATGGATATTTCTAATTACAAACCTAGGAGTTTCAACGGACAGGAGCAAATCGCAGCATACCTTTTCTCTTCGGGAACCACCGGTCCCGCCAAGGCTTCCATCCTCACGCACGCCAACATCTTAAGTCATCTGGAATCTTGGTTAGTTTACAGGGAATTGTTTAAATGTGCGAATCTAAATTTTTCATTTTTAATTTAGCGAAAGCGATTTGAGCACAGTGGACGCGATGGCCTACAGCTCTTCTATGGGTTTGCTGAGCAGCTTGGGAATGCTGTTCAACGGAAAAACTCTTCTTTGCCAGAAAACGTTTGAGCCGGAAACTTACTTGAGGGCCATTTCTCAGTACAGATGCAACTCGTTGATTGTCACGCCGAAGATGGTGACGACTCTGATCAATACCAACGGAGATAACTTTGATTTGAGTTCACTGAAGGTGATCGTGAACACAGGCAGAGGTCTTTCCAAGGAAATGCACGTTGCGCTTCAAAATAAGTTCAGGGTGGGACAGATCCTCAATTTTTACCATCTGACTGAGTGCACGAAAGTGCTGACGGCGGCGGGAAAGCCGCGACAAGGTGTTTCGCTGAAGATCAGAGATGCGGCGACCGGACAGACCTTGGGACCGAACAAGATCGGCGAGCTCTGCGTGAAGAGCGAAGGCACCATGAGGGAATACTTTGATAATGAGAACTCTACCAGAGAGGTTTTCTGCAAGGACGGTTGGTTGTTGACCGGGGATTTGGCCTACTGCGATCAGGAAGGCAACGTGGCCATCGTTGATCGTCTGATGGAGCTGATCCGCTTCAGGGATCAGCTGATCGCTCCGATGGAACTGGAATCCATCCTCCTCAGGCATCCGAAGATTCGCGATGCTGTTGTCGTGGGAATGCCGTGCAACACGGACGGGGAACGTCCGCTCGCGTTCATCGTGAAGAAGGATGAGGTGGATATGATCGAAGCTGAGGTCGAGATGTACATTGACGGTAAATAATTAATATGAAAAAAAAAATAAGGAATACAATATATAACTTAAATTTCGTTTTGGTTTAAGGTCAAGTGTCAGCGGCGAAAAGACTGAGCGGTGGCATCAAATTCATCGATAAGATTCGGCGAGATGCCAAGGGTAAAGTACTCAGGAACGAGATGAAGGCTATTGCATTGAGGCACAAGATGTAGTAATGCATCGTATCATCAAAACTATTGCACTTGAGATTAACAACTATCTTATCATGCCATCTACAATCATACGCGAAAACGATTAGTTTTATAATTGTTCACTAGATATATTATATTTTTCTATTCTATTTGTATCATATACATACTACACTAATGTAATATAATCTAAAATTGTTATTATCATTATTATACACGTATCTATTATATACGTTCCAATAAAGTTATATTTTTACTTCAACTCAACTTTTATTACAAAATACATCACAAGCATGTTTTATTTCATTATAATAATGAATAACATATACACTATTAATCAATTATTATAGAATGTTTTAAATGTTTTTTTTTATAATAATTAGATAAAATTGTTACGATCGACGACAGTTATAAGCTTCGTTATGAAGAACTAAGTAGTTGAAGAAGAGTGTCTAAACCACAGTAAAAGACAGTGGTAGAAGAGGATAAGAAAAGTAAGTGAAGAGTAAGAATGAAATATATACGAAAATGTCATAATCATTGACATAGGTGTAAATATGGCTTTTACGGCTTAAAACTAATATAAATTATGTAATTATGCAGTTATCAGCTGTTATTGAATATTTAATTTTAAATAAATCAAAAGTGTTTTGTAAATAAATCATTTTAATAAAAATATTTGTTGTGAAATTGAAAATATTAATAAAAATTATATATGCACATTGTTTTGTATTTGTTATCCTTAATGTGCAAAGTTTATAGTAAAATTTGAATATTAATGTAGTAGTTTAGAGAACCGAATGATGATGCTGCCCCCGTTCGTGTTTACTCACTGATCCTAACGAAATGTAAATAGTTGATAAAGTGTATTCATTAATCTCAGTTTTCCCTAACAAACAGAGATTTCAGTGCTCCATCGAAACAGTTAATGCTGCAATCTGAGAATTAAAATGGAGATTTTGATGGGACCTGAAGACGTTAGCGGGATACCAAGAAACGTGTCCATGGGTAAAATCATTTTGGATAGACTCAAACGATTCGGAGATAAAATATGTTTTGTAAGTGCATTTGTGAACTATTTTCTTTTTTGTAAAACCTCGAATATCTAAAAACATATATACAATAAACATAACATAATACGATTTGTTCTTAAGGCTGTTCAAAAATAAAATTAATTAAAAAACCGAAAGTAATATACTTTATATGTCTTGATAAAATAATGGTAAATGATGCGTTTTATGAAATTAGAACTTGTTTTTCAGAAGTAATATAAATTATGAGTGGAGAAAAGCTTATTAAAATGTAAAGTGTAAAAAAAATGGAACTACCAAGCCAGCAAATTTGTTTATTGTTTTTTTTAATCTTTAGTTAAATTATTTGTTTGGAACGAAGTAATTGCCGATTTTCTTATACAAATGAAACATGATAATCAATGACCTTTTGCCGTGAATCCTTCAACTTCATTGTCTCACGCTCATTGAACCTCTGGTCTTTATCAGCAAGAAAATGAACTGCGTTATCATCATTGAAAGTTTTACCATTCAAGGAATTTTGTAAGGCTCTGAAGAAATAGTAATCCGATCATGCTAAGTCAAATCGTAGTATTTGAGTGAAAAAAATCTCCGGAACGAAATTTTTCAAACCAATTCCGGCACTGTTTTTTCTTTCAGAACTTCACCACGCTTGTGTTGCGTTCTTTCCTTTTCGGAAATAATACTTCAAAATATGACGAAAATGAACGTTTTTGTTCTCTATGTTAAAATTGAAACTATACAAATAAATCTCACAAAAATACACTTAATTTGGTTTTTAAGAAATCTAAAGCTGATAAATGCTAAAACTATATGATTGTAACATTAACAGAAGTCATTCAAAAGAAGTCGACCAAATTGCAAATCGAATTTTCTTTTTTTTTTGCCAACAAATAGTTTCGAAGATATTCAAAGCATAGTAAGTGTACAATTTTAAATTTTATAAGTTCAAGTATGCCTTGAGACAAGTCACATTACTTTTGTTTTTAATAAAATAATAATTTATAGCAATATTATTTATATTTAAAAAAAAAGTCGATTAACAAAAAAAATAAACATAATCAATTTATTGCTGTAATTGGAAGTTATTTCAATGTTGTTTATTATTGCATTTAGTTGACTTATCTGTATTATTTTGGATGAGTTGTTATTGCAAATTAATTGAGCTTGTAAAGTAAGAATGTTGTTTTGCAGGAGAATTTGGAAACAGAAGATGAGTTACGCTGCAATCAAGTTTTAGAGAAATCTGTGAAATTCGGTAAAGCCCTCCGTGATTACGGATTAAAAAAGGACGATGTTATGATGATGATAAGCGATAGCTGTTTTGAACTTTGCATCCCGTTGTTGGCATGCCTCTACAACGGATTTATTTTCGTGGCTTTGAATCCAGACTACACCGAATGTAAACAAACAAAAATTTGAATACTTTCAAGATTGATGCATAATTGATTGATGGGTTTTCAGATGAATTATCAAAATACATAGAGCTGACAAAACCGAAGGTGGTTTTCACCACCGCATCGGTGCTTAGCAAGATGAAGAAGCTGGAAATACCGGAGATCAAGAGTATGGATGATATCAAGGAAATGATTGAGCGTAGAACGGATTGTGATGTAATTGGTTACGAGCCGGAGGATTTGGATGATAATCAAACTGCTGTTATATATTTCTCTTCGGGGACTACTGGGCCACCGAAAGGTGTCCAATTGACGCACCGGAATTTGAGGATGTGCGCCGTGCAGACTGGGTAAATTTATTAAGTTTTCTGTTGAGATTAATTTCGAGATGTTGGTTTTAGAGCAAATTATTTCAACGCCAATGTATCGGACGTGATGCTTTTCAATCTGCCGTGCTTCAATGTCATCTTCCTGTTTCCGTTGTGCGCGGCTGTGGTGCATGGCGCTAGAGTCCTTCTGCTCTCCAAACTGAAACCGGAAGTCTTCCTCTCAACTATAGAACGTACAAAACCGACCAAGATGATCTTCGTGCCGCTTTTGGTTAACTTCGTGATTAAATCCCCTCTTACCGAGAAATACGATCTGTCCTCGCTGAAGCACGTCTTCTGCGGATCGGCCCCAATTCATAAGAACACTGTGGATCTGTTCATGCGCAAGTTTCCTGACTGCGTGTTCCACCAGATTTATGGAGCGACGGAGACGTCGGTCGCAATCCTCTTCAACGATATGCTCGATGGAAAAACCGCTTCGGTTGGTAGATTGATGGCCAATAATCAGGCGAAAGTCGTGGATATGGGATCCGGGAAAATCTTGGGTCCGGGAGCTATTGGTGAGCTCTGCTTCAAGGGTGAATCCATCACGAAGGGGTACTATTTGAATGAAGCAGCTGATCTACAGAATTTTGATGCTGATGGTTTTCTGCATACCGGCGATGTTGGCTACTACGACCAAGATCGATTCTTCTACATAGTGGATCGCATCAAGGACATCATTAAATATAAATCTTATCAGGTGAGTTGTAATACATCAACGTATCATGCATTTAGTTAACGTTGTAATTGATTATTTCATTTACAATTAAATCATGTTTAAATCACATTCGTTTTGTTCTTGGGAAATAATTATTTTGTTTTAACATTTCGTTTTTTCACCTCCTTTATGAATATATTAGCTACAAAATAAAAAAATAAATTAAATAAAAACAGTGTATCCAAAATATATACAATGCAAATTATAAAAAAATCTGGAGTAAATAATGCAATAATTCTGAACTTTAAAATTGGAATAAATATACACTAAAGATCTTTAGAATAATTTAAAAAAAAATACATTTTCCAATTAATTTTGTTTATTATTATATAATATATGAAAGAGATTTCAAGATTTAGTAACAAGAGATCGTACAGTGAACAGTTTTAAGATAATGTATTTTTTTTTGTACTTTTGCCTTCATTACTAAATATTCCATTCCACTTTTAAACTCATTTTCGAAAACTGCTATTTTTTATCTTCTAGTAAAATTTCTAGCCAAATTTTGCATCAAACATTATTGTTAGTGAAGTCTTTTGAACTTTGTTGTTGGAGATAATATTAGTCGAGATGTTAATGCACTTACGTAATAGAGAGAAAATAAAAAAGAAACACTAAAAAGTATTTCCATTTTCATTGATGACTCTCTTTAAAACTAATTTACTTGAAACTGGTTGCATTGAAATGTTTAATAATAAAATGAGAAACATGAAACATGAAAAACAAACTGGGAAACTTTTAAACGTTATTTTTCAAGCAATATAAAAAATCTCGTCGGGAAAATGATGTAAATATATGCACGCTCGTGCAACTATACAATAGTCGAGAAAATTTATAATTTAATTTTAAAATTTCTTATTAAAGACATTCTTTGAATGCGCATAAATTAAATGCAATTTAATTATTATTTTATTCTACTTGGTGAGCTAATGACTTCGTTTTTTCCTTCGCTCAATCGAGTATAGAATTTTTTCCAAAAATACAAAAAATATTATTGCAATTATCATAGTAATTAAAATGTTATATTAATTTCATACTATTAATTTTATTTATTAGTAAAAAACTGAAGAAATGCTGAAGACTATTTTCTAAGCAGCGAATCTATTTGTATCTTTTACTATTATCCAGAAAATCATTTTGGTACTTGTTTGAGGGTGCAAAGAGGATAAGAATTCCACTCTAATATTTTTATGGTTTCCAAAATATGGCTTTTTACAATACAAATCTTCAATAACTTCTGACTAATTTGATAAATGAAAAAAAAAAAGTTTTACATTTATTAAATTTTATTTAAAAGTTAATAGTAATGATTATTAACGCGTAAGAAAGCGAACAAACGGAAATAAACTCTACACGTTTCGGTCTTTGTACGTCAAAAGGGTCAATGTAATTATTTTTATGTAATATTATACATATATTCAATTATTCAATAGTCATTTACATTTAAATTAAGGAAACGTATAAAATAAATGTGTTTTATTTTATGTTAACAATAAGTTAACGTGATATTTGCATTCGAGGTTTGCAAACTAGGAAAACCTGCATGTATATTAATTAAATTAATATTGTATTCATTAAATTGACGTGTTCCATGGATGGAATTCTAGACACAGTGGAATAATGTCTGATCTGGTCGTTGTGGAGTTTCAATAGTTGGGAATTTAATGAAATTTGTTTGGTTTTACATAACTTTATTCGATACTTGGTTGATTTAAGATTTATCTGAGACTATGCTCATCATATTAAGATTATTATAAGACTATGTTTATCTTATTAAGGTTTTACTGAGACTTTATCAGTCTTTAAATGTTTTACTGAGGCTAATTCTAAATACTTATTCTAGTTACAAAGTTAATTCTTATTATACGAGGTGGGAGTTGTGATAGGGAGTAGGGTTTGTATATATCAGCGTTTTCCAAACTGTGAGGCGCGCCTCCCTGGGGAGGCGTGGACTAGTCTAAGGGGAGGCGCGAATATTAGTAGTAGTAAGCAATTTTACAAATATCTGCTAAAGTATAGATACATTCCTGTGCTCTTATCCATATTGCTGTAATACGCGTTCAAAGTTGAAAACTTGAAATTAGAACGTTCGAAAAAGCAGCGTTTTCACATTTCATTGATTTACTCAAAAAAAATAATAAATAAAATGGATCCAAAAGATGCATATGGAAGCTGAATGTTTGGGGAATCCAGCAAGTATAGATACATTCCTGTGCTCTTATCCATATTGCTGTATTACGCGTTCCTTTTATGAAATGGAGGGGTGTGGGGAGGCGCCAAATGATTACATACTTTTGAGGGAGGCGTAGTAACATCAAGTTTGGAAACCACTGGTATATATTGATGATTAAGCGTTCTCATGGGAATCGGCTTTGGTGGGCTTGTTTATTATAAGACCGGGACAAAATCCTATGCATTTGTTTATATAAACAAGATGATCGATTACGATTGTACGTGTAATGATCATTAAGTGTTTATAATAAGGACTTGAATTCGGAGTAAAGGTATAGGAGTATCGATGGTAATGTTTACGCTTGGCCTCCTTTGTTTATAAAGGGTGTCCCAAAATTTGAATTTGCTTCCATTTTTGAATAAAGTGGTGGCAACCCCAAAAAATAAACAATTTGAAAGCTGAGAGGTTAGGATTAGTAAAAATGGGGCATTGAATGGATTATTGAGCATCAATTATTGAGCTGATTTTTCATCCTAAGCGATAAAGCATATTTTCACCTTGATGGCTTTGTTAATCGCTAAAATTGCCGCATTTGGGGTCCGAAGAACCCACATGTGATTGTCGAAAAACAAATGCATCCACAGCGTGTCACTGTTTGGTGCGGATTTTGGGTTGAAGGCATCATTGGACCGTACTTTTTTGAAAATGAGGCTGGTCAAGCAGTGATTGTTACTGTTGCTCGATATCGCGACATGATAACACACTTCTTTCTGCCTCAGTTGGATGATATTGATATAGACGACATGTGGTTTCAACAAGATGATGCCACATGCCATACATGCCGTGAAACAATTCAATTACTGCGAGAGACATTTCCTAGTCGTGTACTTTTTGGTTTCGGTGATCAGAATTGGCCCCCTAGATCTTGTGATTTAACACCATTAAATTTCTTTTTATGGGAATATTTGAAGTCAAAGGTCTATGTCAACAAGTCCACAACCACCCGTGCATTACAGGAGGAAATTAAACGCTGCATCAACGAAATACAGCCACATTTATGCAAAATGGTCATGGAAAATTTCGATAAGAGAATGCGTATGCGCCAGCAAAACTGTGGAGGCCATTTGCCCGATGTGTTAATCCATAAATAACCCTATCCTATATATTTTATGATTCAATAAAAAAATCACAACTTGAAGACTAAAAACTGTGTTTTCTATTTAATTCAAATCTTGCGTTAATTTTGGGACACCCTTTATTAAAGTGAATCGAACTGGGATCACGGTAGAGGTTCCATTATGCTGATGTATATGTTTATATAATAATGAGACTAAGAGACGCTATGGACGTCTCTAGTTCGTTAGTACACTATATTAATAATAACAATAAAATCTTTGTTTAATATTAATTTCTTTAGTAGAAAGACTTTTGAGATATACCTAATTTATATTTGTTTCAGTATTAGATAACAATTGTAATCCCATATAATTATTACGTTATTTAGAGAATGGTTTTACGTGTTTTCTAAAATAATACAACTGACTAAATCATGTTTTCCACACAAAGTAGACAAATAATTCTAAATATGTCTAAATAAAAACAACATTTTGCACTTTGCTTTATTTGCAATTGTTGTCACAACCAAATTTATTAGGATTTAAGAGATAAAATAATCACAAATTTTCATATGAGTTAATTATAAAATTGATTTACTGTTTTCCTGAAGTTTTTTGTGTAATTATCAATGTTTACGAGTTTTAATCTAATTAGGTTTACTTACATCAGCTGTAGTCTGAATAATATTTCATCTGACGTAGTATTATTATGTTGATTTTCCGTTTCTCGCAGGTTTCACCGTCTGAGATCGAGTCTGTCCTGCTGCTACACGAGTGCGTAAAAGAGGCGGCCGTGGTCGGGATACCGGATGAAAGAAGCGGAGAACTTCCTGCTGCGTTTGTCGTGAAGAACAAGGACATCGACGAGCAGGATTTGATTGACTTCGTCGCAGGCAAATTAGTAATAACCCAATGTATATCCAACGTTTATTTATATTTTTTTCGTCACAGATCATTTGAGCAATTACAAGCATCTGCATGGAGGGATGCGCTTTGTGAAGGAAATCCAGAAAAACGCTTTGGGAAAGATCGATCGAAAAGTTCTGAGAGACATCTTCAAAAAATAATCCAATTTTACACACATTTTAGATACTAATAATCTAAATCAGTGGTTCTCTACCAATAGACAGTGATCAAATATTAGGTTGAATTAATGGGTGACAGTAGCTGTCACCTTGTGTCAAAGCGATTCGGTACATTCTTTTTTTAAATTTATGTTAAACCGATTGGCTCGCAATGCCAAGTATAAACAATCGCGCGGTGCATAAACAGTTGATCTAGATAATTTCCGTACTCAAAATTTCGATCATCACTGAATGCTCCAAAAAAAACAGTCAAATCTTTAATGCCGGAAATGTCAATGATAAATAAGGCATCACGCATATCCTATCAACCAATAAATTTGAATAGAATAAAAACAAAGAACTATTATATTTTTCCTTTGCAAACGACTGGGAATTGTTTTGCGATCACTTTATTTTTTTCTTATCGTAAACTTGATTTTTTGCGTGCTTGCGTCTATGCAATTGATTGCAATAATTAAACTTAATAATTATAGTTAATTATATTTTTATTTTTATTATAACTTTTATAATTATAAATTCATAGAAATTTAAATCTGAAGGTCACATAACAAACATTTACATAATTTTACGTCACATATCTACTATAATCTAATTATTGTATACTAACTTAATGAATGAAAATCCAACATAGTACGTTTGAAATTGTTATTTTTCTTTTTAAGTAGTCACTGTAGTCCGGCAGTGTATCAGCACTGATCGAGGCCGAACTATGCTAGGTATTGCTGTATATAAGATTCAGTTTCTAAAAATCAGTTACTGATGGTGTGAAAACTCTGATTGAAATGTCATAAAGCCTGTTTTGTCCCATTTTTTTTAATTTTAAATAAAATTGAACTTAAAAAACATATTTTTTTTTTTGTAAACAAACAATCTTACTGTCCTTAAAATTTCCATTCCACTTCGTAAATGTCGTACACATACTTCAAGAATATCATTTTCATCTGAATCGTGGTTGCTCTGCTCTGATTGAAATATCATAAAAAAGTGAGGCTGTTTTGTCCCATTTTTATTAAATTTTAAATAAAATTGAACTAAAAAACATATTTCTTTTTTTTAAACAAACAATCTTAATGACCTTAAAATGTCCATTCTACTTCGTAAATGTCCTACACATACTTCAAGAATATCATTTTCATCTGAATTGTGATTAATGATTGAGTTTAGGAGAAAAACAAGTTCTTATTTTTTGGGTCGATGTCGAAAATATCAATAGTTTTATAGTTGTTTTAAGCGCAATACTTGATATAGTGAATACAAACTTGAATTATTATTTAACCATGACATATTTCGTTAATTAAAATTTATTGAAAACGAATCAAATAGTACTTAAATAAAGAAACGCAATATACATATTGCGACATGATTACTTCTGTTTCGTAACTCTAGCAGAATGATCGAAAAAAAAAATTGAATTTTATTTGTATTCATGTATTCCTGTATTGGTGATAAATTCTTGTAATATTCAATTTTTTGGTATAAAAAACTTATAAAAAATATATTGCGATTTAATTGTATTAAATTAAATAAATTTTAATATTATTAATATATTTCTTTAAAATTTATTTATTAGCAATAAATTCGAGTTATTGGCAGACAAAATATGTTTGTCGAATTAAAATGAGAGAAATTTTTAGATTTTTTATCGAGATTTTTTTTTTGTATGAATATATTTCTGTTTATTATCGATAAATTCGATATGTTAGCAGATAAATAATGAAAAATAAGAGATTTTGAGAAATATGAGTTAAAAATTCGTGTTATTAATCGAATAATAATAATTTGGAGATGCTCGATACACAGGATACAAAGGCTTCTTACAGAATAATGAGTGTGAGCCAACACAGAGAATAATACACACGAGATAATACAGAGAACCATACATGGTATTAAGACACAAGAAAATGGGTAGAGAAGAGAAGAGATTGAGACATATTACAATGTTAATTATTTAAAGGTGCATGCCCCTGTAAGCCTTAGCTCTTTCGGCATTACAGAGAACGGTTACAGATATGTTGCAGCTTATATTTATTTATTTATTACCGTTAAATTTGTGTTATTAATCTAAAAAAAACAATTGAATTGAATCGAAAACATTGAAAATGTTTGATTTACTGGCAAAAGTATCGATTACTGATAATTTTATGTTAATAATTAAAAAATAATCTAATTATATAAAATGAGCAATTTTGTGTAAAAATTCTTAAGTTGGTCTAAACTTGGTCTAAAAAATAAAAATATTGTTATGTATAACCGTTATTGGTTATACTATATATTCCCTTAATTATTCATGTACAATGGATCCTTGCTTATCGAGTTTAATCCGTTCTAAAATTTCCGGATTTTTGCTCGTATAGTGAAACATATTCAAAAATACACATAATATGTGTACACAAGTTTTAAAAATGATGTAGAAGGCGCACAGTCCGGGACTTCTCTTCTCATCTTGTTGGAAAGGCACGATATTCAGCTTTCATACAAGTGGTCGATGATGTAATTATCTTAAGGATTTGTCGAGAAAATCACGAAAAACTGAATAAAAAACGAGAAAAAAATGTTCTTCAGCATATGACACTACTCGATGACACTACAAAGATGTATATATATTCAGCTTTCATACGAGTTGCCAATGATGTAATTATCTTTAGGGGTTGTCGAGAAATTCACCAAAAACACTGGAAAAAATTGAGAAAATCGTCCTTTTCTGTTACGTATAAGACGTTAAGTATGTGTTTTTTTTTACAATTTCTACAGTCAGGCGACTCGATGACAGCACTAAGATGTATGTAGGCTTGTTGGAAAGGCAAGATATTCAGCTTTCATACGAGTGGTCGATGATGTAATGTATAGGATTTGTCGAGAAAATCACAAAAATTAATTTTGCTCGTTAAGCGAAATGCTCGTTATGCGAGGTTCCACTGTACTTCCTAATGAATTAATACAAACTTCACTTAGGAAGATTCCAACTAATCAATGTATAACAACTATTGTTAATCACCATATAAAGACTACTAATATGTACACCCGTCTAATCACTTAATGAATGAAAGTTAAGTACACTCGTTAAAATACATTATTCGGAAAAGTACTATCTTCCCTTACCAAATATTATACTCCCACTATGTTAATTCCCTACTATATAATAGGATGTTTATGTAATACAACGTTAATCCTAGCTAGTCGCTAGTCCAAGTTAGTCTTAGGCTTAGAGGAGACTCCTCCCGAGTCCTAGTTAGACCCAAAAAAATCCTAGTAACAAAGCTAGCATACTGGAATCTAGACATAGAATTTGTTAATTCATAATAAAGTGTTCATTATCATAAAAACTCCAACTTCACCTCCAGCATTCCTTAAAAACCCCACTAGGACTTCACAACGACATAACTAACGACAATATGTAAAAAATAATGTTATTTTATATTCCCATATATTTAACACAAAAGTTGTTAAATCAACTGAAAAACAATTTAATGCAATATAAAATGAAGACTTAAGACTTGTTTATAATAATATTTTAATTACATTAATAAATTTCTATATAATTTTATTAGCGATAAATTCGAGCTATTAGCAGAAAATTAATATCAAAAACATTTAGAGACTTACTTCACCATTTATTTATTAGTGATACATTTGTTTTTATTGACTGAATAACTATTTAATTGAATAAAATCAAAATTAAAATGGCATTTACTTCTAAAATTATTGAAAAATATTTATTTCTGTTTCATTTGTTTTATTGGGTGTCCCAAAATTAATGAAAAATTTGAATTTTCTGCGCCCTTTGTGCATTAAAGTGTTTGCAACCCCAAAAAATAAACAATTTGGTAGCTGAGAGGTTCGGGTTAGTAAAAATGAGGCGATGAATGGATTATTGAGTATCAACAAGTGTATGCTGATTTTTCGTGCAAAATCTCATAAGCGATGAAGCACATTTTCACCATGATGGCTTTGTTAATGGCCAAAATTGCCGCATTTGGGGTTCGGAGAACCCACATGTGTTTGTCGAAAAACAAATGAATCCACAGCGTGTCACTGCTTGGTGCGGATTTTGGGTTGAAGGCATCATTGGACCATACTTTTTTGAAAATGAGTCTGGTCAAATAGTGACTATTACTGGTGCTCGATATCGCAACATGATAACATACTTCTGTCTGCCCCAGTTGGATGATATTGATATAGACGACATGTGGTTTCAATAAGATGGTGCCACATGCCATACAGCTCGTGAAACAATTCAATTACTGCAAGAGACATTTCCTAGTCGTGTACTCTCTCGTTTCGGTGATCAGAATTGACCCCCTAGATCTTGTGATTTAACACCATTAGATTTCTTTTTATGAGGTTATTTGAAGTCAAAGGTCTATATCAATAAGCCCACAACCACCCGTGCATTACAAGAGGAAATTAAACGCTGCATCAACGAAATACAGCCACATTTATGCAAAATGGTCATGGAAAATTTCGATAAAAGAGTGCGTATGTGTCAGCAAAGCTGTGGAGGTCATTTGCCCGATATGTTATTCCATAAATAACCCTATCCTATGCATTTTATGATTCAATAAAAAAATCACAACCTGAAGACTAAAAACTGTGTGTTTCTATTTAATTCAAATCTTGCGTTAATTTTGGAACACCCTTTATAATCGATAAATCTTTTATTTATTGGCAATAAATGTGATTGATTTAATTGAAAAAAAAAAATCAGAAAAGATCAGAGAAGATTTGCATGAAAATTAAATTTATAACAAATTTTTGTGAAATTTCAGGTAGAAATACTTCGGTCGATCGCTTTAGTCCAAAACTAGTTCGAATCAAAATATGTAAATAAAATCCATAATTCAGAGATTTCATTACAAAATTATGAATGTATTTCTGTATAATTTTATTTGTATTATTTTATTCCTGATCCATATATTTATTACAAAACAACAATTTTATTGAAAAAAAAAAGAAACTATGAGAAATTTAAACAGTAATTAAGATTTTTCTAGTAATAAATAAATTTAATGATTGTGTTTTGAAATGTGGGTTAATGAACTCTTGATTTTCTATTAATGATAATTATACGATTAGTGACATACAATTAATGTGTCGCAATTGTTTTCTTGTTGTCCGTCGTGATCCAAGGATCAATAAGGCCTTGTCTATTGATTGATCATATCTAATTGGATAAAAACAAATAAATGAAGATGTAATACCGCCCACTAACAACTTATCCTTTTTCTGCGGTTATAGACGTAATAAAACATTGTTTATTAACTTATACATTTTATTTATTTTATTTTTAATTCGAACAGAGATTACGTTGATCCGGACATTCGGTAATTAAGCAGTAACGATATTTTCATATTCTGGCTGTTATCAGCTGTTTTCTTCTTATCCATAAAATATATTTACGTTCTTGAAAAAATAATCGGACTGTTTGAAACCGGACTAATCGAGCAAATCATTGAAACGATACAAAAACAAAATTGACAGTAAAATTATTTTTTATAACCAGATTATAGCAAAACCGTACTGTGCGATGTACTGCTTTTAATTGCCAATTAGGTTTTATATTCTATAATTAAATAAATCAAAATGCAAAACAATACAAACGAAATATTTAGTACATTAATGTTAATACAGATTAGCATAGAAAGCTGACTGACCTTAAAGTAAAGCAATTGTTTTTATTTAATATGATGCGTTTGTACATTGTGCAAATCCATTGTAACAATTCATACTAAAAAATGTTTTTGTATTTGAAAACTTTCCGTAAAAAAATATTGCACGAATATCAATTAGTTTATTTTCTGTATAATTAAGATGATATCCAATAAATTTGTTATCATATAAAAAAACAACGCAAAGTTTTCCATAGATATTTTAAACTTCTCTTCTGTTCGAAAACATTCAACAAATTAAGGACTTTTCTCTTGTCAATATTTTGTTTTTCTTCTCAATCGTTATCAACGCTTAATAACTTTGAGTTAATTAATTGTACATTAATGTGAAAAGTGGAAAATTTTTGAATATTTATACTTTTTTTTTTTTGGTGTTTTTTTCAACAACCGTATAACAATGAAATACACTTTGGAGTGCTATTAATATTGGCGAACGTTGGATTACACATAAATCAAGGGTTAAAGAGCGTTAACATGTTCGTTTTGAAAATATTGGAAGGTAGGTGGGAGGATGAGCCATAAATTGGAGCGCTCCTGGGTCACCGATACCAGTGTAATGCCAGTAGGCTCTTGAGCGTCATGGAAACGAATGTTAATTTGATTGTTAAAGGACCGAAGGATCCGGGTCATCTACCTCACGCATCCCTGGGGAAGATCATCTTGGATTCGCTGCGAAAACACGATCAGCATAAGACATGTCTGGTGAGTGTAGATTTTGTGTTTGTTTTTTCGGCTTATTTTTATACGTATTTTTTTTTGGGAATTTTTAGGTAGATGGAGTGACGGGAGTGGAGCTGAGCTTCGGCGATGTTCTCGAGAAGACTGTTAAACTGGCTACAGGACTGAAGCTCATGGGGTTGAAGAAGAACGATACCGTCGCCATAGTCAGCGAGAATAGCGTTAACTACTTCATACCGCTCATTGCGTGCTACTACAACGGCATTATCGTCACTCTTCTTAATCCAGAATCCACTGAATGTAAGTTTTTCATGAAATTTCACAAGTTCTAGGTTTCATTTAATGACATTTTCATAATTAATATACTTTAGTTTATACAACAGCGTTTCTCAACCTATTTTCCAATTGTATATAAAATTAAAATTTGACGTTGGCATTTGAGCCATAGGTTGAGAACCGCTGATTTACAAAATAAATTAAAAAAATATAATTAAATTATAATTCTGTTATTGTTATGGACAGATGAACTGAAGAAATACATGATGAAATCGGACGTGAAAATGATTTTCTGCTCGAAAATGAGCGTCTCGAAAATAATGAATCTGCAGAAGGATTGGGATTCGATGAAGAAGTTGATGCTGCTGGATGGAAGCATCGAGGATAACGTGATGACGCTGGAGATGATCTACAAGCTGGTGGATGGGGATGCGGAGAAGTTCGAAACGGAACCGGTGGATCCGCACACTCAAACCGGACTTTTGATGTACTCTTCCGGAACATCGGGTCTACCGAAAGGTGTGCTTCTTACTCACGAGAACCTGAGGATCACCATCTTCAAATCGGGTCCGGGATATCTGGACGCCTGCGATTCGGACACGATGGTCTACACCTTGCCCTGCTTCCATATAGTACACGTCGTTCCATTCTTTGCGTGCTTCATATACGGTTCTAAACTCGTCGTGCTGCCGAAATTCAAGCCCGAACAATTCCTCTCCAACATCGAGAAGTATCGCGCCAATAAGATGATCATAGTACCAGCGCTCGTCCTCTTCATGGTGAAGAGTCCGCTCGTCCCTAAATACAATCTTCAATCATTAAAGTTGATTTACACTTGTTCGGCGCCGATCACGCAAGATCTTCTGTCGATTTTCGAAAAGAACATCGTGGGCTGCAGGGTTCGATCAATGTACGGCTTAACCGAATCTGCAGGTGCTTTAACAATGAATCCAGCCTCTAGCAATTACTTGGATAGTGTTGGAAAACTCACAGTCGGCGTTGATGCTAAAGTCTTAGGGGTGGATGGACAGCTTTTAGGCCCCGATCAAGTGGGAGAGCTCTGCTTCAAGGGTACCAACATGACCAGGGGTTACGCCAATAACGAACAAGCTACGAAAGAAGCAATCGATGACGACGAATTCTTCCACACCGGCGACGTTGGTTACTACAACCAGGAAGGATACTTCTTTGTTGTAGACAGAATAAAAGACATCATCAAATTCAAAGGATATCAGGTCAGTTCAATATTTACACATTTATTTATAGTTTTTATATACATAACAATATCAATAAAGCAATACAGTGAATAACTCTCACAAAAAATGCTAAATAAATTTTTGATAAAAATCATTTTCTAAATAACGTTAAAATTCATAGATTTCGATCCACATTTAGGTGTGGTCTTCATAATATCATATATATTTAAATGATGTTATTATTACTATTACGTCAGCGAAAGATTTTTCGATTAAACTGACAACAAGGACAAAAATGAAATATTTTGAAATGATTTATAACTATACTCCATAACTAAAACTGTCAGATTTAATGATATTATTTTGTAGTTACTTTGCTAGATGCAAAGATCTTATGATCTATACAGCAGTTCTCAAAGTATCTGTTGCAGCGCGACAGAATATTTTTGTTTGTAATTCTACTGCGATGAAATTGTGTATAACATAATTTTATTGACGCATTGACGAAAAATCACATCTGTCATTTCTTGACTCATTAACGAAATAACAGCTGTCACCTTTTGTCATATAAAACCAACCCAAAAGATTAGAAAATTTCAATTATTTCTTTATAATTGATAACATCAAATATATTGAAACATAAATCTACAAAAATACAAATAAAATCATTAATGTCTCACTTGTAGTTAAATATTGAATGAAATCTTTGTGAAAAAAACATTGTCAATGGCCATCAGAGACCATCAATCAAGAAAAAAACAGGCACATTAAAAACAGACGGATATAAAATAATGTTTATTTATAGAATTGATAAACATTTATCTGCGTCTCGGGTGGGAAAATGTTATCTAATAAATACATTTTCGAACAATTTACAGTTGATCTAACATAGTCTGAGTTGTTATCAGCTTAACTTTCGGCGAAAACGTAATTCATAATTAATTACGTTTTTATAGCGTACAGGACGTGCGTATTTATAAATTATTAAGATTTATTACATTTCAAGGTAATCAATATTTTTGTTTTGTTTAATCGTCAAAAGTTCGAGGTCATAATTAATTATGCATTATGTTTGCTCGCAAATAATTAAAGAAATGTTTAGAGTCGCTCAAAATAAATGTTGAATACATCATAAACTACAAAATACAAACACAGTTGTGTAATTAATTAATTGTTATGTTTCAGGTATCACCGACTGAGGTGGAAACGGTGCTGCTGTTAAATCCGGAAGTGCGGGAGGCCGGCGTCGTCGGTATTCCCGACGAAAGGGCAGGCGAGATGATTTCCGCTTTCGCTGTAAAGATGCCCAAAAGTCAGATGACTGAGAAAGAACTGTTCGACTTCTCTTCCAGTAATAACAATTGATTTCAACATTAAGAAACAATTGTAACTAAATTTGTTTTGTTTTTTGTAGAATTTCTGAGCCCGTACAAATTACCGAAAGGCGGCATAAACTTCGTGGATGAGATTCCGAAGAACGCTATGGGCAAGATCGACAGGAAGAAGCTGAAAAACTTGTGGCACGAAGCAAACGAAATACAAAAAACAAAGATGGATTTCGTATTGAGAAATATATGAGACTTTGGTGGATTATTTATTAGTCATTCGGTATTTTCACTACCATTTAGTTAAGACTTTGGAATCAAAAGATTTTCAGCATTAAATCGATACTAACAATCGAATTGCATTAGAACAGATTACATCAGTATTTCCTCCCCATCAACATTTTCGGGTTATCGCAAATTTCTATTGTAAATTAGTTTTAAGAACAAATAAATATAATCTATTTTTAATTTAGTTTTTTTTTCAAATAAATATAAAAAAATTATACGTTTCTTTCCACATATTGATAATTTAACAATTAAACAGACCTTTCAATTTTCCTTTCCTGTCTTTGTAAAAAGAAAAACATTTTCTGACAAAAAATTTGATACATTCTGGGAAGATGGAATGTTTATGTTGCGTAAAATTGAAGAAAGCTGTACAGGGTGGCCCAATTGAACTGCAACTTTTCAGAACGCAGTATTTTATTTTCCATAACATATATTTCTCAATACGAAATCCATCTTTGTTTTTTGGATTTCGTATTGAGACTTTGGTGGATTATTTATTAGTCATTCGGTATTTTCACTACCATTTAGTTAAGACTTTGGAATCAAGAGATTTTCAGCATTAAATCGATACTAACAATCGACTTGCAGTAGAACAGATTACATCAGTATTTCCTCCACATCAACATTTTCGGGTTATCGCAAATTTCTATTGTAAATTAGTTTTAAGAACAAATAAATATAATATATTTTTAATGTAGTTTTTCCTTTCAAATAAATATGAAAAAAATTATACGTTTCTTTCCACATATTAATTTAACAGTTTAACAGACCTTTCAATTTTCCTTTCGTGTCTTTGTAAAAAAAAACATTTTTTGAGAAAAAACTTGATAAATTCTGGGAAGATGGAATGTTTTTGTTGCGTAAAAAATGAAGAAAGCTGTACAGGGTGGCCCAATTGAACTGCAACTTTTCAGAACGCTGTATTTTGTTTTCCATAACATATATTTCTCAATACGAAATCCATCTTTGTTTTTTTGCATTTCGTATTGAGAAATATATGAGACTTTGGTGGATTATTTATTAGTCATTCGGTATTTTCACTACCATTTAGTTAAGACTTTGGAATCAAGAGATTTTCAGCATTAAATCGATACTAACAATCGAATTGCATTAGAACAGATTACATCAGTATTTCCTCCCCATCAACATTTTCGGGTTATCGCAAATTTCTATTGTAAATTAGTTTTAAGAACAAATAAATATAATCTATTTTTAATTTAGTTTTTCTTTTCAAATAAATATGAAAAAATTATACGTTTCTTTCCACATATTGATAATTTAACAGTAAAAATGAAGAAAGCTGTACAGGGTGGCCCAATTGAACTGCAACTTCTCAGAACGCTGTATTTTGTTTTATTTGAAATTGGATTTTATTGAACCAAAAGCAAAAACTGTTGGAAAACAAAATTGCGCAAAATTGAGCGCAAACTATAGCTTTGAGTTGGTCGACAAGCGAGTCACACGCTGCACGAATGTGAACCTGCGGAATCTTCCTCCATTCACGAAGAAGAGCTTTATTGAACACATTAACACTCTGGTATTTTTTAGAGCTGACATTGGATTGTAAAATGACCCATACCAAGAAGTGAAGCGGATTTTCATCTGGTCACCGTGGGGGCAATTGTGCGGTCGAAATGAAGAATGGAACGTTGTTTCTCAGCCATTGTTGGTTTTCGTGTGCTTTGTGTGATGTTGCAAAATCTTCTTGAAATATCTACTCTTCCACCTTCCACCTTCTAAATTTTTTTCGTAGTAGACATTCGCATTAACCTTGACGCCACGGTCCAAAAACACCAACGGAGAGCGACTTTCGACCGTCGCAGCCTCCAAAACTACCACAAACGGTAATAATTGACTTCTTGTGGCCATTCGAATATCTAAATTTCCGATTGACCTCTCTTCTAAGTAAATTCGATTATTTTGTTTGTTTACGAATTTCTCAATTGGGAAATTTTTCTCATCAGACTGGACGATATTTTGCAATTGGCTGCGTTCGTGCAAGCGCAACAGCTTCTTCGTTCTATCGAGCCTAGTTTTCTTTTGAACATCGATGAGATCTTGTCCTTTTTGGAACTTGTAAGACTTCACTTTGAGTTCGATTTTCAGTTACATGGTTATTTTCGACATGTTCAGCTGAGTAGCCATTTGTCTTCAATTTGTCGCGGATTTCATAAAATTCGAGCCTTAAGTTTCCAAACCACTTCTACCACAGATGTAGTTTTTTCCCGACCACCAAAATAATATTTTGTAACACTACTAGCTTTGTTATTTATAACGTGTTATGTTTCAAGAGACGAAAGATTTATTCATATTAAGGTGTTCGAGGGCTCTAACAATTGGTATTCCGCTCAAATATTGGGCTATCAGACTATTACGTTTGACTTCCATCACTGATAACTTTTTTCCAAAAAAAACTGAGATGAAAATGCTTCCGTAGTCTTGTAAATAATAAAATCAGCTATCATTAAGCGAAATATGGACACAACAATGCCAACGGTTCAAAAGATATAGCAGTTTTAAGTTGGTTGCAGTTCAATTGGGCCACCCTATATAGATCAAAGTGGTATCTAATCATTTTGAATTGGCACGAACTTTCCGGGCAACCCAATAATTTGGCCCTAATTGCGTATTGAGTGGGTTTTAATAATAACAAATAAATATTAGTGACAATTATAAATTTAGAACAATAATATTCAAAATAAGAATTCATTCATGTTCAGTTCAACGTTGGACATTCTTTATAACTAAATTCAATTTATCACTAGTTCCTCGCTTTGACACATTGTGACATCTGTCATTTCGCAACCCATCAAAAGTTTCAACCCAATTTTGTGTCACTGCCCATATGTTTATATATTCTATATATTACAGAATATTTTTCGAACATTTCAATTCGGATAGTAAATAAAATGTAATTAAAAATCGTTATGTCGTTATTAACATTTCGATTTATATAATATGTCACATTTTTTAAAGGTTAAATTTCTTCCATCCATTTTTTGTTTATTTTATTATAAAGTTCTAGATTAATCCGGTTTCAGACAGTCTGGCATATTGGAAAAACTAAAAATAAAAACAATTACATGAAAATTACAGTTGTAATTTGCGAAATTTAAGTTTCAAGTAAATGTCCATTAATTAGTACTAATGGAACAAACTACGTATTCAGAAATAATTGTCGCAGATGATAAGAAACAATAAACTAATTAGGTGAAAATTAAATAATATTGTATATTAACTAGCAGTTAATGACGTATCGAATATTTGTTGTTTTAATGTTTCAAAAGAATATATGTTATAAATAACTTCGTGTGCACTTAATACCATGTACGTTGTCATTTAATCAATTGTTTTTTTTTGTTGTATTCATTGGTCTTCAGTAAGGCTCTTATTCAAATGATTTCCAAGAAATGTAAATTTAAAAAAAATAGTGAAGAAATGAGAGTTCATTACTCGACATTTGCACTTTATCTTAAATAGAAATGCAAAGATTCAATCTATCAAATGTCTTTTATCGTAACATTTTTTGTTTTCAGTGAACTGCAACTCGATTGTTTCTATACTGCGACTTAAAGGCGACATAACCAAGGCGAAAAGCGGAGTAGGCGACCAAACAAAATTGTGTTGTTTATTGACCCAATACAGTATCGAATGCAACAGCAAAGCGTTGCTTCCAACGCTTCCGTTTTGGTAATATGGACGTCGAAGATGAGATATTTCTGGTAGGCCAATTGTCGAAAATATGGATAAAATCATGAAAATCGTCGAGTCGGACCGGCATGCGAGCACTTATTACCCAGGAACTGAAGATTAGCCAGAAAACCGTTTGGAACCATTTGCATAAGACTGGTCTCACGAAGAAGCACGATGTATGGGATAAAACGCTCAGAGTGTTTACTTCACCCAATAATTTTGACGCTAGATGACAGCTGTCATTTCATGATCCATTAAACATTTGATGAGTGTCATCTGTCAAAATTTATCCCTTGATATACCAACTAAATTAAAGGGTAATTTACTCTTTCCTACATGTTGAAAATTATAATAATACCGCACTAGGCATGTTCAGAAGGTGGTGCAATACATGTCCCAGAGTTAATGCGGCCCTGGTCACGACCCATGCATTGAGAAACACTGATATGAAACAATTGAAGTCTTATCGACTATGTTCTATTTATGTTGCATCAAGTCCAATTTAATGACTAGCTGCACGAAAATATTTGTGTTAATATTTGGATGGTCATATCTGTGGGTCAAAACAAAACATTATGATAATTTTCAATTAAACCAGATTAGTTTAAGGATATATAGCGTTGGAATTTTAGTGGACAAGTTAATCATTAAAGTGTCCGTAACCCCGGGGATGCGTGCAGCGATATCACACATTTATTTTTAATCCAAACGCGGATAACCTCGTGAACCGACGACAATTTGATAATAGTCATTAACGATGCACGCTTGATTTTGTTGTTAACTTTGCGTTTTGTATACCTGCAAAAGTAATTGCTTATTCGTGTTCAGCGCGCTTCCATAGAATATTACATTGTAAAATCGAATGTGCGCAACGAAGAGAGTCACTGCATTTCGACGATTAATTCCAATAATTCATTATTGTAATTCAATTAGTATTGTTTTTGTTTTACCGTAAATAACATATTTTAACAAGTATATAAGAGACGGATCGCGATTGCTGCGTACTTCTGCAGTGCGAAAAGCGGACTAAAGACAACCGAAGAAAAAAAGAAAAGAAATGGAGACGAAAATTCTGAAAGGACCTGAAGACGTGAGCGGATTTCCTCGCACCTCCGTGGGACAGATCTACTTCGATCGCATTAAATCATTTGAGGACAAAGCTTGTTTCGTAAGAATTAATTCCATTTATTACAATAATCTTAGTCTTACATCATTTTTTTTACACTCTCAATCAGTAAATATTTCTGTCTTAATTTAAAAAATGTCAAAACTCATTTTATGAAGATAAATTGAATTGTGACAATTATTTTCAAAATAAAAAAAGCTTATGTAAATTGTAAATTATTACTTTTATTAGAATCAATTGCTTGTGGATATTTCTATAATTAAGCACATGTAAATTTTAATTAATCGATTTATTTATTTATTATTAGTGTTTCATTTTAATAGTTAAAACTCTATAAAGTTTAGTGATTTGATCCGTTTATTATCATTTTTAAATAATAATCAAGTACGTCTAAAAACTTATTTATTAAAATGAAAAAATAACATCTGTTCTTCCGTTTTTCATTTTTTTTTTATAAAAATTAATCAAAATATATTTATTATTTGTAAACATTCATAGTTAAGCATTAATAAAGTTTTTGGTAAATGAATTGTTAGAAAACGAAAATATGTGTTGTTTCATAAACATATTAGCAAATAAATATCAAGTTACAATTACTTCAATTAATCTTAGATTTTAATACACTTAAATGGAATATTTTATTGCTTAAATTTCAAATAAAACGTATGCTAATTAAGATTAAGTATACTAATCTTAAGCTGTGAGAAAATATGTAAATAATTACAAAAATATATTTATTTGAACTTTGATCCAGCTCAAAGAGCACTGAGAGATTTTTTCTATATTATTAGTAAATTTATCACAATATATATATTATATTAAAATAAAAACATCATCATTATTTAAGGGTACTGCGGAAGTTTACCTATAGATTCAAGAGTGCTTTAAGATAAAGTTGAAAACAACAATCAAAGAGTGTAAGGAACTTTTCGATATTATAATTTATTAGAATATAAATTAACGAAAATGAATGTAATACAAAAACACGTTTATTTACTTTGAACTTTGTAAGTGTAAATCACATTACCGACAGTTTGTTATATTTCATGGTAGATAATTAGCAATTTAATTGATACTTGAGTAATACTTGAGGTAACTGATTCGTTTTAGCAATTACTAATTGAATAGCTCGAATAAATCCAACATAGTTTTGTACTTATTTAACAAGCAATTTATTTCCATAATTGCTGCCAATGACAATATTGAGTTAATTGTTGTTTATTTTGCAATTTATATTTTTATAGAATTGAAAATTATAAACTTAGATTTATACTTTTCAATTGTTTTATATAAATTATAAATTTGGTAATTTTGCAGATTGAAGCGGAAACTGGTGATTCAATAACGTTCAATGAGATTTTGTGGAAATCTGTTAAGATGTCTTCGGCTCTGCGACGCCTGGGCTTGATGAAACACGATATTGTGACTATCATAAGTGCAACGAGAATAGACTATTTCGTTCCGTACCTGGCCTGTTTGTACAACGGATACACCGTCAACTTGCTGAATATCGAATTCACGGCGTGTAATATTATGATCACAGCTCATTACTTATATGTAGTAGAATTAATCTTCCTTTTTTTTTACAATTCCCAGATGAAATCGAAAGGTATTTGCAACAAACGAAAACCAAATTGGTTTTCACGTCGCTGAAAGCTTTGGTCAAAGTGCAACAGGTCAAATCGAGATGTCCGTGCTTGGACACTATTGTTCTTTTCGGTTCATCGACGGATAATGTTTTGGATAGCGAAAGGATTCTGACGTTGGGCGACGAAGATGTTGATAATTTCGTGGTGGAGCCGGTTGATCCGGACACTCACATTGCCCTGATGCTGTGCTCCTCCGGCACCACCGGGTTACCTAAAGCCGTGCAATTGACCCACACCAATCTTAGGATGAGCCTCTTCCAGACGGGGTAATTAATTTCTTCATTTACTTAGTTAGGATTTTGTAAATATCATAAGTATAACAATAACAGGTTATTTCTTTTAGAAATATGTATTTTTTTTAATGAAGTTCTGAGAGAACTGAATAGATTTTCTTCATGTGTGTCTAAAATTATCATTGTTAACTTCGATTTTACATTCCAGAATTTACAGACTTAATTCTACCTTGAAATCATTTAGAATTAAAATTGTTGCCAATAATATTAATAGACTTCACTTACTCTTCAATTGTTGGACAAATGAAGTAAAGAATCGAATGTATGTCTAAAATTATCATTGAGTTTTCATTTTACATTCCAGAATTTATAGTCAATGTTATAAAGGTCGAAACTCCTGTTATTTACTCAATTCCACCTTCAAATCCTTAAGAATTAAAATTGTTGCCAATAATATTAATAGTCTTCACTTACTCTTCAATTGTTGAACAAATAAAGTGAAGTTTTGAGTCGTCTTAATAAGCTTTCATAAACCATTAAGCACATTAAATTATATTTAAAAAAAAAACATTGAGAAAAAACTAATTTAGCAAATATTGATAAATCTTTCCCAATTCCTCCCACATGGTTGAATCAAGACAATTCTGAAAAATAGAGACGTTAAGATGACTTTTTATAAAATTTGTTTCTGATATATGTAAATGTTGTTTATGCAGACCCAATTATATGGACATAAAGAGATCCGACGTAATGTTTTATACTTTACCAATAAACCACGTAATCCACACATTACCGATGTCGTCGGCATTGATTTACGGTGGAACCGTGGTCCTGAGCAAAAGGTTCGAACCGGACCTATTCTTCAGCACCATCCAGAAGTACAAGGTCAACAAAATGCTCGTGGTTCCGCAGCTGTTGAACTACATGTCTCGCAGTTCACTTGCCAATAACTACGACCTGACCACTTTGACGAACATCCACTGCGGCTCCGCAGGCATCCACATCGATAACATACAAAAGTTCTTGGATCGGTAAGTTGCTGTGATGCAATATACAATTTTTTTTACAGTTTATGTTTCGTTATAGTTTTCCGCATTGCCAGTTCAGACAGATGTACGGTTTGACGGAATCGTCTGGTGCAATTGCTATCAATTCAGGTAACGGCCAATATCTTGAGAGCATTGGAAAGGTGGTCGAGAATAACGAGGCGATTATCAGAGATTTCGAAACTGGAAACATGTTGGGATGTGATCAGACGGGAGAGCTCTGCTTCCGCGGCGACAGCATCTCCGTTGGTTACTATGGTAATGAAACAGCGACTCGCGATGCCATCGATGAGGACGGTTGGTTCAAGACAGGAGACGTGGCCTACTACAACAAGGACGGTTACATATTCCTCATCGACAGGATCAAAGATATCATCAAATACAAAGCTTACCAGGTGAGAGCTCGTCAAGATTCTGTTTTTGTTGATACGTAAATGAATTTTTTGTTTGTAGGTTTCGCCGAGCGAGATCCAGAGCGTGATCATGCTGAATCCGGACGTGGAGGAATGCGCTGTGATCGGAGTGCCCGATGAGCGTTCAGAGGAGCTGCCTTTCGCGTACATCGTGCTGAAGAATGGATCGAAATGCTCGGAGAAAGATATCCATAATTTGGTGGAGGATCATCTGATCTACTATAAGCATCTGCGCGGCGGCATCAAGTTCGTTGACGAAATCCCAAAGAATAATCTTGGAAAAATCGATCGTAAACTGCTGAAGAAGATCTGGGATAGCGAAATGTAGTGTAATTATTATAGGAAAAAAAAAAGAAGTAATGATATTTATTCTATACAATTATTTAAATTGTCTTGGTCAAGCAAGGGAAACCTAATTAATGAATGTTAAATGTTAATCTTTATTTCTTATATACAAACTGTTTGTTTATTACTTTTAACACATATTTATTTCTGGAAAATATACGTTTATTATATTATCTTAGTTACATAAAGTTTAATAGATATATTCCGTTTAAATCTACTTTTTATTTCCTTCCAGTTAAAACTATTATTGTTTCTTCATAAAATCTTTCATCAAAATCCTATAATAATCTTGTACTATGAATTTGTTTGATTTATCTTGTATGTTTACTTCTTAATCATTATTTAATTGTTGTTCAATTTGCATAGTATTATTATTTCCTGTCCTTAAATACCCTTGAATATTTAATTATGTTTTTATTTTTTTCGATTAGTTACTTTTCATTAATATATTGCGAGAATGTGAACTGTTTACAACTTGTTAAGTAGTAGATTAATTATCAAGAATTTTGAGCAAGCCCATCGAAAGGAGATGGTTTTCAGTTTAGGATTTTTATTGAATTATGTAATTGGTTTGAGTGTAACTTGCAGTTAAATAAAACGTGAAAATAGTACATTTTTAGTAATGACATTTTTGATACCTTGCAGCAGACGAAAATCCAAACTTGCTACAGAGAGCGTTTCATCACGATGTATTTTGTATTCTATTCCTTTTTGGGAATCGAATCGAAATCCGATACAGTTCAAATTATAGATGATATATGTTTATATATGCAACCCAATGAACGTGATCATAATTTGTAATATGTGTAATTTGCGTAATTTTAAATCCATGCTCGTGTCTGATAAAGAGAGGATCAAGCGGGAATAAAATAAAACGCAATTTCATGTGGTAAAAAAATATAGTTTTCGTCATAGTTTTGTTATCAGTCTTAAATTGTTAGTAAGAGATTGTGTCCATGTTTTATATATTTATATATATATATATAAAAAATAATAATATATAAAACAAAGTATAAGAAATATTTATAGAATATGTTAATACGCGAGAGATAATAAATTACTTTGAGTTCGTTTTTGTTTAAAGTTTTAATTGGCTGGTGGATTCTGTCGTTGACTCATCCAAAATCTCAAAATCACACGAGATTCGGAGAAAGAGACAATGGCTAAATGAGTGTGGAATCCTTCTTTAGCTAGTTATGTTATCCAGGATCCAGTGCAGATAGTGAGCGACGCTGGTGTATACGCCGGGCAGTCCGCTCTGACCGCAGTTCTTCGGCCCAAAACTGACGACACCGTACTGTATGTACTTGGCATCAAAGTCGAGGGACCCAGCAGTCTGGATCGGTCCGCCGCTGTCGCCCGTGCAAGAATCGCGAGATGCTTTGCCACCAGCGCAGATCTGCCTTCGTGTTATCGTAAGGTTCTTGTACACCTCCTGGCATTCCTCATAATTCATGGCGTCTACAAATACTTTGAGCAGAGCGGTCGATCTGGTTTCTGGAAATGTTAAAACTCAATGACCTGTACTCGAGAGTTGATGGTGTTGCTTACTCTTCTCCGTTTGGCCCCAGCCTGTAACCAAGTATTTGTCCACTTTCACCTCGCGCGTCTCCTTCGTGTACGGCAGACATATCGGTTTGATGTTGTCCTGATCTGTTTTCGCGGCTCTTGCCAGTCTGAGCAGACCTATGTCGTTTTGAAGAGCTGTTCTATTGTACAGCGGATGCGGAATCACCTTTTCGATTCCCATGTCCTGGTATGGTGGTGAGCACACCGTGTCTCCGTCCAAAGACGTTTCGCAATCCTGCTCCGTCGAAAAGTCATGTTCTCCCAATCTAACGCCTCTCCTGAAAACATACAATCATCGTCAAATATACCTTAGCTATGACTACTTCACAAATTCGTTAATTAAAACAAATATGACATTCAAACAAACTAATGAGAAATCTCTTATCAGTTGCAGATACTGCTAAACAATTGTAGAAATACCTCGCATAGTGCGGCTTCGATCAGTCCGAATTCACTATAGTGTATTTGAATTGATTAAAATAAATTTTAATACATTATTATTTTTTTATATAAATGATGCTCGGCCTTTATACAATAACTTTTGGTGTGGTTATATTTGTATATACTTCAATTAGTCCTA